ATCTATCAAAGTGATTGTTATTAACATATAGTGGTAGTTATTAAGTCATACAAAACAATACCATGCAGTTCAAGAAAATTATACATAAAATGTTACTAAATGTATCATAGGTTTGTGTTACATAAATATTGACCATATGATTACAATATATTGTATATGTTTCTACCATATTATTGGATTATAGACTATTATAATTAAAGAGGAACATATCAGGCTAATTAATTAGATAATACAATATAATCCTATTATCTATTTTACATATTATATCAAATATTAAGCTTTTCTTCAGAATTTTATATGTAACATCAAATTATTCTGTGTCATTGTGTATTACATCATAAGATATTAATTGTTTCTTTTTTGGTCAGCCACCATTATGACTACCCAGTTACTGGCTACCTGTTCAGTGGCTTGTGGGGGCTTCACAGGACTCCCTGGTGACTGACCCCTTCTGGTATTTACCCTCCCCCGGGGGGGGACACCCTTGCTGTCCCTAGGATCCCCAAAATAACATTGCAGTGAACATCCTTGTATATGTCCCCTCATGGAGCTGAGAAAGTCTTGGTGTGACAGTCTCAGAATTCACTGGCAATTGATAGAGCCACGCACGAGCTTTGCTGGTGCCCCATGCCCTTGACAATGACCATCCACCACCAGGACCTGAGGGTTCCGAGGCCTCCACAGCCTCAACCGCCATTTGACATTTTCCACCTTCTAATGTTTGCCAGACCAATAGGATGATTCACTGTCATTTCCATTTGCACTGCCCTGATGGGTTACCAATAATTTCTAGCTTCTTCTCTGGAGGCTGTTAAGGGCTTCCTCATCACCCACTGCTAATCTTTGCCGGTATTCTCATCAGAGTTGCTATCTTTTTCACTTGCTGTTCTGTCTACATCCTAGATATTAATTTCTCATTGATTTTAGACAGTGTAACTACCTTTTTCCGTTCTGTTATCTGATATTTGTCCCATGCTGTTCTTATTCAAAGAAATCCTTATTTGCATGTTATCAAAGGCATCTTCTTTCTGCCTGATGGGTTGCTGTGGTCAGATTTAGAAGTCTTTTCCTTTGTGGTTGTCAGTGTTATTGTTGGTATGAACCATCCCTGTGGACCTCAAGGGTGACATGCACACATACCAGTGCCAATCTTTCCGACCTCCTCCCTGAGGCTTCTCTGAGTCCCGGGAGCCGGGAGACACACACATTACAGGCTGGAGTCAGCCTGGAGCATTACATCACCTCTCTGAGATGCAGGTGCTGCTGGGAGGAGCTGGGAGATGGCACATTAAGGACAGCAGCGCTTTAGACCAGAGGAGAGAAGAGGCAGGAAGAGGAAGCGATGGGGTGAACAGCTCAGAAATGAATTGGCATACCATAGAAGAGAAAAGTTAAAACAGACTGTGCTTATCTAAATTTCTGATATGGAAAAAAGGGGGGGCATCCTTGGTGGCACAAGGGGTTAAGCACAGCACTGTGAAGCTATTCACAGCCTTGGCAGCACGAGTCATCCCTGGCCAGGGAGCTACCCACATGACACAGCAGACCTCTCCTGCCTTGCCCGCTGCTCCCCTCAGCAGTGTATTTCAGTCAGTCTGCCTGTTCTGCTCCCCACTCTGTCTCTGGTGAATCCTCTCACCCCCTGCACCTCTGGCCTGTATGCCAGTTCTTGTATGCATAAATAAATGAATCTTTTTTAAAAAAAGCATCCATGGTAACTTTTTTTAAGATTTATTTTATTTATTTATGCATACAAGGCTGGGGTGTAGGCCAGAAGTGTGAGAGGGTGAGAGGATTCACCAGAGACAGAGTGGGGAGCAGAACAGGCAGATTGACTGAAATACACTGCTGAGGGGAGCAGCGGGCAAGTCAGGAGAGGTCTGCTGTGCCATGTGGGTCACCACCCTGGCCAGGGATCGAACTCATGCTGCAGTGGCTGCCCATAGCTTCATAGTGCTGAGACTTAACCCCTTGCACCACCAAGGAGGCCCCCCCATGCTGACTTTTTTAAATGAAAAAAATGGAGAAAAATACACTTCTAGGATAGCTTTGAGTGAGTGACTAATATACTGGGTTTGGCAGAATCATATTAATTACCTACTTATTCTACTCCTGAGTATCTACTCTACAGAATTGCACACCTTAATGTTCATCAAAAGGCAAGTGCTAACAATAGGTAAAACCTGGAGACAACCCAAATGCCCAAAAATAGATAACTGGCTCAAGAAGATGTGGTATATATACACAACGGAATATTACTCAGCAATCAAAAAAGATAAACTCATGCCATTCGCAGCAACGTGGATGGAGCTAGAAGGAATTATGCTCAGTGAAATAAGCCAGAAGGAAAAAGAAAACTATCGGATGGTTTCACTTATAGCAGGAATATAGGGGAACCAAAAAAGACATCAGTGTAAAAAAATAATAACAGTACAAAACACAACAGAGCAAAAACAGAGACATCCTGCAGGGGAGGAGGAGGGAGAGGGATCAGAGGGAGAGAGGGAGGAGCACAGGGGACTGAGGTGATAGTGCACGGGTGCACTGGTGAAGGAAACTCTATGGGGACTACACCTGATGTGGTGGGGGGAAGCAAATACTGTTTAAAAATGAGTAATGATGTAAAAAATAAAAAAAGATAATTTTTTAAAAAGATAAAAAAAAGCAAGTCCTAGAATGTTCACAGCGACATTATTCATAACCGCTTCCAACTGGAAACAATCAATAAATTGTGGCATATAGTCATGTATCACTGTACATTTCGGTAATTGACTAACCACATATACAACAGTGCCAGTAAGCGTGCCATCTAGCCTGGGTGTGTAGTAGGCTACACCACCCAGGTTTGTATAATGACCCTCTGGCACTGGCACACAATGAAATTGCCCAACAGCGGATTTCTCAGCATGACTCCCCATCATTGAGAGATGCGGACTGTGTCACAATGGAAAATATACAGCAAAGAAAAGGAATAAACTACAACCAAACATATTAACCTGGAAGACTCAAAAAGACATGATGTTGAGGGCCTCCCCTAGTGGCGCAGCGGTTGAGCACTGGGCTGCGAAGCTGCCCGCAGCCTCTGTAGCACTGGTTCGATCCCTGGCTGCCAGCGAGGGTCCCACATGGTGCGCAGACCTCTCCTGCCGCGCCCACTGCTCCCTCAGCAGTGTATTTCCTCAGTCTGCCTGTTCTGTTCCCCACTCTGGCTCTGGTGAATTCTCTCACCCTCCCACGCTTCTGACTGTAACCAGTGCTTGTATAAATAAATAAATCTTGAAAAAAAAAAAAAAAGACATGATGTTGAATGAAGGAAGCCAGACACATGAAGTGATCCTATTTACATACAATTCAAATGCAGGTAAAGTGACTGTTGACAAACAGGCTGGTGGTAACTTTAGGGGGGCAGCACCGGGAAGGGGCACAAGGACACTGGGAGGGGAGGGGAATGTCCTGGTTCTTGATTTATGGACTTCATCCCAACTCTTGGCCTTAACTTTATAAAAATAAAAATAAAAATTTTTATTTTTATAAAAATTCTTTTATCTACATGTGTCATGCTTAACATATTTTTTTCACTGAAGTACAAGACACAAATCATAATTGTTTCTTGAAATCTGATAATATGTGATATTGGTCATCCCTGCTTGAGAGGGAGTGTGGGAGACTCTCTGGGGAGGGGACTCCCAGAAAGTTTACCTCTCTTTCTAACGTTTCCATAATCAGATAACACTCTTTAAGACTGTGTGAGAATCGAATGAGTTCATATTTTAATATTCAAAATATTTACCATACTGTGTGGTAAACAGTTGGTGCTACATAAGGGCTTGTGATAATGAAAGTAATGGTGAAAATGTTTTCTGGGGTACACGTGATTTTATTAAAACTAAACTAGGGTCCTCCCTGGTGGCACAAGGAGTTATAAAATGCAACCTGCAAAGCTGTCCACAGCCTCTGCAGCATGAGTTCAATCCCCTGGCCAGCCAGGAAGCTACCCACATGGCACAGCAGACCTCTCCTGCCTCGCCCGCTGCTCCCCTCAGCAGTGTACTTCGGTCAGTCTGCCTGTTCTGCTCCCCCCTCTGTCTCTGGTGAATCCTCCCACCCCCTGCACCTCTGGCCTGTACCCCAGCTCTTGTATGCATAAATAAATAAATCTTTAAAAAAAAAAAAAAAACTAAATCAGGAGGAAAAGAAACATACAAGGAAGGGCCTCCCTGGTGGTACAAGGGGTTAAGTGCAGAGTGTGAAGCTGTTAGCTGCGGGGACAGTGCAGCCTCTGCAGTGCAAATTCGATCCCCAGCCAGCCAGGGAGGTGACCCACAAGGCGCAGCCGACCTCTTCTGACTCACCCGCTGCTCCCCTCAGCAGTGTATTTCAGTCCATCTGCCTGTTCTGCTTCCCACTCTGTCTCTGGTGAATCCTCTTACCTCCCACATCTCGGGCCTGTACCCAGTTTTTGAATGCATCAATAAATAAATCTTTTTTTTTTTTTGTGGGACCCTCGCCGGCGACCGGGGAACAAATCGGTGCTGCAGAGGCTGCGGGCAGCCTCGCAACCCAGCGCTCAACTGCTGCGCCACCAGGGGAGGCCCAATCTTTTTTTTTTTAAAAAGAAAGAAACATACAAAGAAATACAAAATGTATGTCTTGTGCATTTCCATCCAAACCCTTGTGCCCTGTATACCTATGTCCACACAGACTTGCAAGCTTTTCTTTTGAGTTTCCGTGTGTTTACATAAATGTGTCATATCCTTTTTTTAAAAACCTGCTTTATTGAAGCATAACAGAGAATCGTGGGTCTAGAGGCGGAAAGATGGGGGAGATAGAGAGGGAGTCTGCTGGGCACTGGGCATCAGGGGCAGAGGCCATCAGTACCGGAAACCTCAGCCTGAAGGGATCCCCCTGTAGGGGAGGGGGGGCCTTTGGTCTCTCCCCGGCCTCTTCCTTCCCCCTGGGTGGGGAGGGGCAGTTCCTCTTTCCTTCCCAAGCACTGAGGAGGCCCCAGCTCCCAAGGGGCTAAGAAGCTGGTGCACTGGCGAGGGGGAGGAGCTGAGCCACCTTCATGCAACACCCCCCTTACCCTCCAACCCTCAGGAAGTATGAACAGGAAAGACAGTAAGAGGTAAGAGGTCCAAGGAGAGGGGGCGCACCCTCAGCCCTGTGCAGCGGGCTGCGCTGCGTGAGAAGGTTGGGGAGGTGCTGACCAGGGGTTTGGTGGTGGGCCTTTCTGGGAGCAGGAACAGGGTGCCGAGTGGAAAGGGGTATCCCAGAACCCAGAGGCAGCTAGGGGCCGAGTCTTTTTCTTTTTAAAGATTTATCTATTTACGCATACGAGAACTGGGGTGCGGGAGGGTGAGAGGACTCACCAGAGACAGAGTGGGGAGCAGAACAGGTGGATCTACTGAAATGTAGTGCTGAGGGGGCCTGACCCTGCTCTCCCTGCAGTTTGAGCTGCCCTGCATCCCCTCCTCCCTTGCCCTGCCCCCTTCCTAGCTCCCTAGCTGGGAGCCTCTGCCCTCCCTGGGGCTTTCCTGGTTCCCCAAGACAGTCACTGCTCTCTGGACTGGAAACTCTAGGCTCCTGCAGGGCTTTGCCCCGGGGGGGGAGGGGAGCATGACGCAGGGCAAGGCGGTCCCCCACCTCTGAAGCCACACCTGGCTGCTCCAGACACTGCAGGGGGCGAACAGTCTGCAGGTAAGGGCCTAGCAGCTGCTCCAGCAGGGAGTTCTGGAAGAGGTTTCTTCCACCAGCCACGCCTGCTCTGCAGTCCTCATGGGGGTGACTGGGGCTGGCCCCTAGCCTGGGTAGCCCCTCCAGCCTCTCCCAGCATGTTTCAGATGGACAGAGGGGTTCCTTTCCCATCATATCCAGCAGTTTAGTGGTGGGGAAACAGCTGCCTCATTTTCTGGCTGTGTGGCCTTAGGTAAGTCATTTCGTTGCTTCGGGCCTCAGTTTCTTCTTCTGTCAATAGATTAAGCCTAGTCCCTCCTTGGAGAGATGTGTGATATGCAATCTAGGCCGTGGTTCTCAAGCCACAGGGCCACTGAAGGTTTGAAAAGCACAGGTCACCCAACGTTTCTGGCCTGTAGGCATAGGGCGGGGCCCGAGAATGTGCATTTATAGCTAATTCCCAGGCGGTGCTGGGGGTATTGTTTGGGGACCATGCTCTGGGAACCACTGACTTACAGAGGTTCTAATCTCTGGCCAGCGCGTCCTCAGTAGCAATAAATGCCAGCTGCCGTTCCACACCATTCAATACTGATTTCCTGAGCCCTTAGGATGTGCCAGGCATCTGGCAGTGTCCTTGTCGGGAGTGTCCCCCGATTTCTTGGCTCACCCCCATGCCGTGGGTCTGGCTCTCGGCTTCTCCATCACTTTCTTTCTCAGCAGCTCAAGTTCAACTTTCCCATCTCTGCCAATTAACAGCCTGAGATCCCGAGGTCCCTGATTCCACACTTTTGAAGCTTAGCATTGAATGTTGGTAGTAAGTCCTGGGGAAGGCCCAAGGGTGACCCTCATTTTTTCCATGAGGAAACTGAGACCCAGAGCAATGCCATGACCTGCACAAAGTCACACAGGAGCAGAAATGTCCCCCATCTGTTTTTGTCTGACTAGTGCATCCCCAGGCCCCACGGCCTGGATTCTGTCCCTCCTTTCCCTACCTTGTCTGTCTCCATTACTCTCTTTCCCCAACTAGAACGCCAGCCTCGGGGAGGCACAAAGCAGCATGAGGGTTATTTTTAAACTTTCCTTGAAGCTGCCTCAGCCCCAGGGACCCCACCCAGCTCCCAAGGGCCCTAGCGAGGCCACGATGCACGCACAGCTTCTCTCCAGGCTGCAAAGCCAGGAAGCCAGTCTGGCAGCAAAGACTCAAGTTCTGCCAGAAGGACTGGTGGGCGGGTGGGGGGGGGGTCTGTCACCTTAGTGGGGGTCAAGGTGGAGGAAGATGGAGACATGAAATCTCAGGGGTCTGAGGGCCGGGAGAGGAAGGGAGGGGGTGCAGAAGAAAAGGGAATTCTAAGGCAGCTCCCTGAAGGCTGTGTCTCCTATGGTGCCCCGTGGGGTAGGCAGGAAATTCAGGGGGTTTCTCTCCTGATTCCCTGGGAGGCCAGGCGAAGTCCCAGGGGTCTGTCACAGAAAACCTCCCTTCTGAGAGGACCATAAAGTCAAGGGGAATTTGGGGTCAGTGACTAGAGGGAGTCTTTATGACTCTCTGATTGGTTCTTAGTGGGAGGGGGACCTCAGTGATCTTTTCCCATAATTCCCTGGGGGCTTCAGGGGAGTCTTGAGGGTCTTTCCCCCTGATTCTCTGAAGGGGACAGAAGTTACCCTTGGAGTTAACCTGTAAGAGCAGAATTTGGGGGTTCTGCATGAAGGAATGGGTTCCCATGATCCCCTGGGGGTGTGCTCACAGGAAGTCCCACCAGGAATGCCTGGGGAAGACAGGGGGTCGGGGCCGGCCCCGACAGGCCCGCCGCCACAAGACGTGTCCCAGCCCCCGGGAAATCAGCAAGGTCATGGCCTCCATGGCTCTGGGCATGCTGAGCGAGGGCAGCTGCAGCGAAGATGAGCTGCTGGAGAAATGCATCCAGTCTTTCGGTGAGTGTCTCCTTCTTGGTACCCCCATCCATGGCTGGGCCAAGCACCCACCTCTCTCTGGGCCTCAGTTTAAGGGCGTATAAAGTGGCGGTAGGGGTGTGCAGAATGAATTGCAACCTTTTTTGAGGCGGGTGAGAGAGATATCTGCATTTCTTCTTCCTGAGATGCACAGCGAAGGTCTCATATTACTTTGATCTTCAACCTAACTTCCGAGGCGCTGGCCTGGCCCATGCACCCCATAGACAAGGAAACTGAGGCACAAACTTAACTGAGGTTAAGCTGATTGCCCAAGTCATGCAGGTGGTCTCGGGTAGAGTGGCACTGGAACCAGGCGATCCAACCAGCTCTGGATGGATCATCTACTACCCAAGCTGACCGGTCTGCTTCCTTCCCCCCGCCCCAGACGCCGCTGGCAGCCTGTGCCGCAGGGACCACGTCCTCAACATGGTGCTGACCATGCACAGCTGGGTGCTGCCTTCTGCCCATCTTGCCAGCCGTCTGCTGACCTTATATCCTCCCGGGGCCAAAAGCACGTGTGCGGGGTGGAGGGCGGAGTGATGAGAGCTTGGGGGTGGGGATGGGGTGAGCAGGCAGATCTGGGGTACTGGATATCAGAGCCTTGACCAGAATTCAAGTACCAGGAGGCCGCCAGAGACACACAAGAGCTGAGGCAGTTGCAAATCTGTCACCTGGTCAGGTAAGATTGCGCCAAGATCCCCACTAGCAGGACCCAAGACCCCCGCTCCACTTTCTCCTCAAAAAACACCTCCCAAAGACTCCTCTTCACCTCCTAGGAAACCCTAAGTAGATCGTATAGGTGGGGAGCAGAGACGTCCTGCCCTGAGTCCCTAAATCCCCACCGCCCACATACCCCTGCCTAGCTTCCAGGACCACATTACTTTTTTTTTTTTTAAGGTTTATTTATGCATACAAGAGCTGGGGTACAGGCCAGAGGTTTGAGGGGTGAGAGGATTCACCAGACACAGAGTGGGGAACAGAACAGGCAGACTGACTGAAATACACTGCTGAGGGGAGCAGCGGGCGAGACAGGACAGGTCTGCTGTGCCATGTGGGTAGCTCCTTGGCCGGGGATCGAACTCCTGCAGCAGAGGCTGCGGACAGCTTCATAGCGTGGTGCTTAACCCCTTGTGCCACCAGGGAGGCCCCCAGGACCCTATTTTCTCCAAAATTTGTGCCAAGAGGCCCCAGCCTCGCTCCTAAGATAACCCCACCATCCTGCTTCCTAGAAATCCACTTTCACACAATCACCCCAGTCTGTCTCCAATCCCACCCCCACAGAGCACCCCAGTCTGGTGCTTCTCTGAATCCCGACCTTCCAGAGACCCCCATCAGCCCAGCACCGGCCAATTCCTCAGTCCGAGACACCTTTACAGCGCTCCCCTCCCCCAAGGACACCTCATCCCACCCTCAGGTACTGGCTGACCCAACACCCTGAAGCGGTGCACCAGGAGCCCCAGTTAGAAGAGGTTATCGGTCGCTTCTGGGCCACTGTGGGTGAGGAGGGCAACTCAGCCCAGAGGAACCTGGGAGACTCCTCCAACCTGTGAGTTGGTCCCTCACCCTTCCATCCCCAGCCCCGCTCTGCCGTCTCCCTCCATACCCCACATCTACCCCCCTTTCTCCCAGTCTGAGTCCGGGCGGACCTGGCCCTCCACCACCCATGAGCAGCCCAGGTCTAGGCAAAAAGCGCAAAGTGTCCTTGCTTTTCGACCACCTGGAGACGGGGGAGCTGGCTCAGCACCTCACTTACCTGGAGTTCCGGTCCTTCCAGGCCATCACGGTGAGGACACCGCTATCCCTTCTGGGGAGGCGCTGGGGGCTGAGCCCAGGCAAGACAGAGAGGACCCCCGCGTAGGCGTTGGGCAGGGACCTCAAACTCTCAGCCCTGGGTGCTGGAGGGTCCAGGGAAATAAGTGAAACTGGATGAGCACAGAGCATCTGGGTTCACACCCCAACAGCCCCTTCTTATTCATGGAACTTTGAAGTAGTTCCTCGCTGGGACTCAGTCTTCTGGGTAAAATGGAGGTCATGAGACATCCCTGGATGGCTGGGGAACTAAGTGAATATGTCGATTTTAAAAATGCTGGTCGCAGTGGAGCATATAGCAAGGGCTCAACACATGTTACTAATGTCTCACTTATTTGAGAAGCATTTAGATTCGCTGTGCCCAGGTCTATTTTCTGTAAAAGGGGAATTTAATAGTTCCTGTCTCTGTGGCTGATCGAGAGTAAGCGCGCACTTGTTGAATCGTTTGCAATTTCGAGATGTTACCTGCCCAAACCACAGTTTTGCATGCTTCAGCCTGTAAGTGTGTTAGCCAGGGCCATCATCCGTTCAAAGGAAGGTGGGGATCTGGTTCCTAATGTGAAAACTTCCTGGTTGTAGACACACACACACACACACACACACACAGTGCAGAGGGTATGAAAGGCTGACCCCTCGGCAGAGCAAACAGACCTGGTTTCACATCCTCTCTGCCACCCTTCCCTTTGCTGACTGTAGACCAGTCCAGTGAAGAGCAACAGGCTGGACTTCCACCCTGACCCACGCCTGTGCGGCCCTGGCAAATTACTTACCTTGTCTGTGCCTCAATGCCCTCATCTGTACAATGGGAATATCGTAATATTCACGGCGATGTCAGGAGTAAGTGTCAGCTTGGTTGGAGGAAACAGATGGCAAAGGTCACTCCAGTTAGACCCGGCTAGAATATGGGATGAGATTGTGACTGGCCAGGGTGAGGGGTGTGAGCTGCCGGGTCTGGAAGCTATTGCCCACCTGAAGCCCACCTCACCCCCAGCCCCAGGACCTGCGGGGCTACGTTCTGCAGGGCTCTGTGCGCGGCTGCCCTGCCCTGGAAGGATCCGTAGGTCTCAGCAACAGCGTGTCCCGCTGGGTGCAGGTCATGGTTCTGAGCCGCCCCGGGCCTACACAGCGTGCTCAGGTGCTGGACAAGTTCATCTGCGTGGCACAGGTGAGGCCTGCCGCTGTCCTGCCAGTTCCCAGGGCACTCGCAATTACCTGACCCTCCCCTTGGCAGTTCAGATTCCTTGCCCCTGGGCCCCAGCGGGCCCTCAGGGTGGTAAAGCCATCCACCGCCTGGCTTCCCCATCACACCACTCCCCCCACTCTGGCCCCACCCGTGCCCCTAGTAGAGCCTGGTCTAGGATGGCACTTCTTCCTGGCCTGGACTTCACTGTGTCAAACCCACCCCAGCCCCAATCCTTGGTCCTACATGTCCCTCCAGGGTTCCACCTCCAAAACCTCATGCCAGAACATTCTGCCCCCAAGGCAGTGAGAGCACCTCTATTATACCCCCACCTTTGCATCACCCTCCATGCCAGTCCGTAGGCCCCAGGGGACCCTTCAGGACAATGACAGCATCTGTCAGCCCCACTTTAGTCCTCTCCCTGGCCCTGCCCCATTGCATCACGCCCCCTCATGTCCCCCCCCCCAAACCACTTCTTAAGAAAAGGGAAGCCCTCCTTCCCCCATTGTGGCCACACCCCCTTTTGTACTTCCTCGAAGACCAAGCCCTTCCTATGGCGCCTTCCAGTGCCTTCCTTCCTACTGCTGCTCCTCAGACCTGGGGTTCAGGGGTCTCCCTGCAGTCTCCTCAATCTGAGCATCTTCCATTTCTCCCTAACCCCACCTTTTCCCCAGTGACCTCCACCCTGGAAACTTGAAAAAGGGGAGGGTGAGGCAATTGTCCCAGGTACCTGGAGAACCACGCCTGTCTCTCACTCCACCGTATCATTCTGACCCCAGTTACCTCTGCCTGGCTCCTAACTCTGCAAGAACAGGTCTTCTGTCTTCCTCCCCTGATAGCTGGAACAGCCTGACTCCCAGGTCACTGAATGCCCCACACCTGCCTGATGCCAAAATCTGTCCAATTCCCCAGTGACTGACATGACTCCCCAACTTATTTCTGGCCTCACATCAAGCTGTCCCTTCCCCACATACCTGCCTGTGGCCCACTCCTGCCTGACACATATCAACTGTCTGATGGCCCTATCAGTCCCCACCTACACAGCCTGATACCCCAACTCATATGGAATACGCTCATCTGAACCCCAAATTGCCATCTGCCACGTAACACCCATCATCTCTGCCTTGCCCACCCTTCTAGAGGCTCCACCAGCTGCAGAATTTCAACACGCTGATGGCGGTCACGGGGGGCCTGTGCCACAGTGCCATCTCCAGGCTCAAGGACTCCCATACCCACCTGAGCCCTGACAGCACCAAGGTAATCCCCCGCTGCCCTCCCCAAAGTTCCAGCAAGCAGTTAGACTAGTGCCCCCTTCCACTCACCCTCGAGTCCCCTTAACCCCTGCCGAGGGCCCTGGAGCCACAGAGACCTTGCTCCTCCAAATCCAACAGGCCCCAGGCTTTCTCCTCCCTCCTCACCCACCCACCCACCCCTGTGCTGACCCTGCTTGGCTCCCCCTGTCTGGACAGCGGAGGGACACGCTAGCAAAGTGCTCGCAGTCCAGGTGGAGAGTGAAATCACATGAGCAAAAGCGCCAACATTTGGGCTTCCTGGGAGAAGCACGGGTTGGGAGCGTCATGTCCTGGGAAGTGTGGGGAAGGAGTCACTCTGGAGATGGGTGTGCCTGAGGTCAGGAAGCAGCAGGAAACAGCGATGGAGACCCCATGGGGAAGACCCTGCTGAGCCTCGCAACTAGACTGCGGGTCTGGGGTGCCTGGATGGCCTTGGGAGCGAGGGGGGCTCTGGGAGTGAGGACAGCACCCATCATCAGATTTGGGTTCTTGAAAAATCACTCTAGCCTGGGGGGTGGGGAATAGTGGGACCCTTCTGAGGTGGGGACCTGAGAGGAAGAGCAGTCTGGAGAGATGCTGAGGCCCATGAGGGGCATACTTGAGATGTCCCAAGTGCCACTGCAGCCCTGGGGGTTTGGACCTCCCAGGAGGCTGCTAGGATACTCCCCTTCAGGGAGTCTATGGCAACAGAACTAGGCCCCCCAATAACATCTCCGGCCTGAACACTCCCCTCCCACACAGGCCCTGCTGGAGCTGACTGAGCTCCTGGCCTCCCACAACAACTACGCCTGCTACCGCCGCACCTGGGCCAGCTGCACAGGCTTCCGGCTGCCTGTCCTGGGCGTGCATCTCAAGGACCTGGTGTCCCTGCACCAGGCACATTCCGACAGGTTGCCTGATGGCCGCCTGTACCTGCCCAAGCTCAACAGCCTCTATCAGCGGCTGCAAGAGCTAGCGGAACTGCAGAGGCAGCACCCCCCCTGCAGTGCCAATGAGGACCTGCTTCATCTGCTCACGGTGAGCTGAGCCCGCAGCTGCTGAGATTCATGGCCCTGGGCGGTGAGGGGCAGCTCAACCAGGAGGACAGTGCTGGTATGCTGGGGCCTTGAAGCCAGAGCATCTAGGACTTTTTTCTAGCTGTGTGGCCTCAGGCAAGTCATGTAACCCCTTGGCCTCGGTTCCTCTATCTGCAAAATGGGAACAATAATAGGATGCACTTCAGAGAGTGGGTGAGAACAACCCATCAGTCCATCAGTCACGGGGAACGCTCTGTGAGCAATGTACTCCCCCCTATATGCACCCCAGAAATCCAGTATCCATCTGTCTGAGCTGGGGATGGCTGTGGGCTTTCACACTCCTGAACCCCAAGGTTCTGAGCTTCTCGTGCCACTAGTCCAGGAATCTAAGGCAAAAGCTCTAACAGTTACTGCTCATTCATCACGTGCCAGGCACCATGGTCAACACTATGGGTCCTTTGCTCCGCCTCATATCCTCACCCTGCAAGACTGTTATGATGCCCATTCTACAGACTGGGAAACTGAGGCCTACAGCGTCCCCTGCCTGCTGTCCCACAGCTGTGAAACCTGGGTTAGGACTCAGGCAGGCCAGCTTCAGAACCTGTGTGTGAACCCCACCACGCTGTGGCCTAAGACTGGACTGTGGGCTTCTGCTTCCATTTCATATTTTGTTTTATTTTTATACATAAAAATATACCTTCCAAGGAGCTATAAATTGAGAAAGATGGGGAATCTGAGGGCTGACTAGTCTAAGACGGAAAAGTTGAATTTCAAACTCTAAGACAAGGCCAGCCCAGGGCAAAATGGAAATGAGAGGTTCCTTATTCAGAATTCTTAAGAATTTCAAGATGGTGGCAGCTGGGCATTAAACAAAATGGGGGGGGGAGGGGCTCTTCGCAGTGGGGGACCTGCCTAGGAAGCTGGCCCTGCCTTACCCCACCAATGACAGGTACTTTAAGTCCTGTGTTTTGCTAAGAGGCCATCAGCCCAAATCATACCAAGCACCTTCAGCGAGCCAAGCTCTGCATGCGACACAGAGGCTCAGGGCAGTGAGCAAACCAGAGAAAAACAATTGCTGTTTTTATGGGGCTGACGTCCTAAAGGGGGAAACAGCTGATAAAACAAAGCCAGTCAGTCTATGGTCCTCTCCATGGTACGTGCCCTGGGAAAATGAAAGGAAAGGAAGACGAAAGCGCGGGGGTATTTAAGCATCCAAAAGGCTCGGCGAGAAAATGGTGTTTCTGGGATGGGAGCCCCGGGGATAGTGTGGATGGGGGCTCAGAGGGAGAGAAGGCCCAAAGGGACCCCAGTGAAGAGGGGCTGTGGGAAAAGGATGGGCATGGTCAGGCTATAGGTGGATGGGGCTAAGGAGTGTCTATAATGCCCTGCCTGCCCCCAGCTGTCCCTGGACCTCTTCTACACGGAGGACGAGATCTATGAGCTTTCTTACGCCCGGGAGCCTCGCTGTCCCAAAAGTCTGGTGAGATCCGACTCCTGACCTCTGCCCTCTGGCTCAAGCCCATGCTCTGACTCACTGTGCCCCTCTGCCCCTGCCTCAGCCACCATCCCCCTTCAAAGCGCCCCTGGTGGTGGAGTGGGCCCCCGGAGTGACTCCCAAGACCGACAGGGTCACCCTGCGTCGGCACGTGGAGCAGCTGGTGGAGGTAAGAGGGAGACTGTGGGTGGTCTCGGGGGCCAGGAAGGATGATGTCTGGACAGTCCCAAACTGGAGAGGGAACCTGAGGCCTTGGGGCTCATGACTTGGTCTGACTCGCCCTGCTCATGCTCCTCCCAAGTCCGTGTTCAAGAATTATGACCCTGAAGGCCGAGGGACCATCTCTGCGGAGGACTTTGAGCGACTCTCAGGCAACTTCCCCTTCGCCTGTCATGGCCTCCACCCGCTTCCCCGCCAGGGGTAAGTGATCCTGCCTCCTGGGCCCCCCAAAACAGATGAGGATATTGGGGTCACCAGAACTCCTGGGTGTGGGAGGAGGGCCAGTCATGCTGAAGTGGGTCTCTGCTCCCAGGAGGGGCTCCTTCAGCCGAGAGGAGCTGACAGGGTACCTGCTCCGGGCCAGCGCCATCTGCTCCAAGCTGGGCCTGGCCTTCCTGCATACCTTCCATGAGGTCACCTTCCGCAAGCCCACCTTCTGTGACAGCTGCAACGGCTTCGTGAGCACCCCGCCCCCACCTTGCCCTCATCTCCCCAGAAGGGCCCTAACTCCTCACAGCCAGCCCTGTCCTCCAGCACTCATGGTCCCTAGCCCCCAAAGACCCCAAAATCCCAGAAAATCCTCCAGTCCTAACTCCCCCACCCACATTTCACATAAACCCTCAACACTGGGTTGAGTGTATCCTGAATAATCTCGAAAGTCCAGAGATGCCCCCACCGCCATGACCTCCATTCTGGAGTGTTGCCAAATGATGGGGAGCATCTGAAACCCCAGAGCAGCTACAAAGCTGGCTAGATTACCTCCAAACAGGATCATTTTCCAAGTGTCCAGACTCCAGGTAATTCAGACCCTGAGTAATGTCCACAGTCAGGGTGCCCTCAAGCTCTGGATAACATCAGCTCTCAACCTCTAAGCCAAGACCAAGCCCCCAACCTTGCTTACTGTGCACGGCTGTAGGCTCAGGGGCCCGGCAGGGAACACCACTGACACAACCCTGCCCACGAAATTTATACTTGATTCATTACAAATGTTGCCTAATTCGCAGATCCAGGCCCTTGATCAGACTTGATCTCCCCAGACTTGAGATAACCTCCATATTCCTTTCATCTCCAGACTCCACCCTAGGCTTGATAATTTGCCAAACCTGGATGGTGTCCACACTTCCCGTCTCCCGCGCCCCTCCCCCTGACCCCAGCCATCCCTCCCCAAGGGTAACCTGTTCAGCTTTCTCTTTGCAGCTCTGGGGTGTCACCAAGCAAGGCTACCGCTGTCGGGGTGAGTGGGGGAGTCCAGGACCTGCAGGCTGGAAAAACAGGGGTACAGACTGGGTCTCTGGTCACTAACTGCTCACCTTCCCCTAGACTGCGGGCTGTGTTGCCACAAGCAGTGCAGAGACCAGGTGAAGGTAGAATGTAAGAGGCCAGGGACCAAGGGCGATGGGGGCCCCCCGGGAGCCCCCATCCCACCACCCACACCCACCCATGCCAACTATGGTAAGACCCTAGGTGTACCTGGCCCGGGCAGGGGTTCTGGGGGTTAACTCCGGAGTCCTGAGACCCTCTCATCATACCCACATCCCTTCCTTCCAACAAAAAGGCACCGAGGACAATCTCCCCTTCACAGTATGCCTGGACCCTGAGACTGGGCGCCACCTTTGCAATGCCTGGACCCAGACAGAGCTCCCACACCCCTCCTGGGAACCAGAGACGGTAAGTAGGAGCTGTCCCAGCTGGATGTGGGGAGAGCAGGCCCTGAGCCTGAGGGAACCCAGACAAATTGTTGGAAGCAGAGAAAAGCAAAAATGCTCAAAAGTCCCCAATGACTTGCACGGGAGGGCAGAAACACTGGTTGCGTTGCAAGGGTAATATTAAAATAGAAATTTCGGTATGTTGGAGGGCAGGAAAGTAACCACTTGCAGGAACAGAAAAGGGACTTAGGGAGGAAAAAAAGACAGAAAACAATACAATGGCCAAAAGGAGGCTGAATAGGAGTGCCAGTGCCAATGAAGTAGATTCCACTACGCAAAGGGAGATGCTGGGGGGTGGGGGGAGTGGTACACAGGGGATATTCATGCATCTACTTAAGTCTGGGTGAGACCAGATGGGTAGTGAAGATCTCTGAGGAATGGCCGACCCCCTACATCACCCAGTGTCTCCCTCCTTCCAGGACCCCCTCCCAACAAGCACCCCGACGACCATCCAGTCCTCCAAGCAGAATTCCCAGACATCACCTCCGTCTTCTCTGCACCGCTCCCCTCCCCCGAAGTCAGTTCCACCTTCTGGTACTCAGCCTGCAGGGGAGCCCCCACTGGCCTCACCTCGTCCCCGGCACCGCTTTCGCTGATGTGTCCATCGTCTCTTACCCCAAAGAAGGATTTTTCTTCTTTGGCATCAGAGTGGCACCTAATCATCTTCCCTTTTCCTGCCCACAGTACCTGTGCAGCTCCCCACCGGATCCATCCAGACTTAGACATCATCTCCCCGACTCCTTAAATATCCATATTACAGATGAGGAAACTGAGGCTCAGTGGGGTTAAGCTGCTCCACCGAGGTGGCAGACGCCTAAGCATTGGAGACCGGACTCTGCTGTCTGCTCTTAAATGAAAGCTCTTGGCCAGAACGCTACACTGACAGGCAATGTGGCTGGGTGGGCAGACTTCCAAACTGCAGTTCCAGAGAGAAGGTTGTAGAAGGGGTGGGACAGGGAGCCTGTGAACACCTGATTGCACCATGTCCCTCCGGGGCCCAGAGCACTCCATGCCTCCGTCTCAACGCAGGGCAAAAGCCAGTCCTCACTAAAGCCCGCCCCACATCCTGCCCCTAACACCTCCCGGCCTCCCCTCCCACCACTTGCCTCCTGCTTCAGCTGCTTCAGCTGCTCCAGCCCCAGTGATCCCCAAACATGCCAAACACACTCCTACCTCAGGGCCTCTGCACCGGCCGTTCCCTCTGCCTGCAACGCTCCTCCCCAGAGGCCCTCCTGGTTCTGTCTTTGGGACTTAGCTCAAGTGTCACCTTCTCGGTGAGGCTTCCCTCCCCTGACCATCCTCAAAGTCACAGTCCCCCCATCCCCATCCTGCCTCCCCACCCTGCGTGATTTTTCTCCAAAGTCCTTTCCCCACATCTGACAGACTGCATTTTACCCTATGTATTTCATTTAATGTCTGCTGCCTCTCACCAGAAATATCAGCTCCAAGAGAAAAGAGCTTTTTATTATCTGTACCTCCCATTGTGCCCCCAGTACCTGGAACACGGGTGGCACAGGTGCCCGACTGATGTCTGCCCCATGCTATGTGTCTCCCTCCCTATGCCCTCAGGAAGGCAAAGACATGTTCCTGAGGAGCAAAGAGCGCCTAGCTCTCCTCAGACCCAGTACCCTTCACCTGGCCCCCACAGAAATGGGTCCTACTACTGTCAAATATTACATTTATTTTTCAGAGAACCTTGCTGCTCAGTGGTAGATGAAGGAAGGACAGTTGCAACCTCAGGAACAAGGTGTGTGGGGCCTAGGTGTCAGGTGCCAAGAGAAACCCTCAAACTGACTCCCCAAAGATTGTCAATGGTGTCAGCCTTTCACAGAGGACGCCCCTCCAGCCCCCAGACTGCCAGTCCTTTACTTCTTCTTCTTCTTCTTGCGGCCCCAGCACTGGCGGCCTGCCCTTCGCCCACCTCCGTCCTCTCTTCTGCTCTGCCAACTGGGCATGGGCGCTTCCAGCTCATTGGGGCGGCCCCCCCGGTCTGGCACGCTGCCCATAAGCACCTGAGAGTTGATCAAAGTTTCCAAGGGAAAAAAAAAAAAGATCTTGGACCAGGATGCCAGAGTCACAGGAGCAGCATGAGGTTGAAAAAGGAAGGGCAATTGCTGGCAATGGGGGTATAGTGCTAGGGAATGGGGGGGCTAGATTGGTGGAAGACACAGACCTGGATTCCAGGGGCCTTAGCAAGAGGGGGAAGGGCAGAGATCCAAGTCGCCACCAAAATTAACAAGAAAACAAAGACACTTCAACTTATGTCTATTTCATGTATGGGGCTTTCTAGCAAGCCAGTGTTATTGTTTTTCTCCCTAACTAGCCACCACTTCCACATCACCTGTAATGTTGTTTGCTTACCTTGAAGTAAATAACTTTTTTTCTTATGTTTTGCCTCACTCTTTACTGAGCTAGACATTATTCATCAAGAATTCACATAAGTATTAGTTATTCAAACAGGGGCATGAAGCTAAATACCTAATCATTTATACAAAGGTTCTTTGCGCTTTAAAATGGTTAAAAATCAATATAATAGACAAGTTGAGGTGGTAGGGAATGATTGTAAGTCAAAGTTGGAGAAGCAGGCAAGGGCTCAGTAAACAATTGGACTTTGTTTTGAAAGCACTAGGAAGCCACAGAAGGGTTTTGAGCTGGGGAAGTGCATGGTCAGATTTCTGTGTGAGAAATGTCCTTCTAGCTGCCATGTGCACAGGGTGGATGAGAGGCGGTGAGTCCAGAGCCCAGGAGCCCAGGCAGAGAAGACAAGGCTGGGCCAGGGCAAAGGCTGGAAGGCCAGTTTAAAGAGCCAAGGATGTAGGTCCCTCCCCCACACCCAGGTGCCCACCTTGTTGATGGCACAGCAGGTCCCTTGACGGGCAGCCTTGCTGGTGGCTGGGACAAGACGAGATAGGTCAGCTCGGGCTGCCAGGACATGTGCGATGGAGACCTCTGATTCTGGGGTCAAAGCCTCTCGAATTGGAGTCAGCACTGCCTTCATGGCCTCTCCTTGGGCCTGGGAAGATGTGGCACATGGAGAAGGTGCCCAAGAGCCCTCCCCAGGTGAGATCTGTCATCTCAGAAGCATCTCTTCCCCATTCAGGGTCTCACTTCCCACATCTCTAAATAAGAAGTATTGTTCTGAAGACACTCCCAGCTCAGGGGGACACCTAGACTCTAGAATGCTATGGGGACTGTGAGATCCTAGAACCCCAAACCCCACAAGGTTCTAAAATGTCCTGTCTCAGAACCTTCAAGGTGGTAAACTCCTGGCCCTCATTCCTCTTCCCTGGGGCTGTTGTCCCCCATCCCCCACCCCCTCCATGCTTCTACCAAAGTCCTGTGCCCACACCTCTGAGCGATCGCTCCAGTGGAAAGCAGATGTCGTGAGGTCCAGGCGGGTGAGGAGGAGACAGCGGCGGCAGTGGTACTGAGTGTGCAGGCTTTGGGACAGAAACTGCAACGCCTCCTGGGGGGAAAGATTTCAGTTGTGACAGGGGTACCCCTCGCTCCCACCTCTGGATGAGATCGCATACAGTCATACACAGCTTACCCATCTGGGTGCATCCAGCGGGTGGCTGAGGAGGGGCTGCAAGGACTCCGGGGGCAGGGAAGGTAGAAGCTGCGAGATCTGAGGGGAGAAGGAAGAGCCTGAGACTAAGTGGGCAGAAACCGGATGGACGCTGTGTGGACTCCTGTTCCCCATGGTCCTGAGGACCCAGAACACGGAATCAGAAAACAGCAGTGTGGCTGGGACAGCCCTCCAGGAGCACTTGTGGAAAAAGGGTTCAGGGTGCGGATGGGGCTTCGGCTTTCTACCTTGGCATGCAACTCCCGCAGCAGCCCACTGGCGCTGGCGGGGTTCCCCGGCGTGGGTCTGGGTAGCCCCAGGGCCTGGAGTGTCAGGAGCAGCTCCTGGACCATGCCAGTTTCCTCTTCACCTCCCTCCCCACGAGGCAGCGCATGCCTAGCATCCAGCCTGGGGTGCAGGCGGAGGAGGCGGGCAGCCTGGAGCTCGGAGCAGAGAAAGCCTAAAAGTAGAGAAAGGGAGTGGCGCAAACTAGGTGGGCTGTCACCCCACCCACAGGGGTCTAAAACCTCCAAAATATTCAAAAACCTCTCTATATATAGTTTCGACCATCTAGAACCTCGAGGAAACCTCCAGAATAGTTTCAGATTTCTCCTCGGAATTCGAGTCCTGCCCACTTCGAAACTACCAGTCCAGGGCCTCCCGGGTAGCGCAGCGGTTGAGCGCTGGGTTGCAAAGCTGCCCGCGGCCTCTGCAGCGCTGGTTCGATCCCCGGCCACTGGAGGAGGGTCCCACATGGCGCGCAGACCTCTCCTGCCGCCCGCTGCTCCCCTCAGCAGTGTACTTCGGTCCTTCTGCCTGCTCTGCTCCCCGCTCTGGCTCTGGTGAGTTCTCTCACCCTCCCGCGCTTCTGACTGTACCCAGTGCTTGTATAAATAAATAAATAAATAAATCTTTAAAAAAAAAAAAAAAGATAAAGAAACTACCAGTCCGGGTGCCTCTAAACCAACCCACGTGAGCTCCGAGATCCGCTAGCAAAGTTCTAACCCCGCCCACAGCGGCGCCCTAAGCCCGCCCCCATGCTCCGGCCCCACCCACTTCGGGCCCCGCGCCCACCCACATCAACGGTGGGCCGACCACGCCCCTACAAAAGTCTGACCACGCCCCCTCAGGAACCCAGGCCCAGGCCAGCGCCTAGGGCCCGCCCCCTCGAGGCTGAGGCCCCGCCCACTTCCGCATCCCCGGCCCGCCCACTTCCGCATCCCCGGCCCGCCCCGGCTCACGCAGCAGGCGCAGGCCCGCGCCGGGCTCCCGCAGCGCGGCCGCGCAGTCTCCGCCGCGGAGCGCGCGGTCGGGGCAGTGCAGCTCTCGCAGCAGGCCGGCCAGCTGTCGCAGGAATTCCTCCTCGGCGCCGGGGCCTACACGAGGCGCAGACGTCAGGGCGCGGCGGCGGCTCGGGCGGTTCCACCCCTCCGACCCTCCCGCTCCGCACGTACAGTGGCCGGCGCGCAGCGCCTCCGCGCCCTCCTCTCGCTCCTGCTTCAGGGCGCCCAGAGTCGCCAGCTCCGCCGCCAGCCGCGCGCACAGCTCCCTGAAGTCTGGGCACCAGGGGCCCAGAGACGCCGCCCCCGGGAAACCCTCATAGCTGCGGTGGGGCCGAGGCGGCGGGAAGGGGTGGGAAAGGTCAATAAGGGCGTCTGAGGACAAACCTGCCCTTTCCTGCACCCACCAGTCACACCCGGCTCCCCTTACCCCAGGGCCAGCAGGTCCCGGGCCACCGAGGCTTCCTCCCGCGCCTCCGCCCCCTCCATGAAAGCGCCTCCTCTTCGCCAGGCGCGCGCCCCCTGCCGGCGGGTAGCGGGCTCCGCCCCAGGAGGCTGTGCGCACCCGCCCCCCACCGACCAATCAGTCTCTCCCGCTGCGGGCCTGCGGCATTCCAATTGGCGCAGGAGAAGGCAGGGCCCGCCCCCGGCCGGCCCGCGCCGAGACCTAGAGCGCCACCCTCCGGGAGGCAATGGGAATGCAGAGAGCCGGGTCAGTTTCCCGGTCGTCGGAGCAGCCGGCGGGCGTGCGCGCTGTGGCAACCCAGAAGCAACCTCGGGTTTCCTTTTCCTCAGCCTCCCTCAGATGCCCTTTGCTCTAAAGCACCCGACACCAAGTGTTGTTCTCCCACTTCCGTCCCGAATCCAGAAACGTGTTTTCTCCCTTCCCATTTAGGGTTGGCACTATGTCAGGGTGCTAGGAATCCCGGCCACACATGCACTGACCAGCGCTGGCCTTTCTCCTTGATCGCAGTGCGCGCCGCAGGGTTTCGCGCCCGCCCCCGCTACGCCTTGGAGAGGGAGCAGGTGCGGTCTACCAGCGAGATGAAAGCGCTGCCCCAGGAGTCAGGCAAACAAGGGAAGGGTGTGACCCCACCACTCACCACCGCGGTGTCCCCGCCGATTTGCTTCTTACCTGTACAATAGAGACGATGACAGTACTCTTGCGAGGGTTAGAGTCCTGTGTGTGTTTAGTAGCACGTAGGGGTTACTCGGTTAAGGAAAACAATTTATATTGGACATTTTGTGTGTGCTACTGGATTAAGTATCTCCCTTTTACACAGAAAAGGGAGGTTCCTCCAGGCATCAATCGCGCGTGATAGTGCTAGGACTTTTTCAGGTCTGATTCCAAAGTGCGTGCTTTTTAACCAATCAACTTATTACTGTTATTACTGGTATAGTAATAATTTATTCCAAATATCCACGTGAGGAGGTGTGAATCTATTCCCCTAAATTATGTAAACTCGTGTAAACCTGTGTTTCCTCCATAAAGGAAAAAAAAAAATTAATGGCTGAACACAAAAAAAGTAAAAATAAAATTGTTTCAGAACTAATCTCTTTTCAACTCGATCCCTGTCTCCAGAAGTGCCTAGATCCTTCTGCTGGCAGCAGGGATAGGCTGGAACCCCCAGAAGAACAAGAGCTGGACATAGTTCCTCAAGGGTAGAGCCTGCTTTTAATCTGATTCCTTCATAGCCTTGCCTACCCCAAACTGGTACTCACGCAGCCATTTGCTGACTTTAAGAAACATTTAAAATTGCTCAGGCCAAAACCTGAAAGTCATAACCTTGACTCCTCTCTTCTATCGAACCCCAAATCTAAGTTTGTGGTCTTTACCTTCAAAACCAATCCAGTATCTGCCCACTTCTCCCCATCTCCACCGCTGTCACCCAGGTCCAGGGCACTGTCATCTCCCCCTCCTTAGATCCGCCCCCACCTCCCCCCCCTCCAGCTGTTCCCCACAGCCAGGCAGAGGGAACCTGTGAACACCTGAGTTGGCCCAGGTGTTTGGATCCTTCCTGTAGCCCCATCTCTGGGCAACACCAAATCCATGCAACGACTTGCACGACCGTGTGGATCTGCCCGTTCACCTCTCTGTCTAATTCCTCCTCTTCGCTTTCTCCCCTCCAAGCACTCCCTTGAAGTCGCTCAGACTTACCAGGCATGCTCCTCCCTCAGAGTCTTGCACTGACTCTTCCCTCTACCCAGAACGTTCCTCCCACAGACATCAAGGGACCCCTGTCCTCCTTTAGGGCTTTATTCAAATGCCAGCTCCACGGTGAGGCCCAACCACTCGGGCTACAATTGACTTTCTCTCCCAGTTCCACTTTATTTTTCCCTCGTAGTAGATATCATTTCTAACCTGTCATTTATTTGGTGTCTCCTCCACTAGAAAGTTCCTAGTGGGGAAGGATTTTTGTCTGTTCTGATCACTGTCTTCTCAAAGAGCCTAGTACCAGGCTTGGCATATAATGTAATGGGTGTTCAATAAATGTGCTTGTTGAGTGACTGTATAAAACTCAGCTAGAGTTCTGCTTAGAATTAAAGGACGTGATGGAGAATTTGAAGAAGCAATCAGGTTAGGGGTTCAGGAAGTGAGTAGATGGGGGCGCATCAATGCAAATAAAGAACACAGGCTGAGACTTTGTCACAGACATTTCTTGGAGTGGATCTCTCATGCCCCCTCCCCCGGATGACAAATCTGGGTCTTTGGCCCCCATCATTTCAGCCTGTACTGACAATGACAATATTGAGGTCACAGACTGGCTTGGTATCAAGATCAGGAAGATAAGTGTCAGGGTGCCTCCCCCAAGTATGGGGGCCAAGCATCTGATCTGAGGGGCTAGCAGTGGGAAATTGGGCCTGGGGACACCAGGGTCTGAGGTCTTCCTGGCTCCCAGGGTCAGCCCTCCACGCACCCCTGATTTGGGGGTGATGAAGAGTAATCATGGATCAGAGGTGGGTATCAGCTGGGAGCAGGACTGGGAGACCTGGGAGAGGCGGTGCTGGGAGGTGGGGGCTGGGGAACCTTCCCCAAGGCCCCACCACTTCATCCGCAGATCCCACAGCACCGTACAGCACTCTGGTCCCCCGTCCCACCCCTCCCCAAAACGAGGTAGGTTAAGAATGGAGCTTCCCCCCGCCCACCACGGAAGGGAGGAGACCGAGGCACAGAGAGGGGGATGGGAACCCAGGCTGGCCCAGCCCCCCCAGTCCCTCCACCCTCAGCTCTGGTGGGTCTGACAGTGATGAGAGACGGGCAGAGTGGGGATGGGAGGGACACCCCCCTGTCTCTTACCCACCCCCGGGTCTGGCTGGGAGAGCTGAATCTCACAGGTTCCGGATGTAATAAATAGTTAATAATTTAAAAGAAGTGACAGAAGGATCTATTCTGGCCCCCCTGATCTATCCATTCAACTCCACCGTGCCATCCAAGTCAGGGTAACTAGGAAAGGTAAGCGCACGTTTCCAGATGCTTGAGACTAGATGCAGGTCCCAAGCCTGTGTAACACTGAGAGTGTCTTGCTCCAAGACCTTGATTCTTCCCTGCCCCTCCCCGAATAAAGGCCATCAGATCTGAGGTACCCTGGAAGCCCCAGGCCACTTGAGGCGAAGAGACCATGGCACCTCCCTTCTCCAGAAGAAGGGTCTCAAACTTTCCACAGCCACCCTCAACTCTAAGATGGAAGGGAAGGGGCTAAGAGAGAATGTGCAAGGCTGGGGACTGCTGTGTGTATGCATACCAGCAGAGCCAGTTAACCCCAAAAGATGCCTTAGAAACACACCTTCCTCTAAGGGCACAGTATGGCCAGCAGGATGTGGGGTGAGTTGCCGCTGCACCCACTTCAGCTGAGTGCCTTGCCTAGTGGCCAGCCTGCACAACTGCCCATGGCAACCCAGGGTTACAAAGAAGCCCTCTGATGGTCCTGGGCTCCAGGAACATGAGTTCCAAATGGGGTTCTTCCCTTACTTGAGTAAAGGGGTAGTTCTGCACAATGCTGGGCCCTTGGAACTACAATTTGTCTGGGACTTTGGGGTCTTGGGGGATGGCAGGATCCTGGAGCAGCAGGTCTCAGGAGACACACAAATTGGGCCTGAGGATTATCAGACTAGAGAGGTTCAAGTCCTAGGAAATCTGGAATCTGAGGGTACTAGGGTCCTGGGATACCTCAAATCTGTCTTTTGGCATAGAGGGACCAAGGTCTTGGATCATGGATAATCCCAATACATGTAGGCCTGAGCCCTGAATTTGGGGTGACAGGGCACCTTGGGGTCTTGGATCCAGTGCTCCTAAAGCACCTTGGGGTCATTGAGGGGCTGGGGAACAAGGGGTCAGAGGTCTGAGTTGCCAAGAGCCCATCTTCTGGGACCAGGGATTGGGGATCTGTTGATACAAAGATTTCAGAATGTTCTAGGACTTGAAATCTAAATCCAAGGGGGACTGGAAGCGGACTTGGGACCAGTGTTTTGGGCCCTGAGGTGGCCTCCAGTGCTACGTCTGGAGGTCCCAGGCACCTCAGAGTCCTGTATGTGAGATCCAAGCTCCTGGGAACACTGGCTTGTGACAGGTGAGTCTACAGCAGTGTTTGATCCCTGGATCCCAGCACCTCAGGGTCTGACCACTGGATGGAGACAGGGGCTCTGAGTTGGGTCTCCCAAGTCATCTTGAGCAGGAAGGACCTGGGGCATTTAAGAGTGTGTGATATCTCAGGAGGCCAGAAGCTATAAGAACATGTCAGATCTGGGTTCCCCGGTTCAGATAAACATTCAGGGGCCATCTGGGGGTGATTCTGGGTTCTGTGGTCTCTTGCTTACAGGTAGAATCAGTTATTGGCAAGTGCTGACTAATTCTGGGGCTGAAATCTGAGTTGTGGTGCCAGGTATGCCCAGGTCTAAGGGGGTCACCTGAACAGGGAGTCAGGACTCACTGCGCTGGGTCTCAGACATCAAATGTTCCCTGGCCTGCTTCCGGCAGAAAGTTTGGGGACACCTGGAGTCTCCTCAGTCTAGATCATGGTGGAGAAAGGTAGGGGAAGAAAGGAGATGCCAGAACTCAGGATGCTGGGACCTCTTGGACAGACACCCCAATGAAGCTGGGTCTAGGGTCTCTCAGTCCTAGATTTGGGGTCCACGGTCCAGATCTGGGGTCTCTCAATCCAAACTCAAGCTCCAAGTTCCGGTGTGCCTAGGTTTGGGTTTGGGGTCCGAATGAAGTCAGGGGTCCTGGACCCTCAATTCTGGGTCCTCGGTCTGGCTACAGGATCTGCCAGGCGGTCCTCACCGCGCAGCCTCCTCGTGGCGACCCCCGCAGCCTGCGCAGCCGCATCGAGCTGCGACCCAGTGGCATGCGCGCAGGGGCGCGTAGCAGCAGAGGCAGGGCACGGCCAGGGAGAGGGCAGCCAGCGCTGCCCAGCGCGCGGCGGGACGTGGGTGGCCAGGCTCACAGGCGCACGGGTCCGAGAAGTCGCCCTCGGCGTCCGACAGGCAGTGGTAGAGCAAGCTCTCCGCGCACCACAGGCAGCTGAGACGGCGCACCAGCAGGCGACCCGGGTCCGGGGCCTCGGCGCAGCGGCCACCACGACCGTCTGCGCGGCGGCGGAAGAGCGCACGGCAGTGCACGCAGCGCGCAGCCTCCTCCGCCTCGGGAGAGGCCTTGGCGGGCTCGGGGGTTGGGCCCGGGGGTGGGCGAGCTGGGGGCGCTGGGGGCGCAGCCTCGGCGAGAGGGGCGGGTAGTGCCGCTGGGGGACCCAGGGCCGCGCCCCTCAATGTGCCAGCCTTGGCGAAGCGCACCACGCAGGTGGACAGAGCCAGGGGCGCGGGGGGCCCGGCGCGCCGATAATCCTCATAGCCGCGGCCGCCCCAGCCAGGGCCCCCAGCCCCAGCCAGGGGCTCTGAGGCCTCAGAGATCCCCGTGAAAGGTAGGAGCGGAGGGTAGCTCTGTGGGATGAAGGGACAGGAGAACAGGTTAGCAGGATCTGTGATCCCCCACACCTCGCTACAATCCCTCCCAGCCTCGGAAGAGGGAAGACTCCAAAGACCCAGGCCTCATTCATCCTGGGAGTTTGAGTGTTCGGATCCCGCATTCAGGCTTCCAAACCCCCAGCCCGCTCCTCTCCTTCAGACAGAAGAAACCCAGGGAGACAGGAGAATCCAGGCACCAGGCCCACACCTTCAGGCTCCCAGCACCATTTTATCTCAACATCCAGGAGCCCCAGCCCCCTGTCCTCCCAGATCCAGGGGTTCTGGATCCCAGCCTCTCTTCCTCAGGACGCAAGAGTCCATCTCCAGTTTCCTGTCGCCCCCTTGGGTAGAGTGCACCCCACCCCAGCATGAATGAAGCAGTCTGAAGGACAGCCTCAGTGAGAACAAGCAACCTCCAAAAACACCTGCAGAATTCACTGTCTGAGTCGTCCCCTAAAAGCCTGGGGAGTTCAGCACTTTCCAAAATCTCCAAGAGGGTAGGGCACCCAGGAGGCCGCACCCAAGCCTCTGAGGAACCTAAGCAACTGAGTCTCCCCCTCCTGGCACCCCCCCCCCCCCACATAAACCAGGGCAGCCATCCCCTAGGATCTGTTTGTGTTTCTCGGCCCTCTGGAACCTCAGTGGCCGCCCACTTCAGGACCCCAGCTGCAGCGGCTTTTCTCCTGGGGTCCCAGACTCCCGCAAGGGCCAAGAGGTCTTACCTGGGCAGAGGAGCGGCGCTGGGGGGGCGTGGCCGGCCCAAAGCCGGAAGCTGACTCCACGGTGCTGATGGGGGCCGCTGCCCCAGCGGTGGGCGGTGTCTCCTGGCGGCTGTGGCTGGAGGAGGAGTCGCTGTCCACGTGGGACTGGGGGAGATTGGCGGCCTCAGAGCCGGACCCGCACAGCCGACGCCCTCAAATAGACCCCCTCCCATTGCGAGCGAGGGCTCTGCCGCCAGACAGACCTGGGTTCAAGCCCCGGTTCTGCCACTGACTGCTTGTGTGACCTCCGGCAAGTGAGCTCATCTCTCTGAGCCTCAGTTTCCTCCTCTGTAAAATGGGGATCATAATAGTATCTATTCATAAGGATGTGGTTAGGACCCACTGAAAAGGGGTGCCTGAATACAGGAAGAGCTGGAACGGGTTCTTATGATTTGGGCCCTGTCCTCATTTTAGCTCACCAATCTACAGAACACCAAATCATCCATCTCCCTCCTCAGAGCCCCTCTCCCTGGGCCAGTCAGCTGCCTTCCAGCCTCATTCCCACCACCACACCTTTGCTGGCCCAATTTCACCCACCGGAAGGTCTTCCTCCCCATGCAAACCAAGTTCTGTCCTTCAGGAGCTGGAATATCACTTCTCAGAACCTTGGTTTCCTTTCTTAATGGGGTCACTCCTTCCTCACCCCTTGACTCTCTCTTCAATAAACATTCATTGAGCACCCAGGACATGCCAGGCACGAGGGCCACTGGGGGGATGTGAGGAGGAACGTGGAAAGCTGTCTTTCCTGAATTGGCACCCCAAACGTGGTTACTGCCAGTGTGACTTTTGTAGACCTGCCCACATCTCCCATTACCCTGGGATCCCCCCTTTTCTGCCCAGGGAACCAGTTTTGTTCCTCCAAGTGTTCTGAGCAACTCCTACTGTTCCCAGCAAGGGCCAAATCGCAACAGACATTATGTGCATTTATTCATTCAATGCATTTATTCAACACACATTTCTTGCACACTTACTGTATACCAGGTATTGTTTTAGGCACTGGAGAGGCAGCAAGGAAACAATAAAAGATAGTTGCCCTCCTGAAGCTGGCATTCTAGACTTCGAGATGGACAGTAAACTAATAGAAAAGAAAATTGGCTATTGGGAAAGGAAATATTGTAGATGAGAAAAAAAATCACAACACAATAAAGGGTACTGGAAGATTGAGATTTTAAACAGGTTAGAGTTGAGGGGGTGACTGTTCCAACACAGCAGGACTAGCTCTGAGACAGAAACACACCTGCTGTGTTAGAGTAAGTGAGAAGGCCAGTGTGGCTGGGGCAGAGGGCGTGAGAGGGTGTGCAATAGCAGCCAGAGGGCATGGAATCTTATGGAAGGATTTCGTCCTCTACCCCAAGTGAGGAGCCCTGGAAGGTTTCTGAACGGGGAACGATCTGACTTAGATGTCTACAGGGTCCCTCTAGGTCTAGGCATACAAGTGGGGGGGGGGATTGACAGTGAGAAGTTGGTCAAATGGCTCAGCTGGAAGATGAGGTTGCACAGTGCCAGGCTGAAGGCACATTCTGATCACTGGTTGAAAATGGAACCAAAGTTTGTGGAAAGATTAGATAAGGAGCATGAGAGAGAGAGAGAGAGAGAGAGAGAGAGAGAGAGCACACAAGCCTTTCTGGTGCCTAGGGGTTACCACTATGCCCTGATTTCAATCCCCAGACAGGGAGCTGACAAACATGGCAGAGCAGACATCTCCTGTCTCATCTGCTACTCCCATAGCAGTGTATTTCAGTCGATTTCCCAGCTCTGCTCCCCACTCTGCCTCTGCTGAATCCTCTCACCATCCTGAACCTCAGGCCTGTACCCCAGTTCCTATGCAAAAATAAATGAAATTTAAAAAAAGATTAAAAAAGAGAGAGGGGGGTCAGAATACCTCCTTGTACAGGAAGGACCTGTCATCCATTTTGTTCATTCATTTACTTTTCTATTCATTTTATTATCATTTAAAAAAATTTTTCGCCTTTACACACTAGAGTGGCGGCGCCATGAGGAAGGAGACTTTGTCACTGATGTATCGCCAGTGCCTAAAACACAACTTGAAGGTGCTCAATATTCTTGAACAAATGTGTGAATCACGATGGAACAGAAAAAAATGACAGTAACTGAGATTGAATTGACAGGAATAGTCTGGGCCCAAGTAAGTGGCATGTGCCTAACACACAAGAGGTGCTCAAGAATGTTCCTAGAGTACAAGCCACCCCCTGCCCTCCCAGCAGATCTGCAGCCTGGGGACTCACCGTCAGAGGGCAGGGGGTCTCTGCAGTGTCCTGGGAAGGGGAGGAGGAAGAGGAGGAGGAGGAGGAGGAGGGGGTGAGTGAGCCTGAGGCAAGGAGAGAGGCAGAGAGTGAGTTCCCTGGGCCCGCTGCCCCCCACCCCTCCACCTCAGCCCCCAGTGCACCCAGTGCCTTCACCTCGACCCAGCGCGGCCAGAGCGGCCAGCAGGCTCTTCTGGAATTCATCAGCCTCTGCCGGACTCTGAAACGTCAGCCCAAACTTGCAATCACCCAGGCTCCAGTGATGGAAGATGGGGTTCACCTTGTTGTAAACCAAGCCTGGCCTCAGGGTACACTCCAAGGTAGTCTGGGGAGGGGCAGGAAGGGGCCAAGTCAAACACCCCCATTCAGCCTGTGACTTGCCCTCAAGCCCAGCCTCTCTGCACACCCCAGCTTCCCACAAACCTCATTTCTGTCTCAGGTGTACCCCTGAACCGTGATCAACATCCTAATACCAGTCTTAATTTTATCGAGCACATCTCTGACATCCCACTAGGAATCCCTGATCTTACTGAAAGCTTCAAAAAATTAGTAACTCCCTTGTGATGACCCAACATCTACCCTGTGACTCACCACACTGACAGTGCTCCCCATCTTAATCCACCTTCTCAAAGCATTACTTCCCCTTCTGATGCCCAATAATCTCCCAAAATGCTGTCAAAGGTGTGCCCTCAGAGCGCTGGTCACCACCTCAGCTGTCCCCTCACAGCTCTGCCCAGCTCACCTACAATTCTTCACCACCTTTCACCGCCACCACCCACAGTTTCCTCCCCTCTCCCCACAAGCCCACCCCCAAGCCTTTGCATCCTTTTGCCACCTCCCGGGTTGAAGCTTCAACAGGGTCCCTCCAAATCACACCAGACAGCCCAAGACACCCCCTCTGAACCCATTAGTTGACGCGTGCAGAGGATTTCCCACCAAATGCCAATATACTTGGGGCAGGCCTGGGCCAGGTGAGGTGAGGATCTCCGGTGAGATGGAGCTGCGGGAGGGTGCTGAGCAGCACGGGAGGTGATCTGAGTCAGGTGTGAGCAGGGCCCGCTGAGGAGGGAGCAGGAGCAGGGCAAGGAGACCAGCCAGAGGGCTGCTGTGACCTCCAGCTGGTGCTGGTGGTGGCAAGGACTGCTTAATGCCCCCAAGATCCTCACTCTCATCCTTAGGATGGATTATCCACCTTCAAGCTCCATCCCACACCCCGGTTTGATTCCAGGAATGGGAGATGACCTGACCTCACCTCTGCTCTCCCAGCCCCATCCCCCTACTTCCCCAGACCCCCACCCTGCCCCCTCGCCCCAGGGTGGCTCACTTTCTGGTCCCGGAGGCGCTCCCCGTGGATGACGAAGTGCCCCTGGCGGGTCCCCCCCTCGGGCCTGGCCCCTCGGACCCGACATACGCTCACCTGGCTGAGGCCCCCGCCCCCCACAGGCAGCCAGCCCCCACTGGAGTCATCTCGGGCCATCACCACAGCTCGGACCCGAACCATGTACCTGGAGGAGGTGGGGGGGACAGGAACAACATGGTCAGTGAGCGCGGATCCCCGCACATCTGTCACGATTCCCTCAGCCCTCACCTCCCCTCTACATCTCTCAATCTGGATCCACCACGGCCTTCACCACGGACACCCCATCTTCCATGCCCACCTTCTCCCCATTTCCATCACCCCCATGCCCACCTTCTCCCCCATTTCCATCACCCCCATGCCCACCTTCCCCCTCATGCCCACCTTCTCCCAGAGTGTCTTCTTTCTTCCTCATGCCATCCCTTTTCTCTCCTGCCTCCCTTCTTCTCCACTTCTACCTTTTCTCCCCACGCCCACCTACCCTCCCTTCCCCCCATCCTTCCCACCCGCACCCCCAGAGCCTGGGTTTTCCACTGCCCTTCCCCCTCCTGCTCATCCCTTACCAGCCCCGTCTCCTTCTCCTCCCTCAGCACAAACCCACAGCCCCACCCTTCCGTCCCCCTCACAGCTGGGTGCCTGCGCATATGGATTTTCTTGGAGCCCATCAACACGGCTCCAGTCCCCCCGACTCTGCCTCCGCACCCCGCCGCCCAGGCCAGCGGCCGGGTGAGCAGCCCAGGCCCCCCCCCACCCCTTCCCGGATTTATGAATGAGACCGGATGCAAAGCTCACTGAGTCACCCAGCAACGGGCGATGGGCAGGGAGCAGGGAGAGCACCGGCAACGGCCAGAGAGCGGCCGACAGCGAGACGCAGGCAGAGGCAGCCGGGAACCGGCCGCTGGGACGCGGCCAGAGAGCCGTTCATTCACAAAAACGCAGCGGCTCCCTCAGGCCCGGCCGGGGACTGCGAGGGGAGAGGCGCGGGGGGCGGGAACCGACTCTCCTCCTCCCCCGCCCCGCCCCGCCCCGGCAGCCTTCACAGCCCTGTCACCCCGCCCCCAGCTCGGGGGACCCAGCCCTCCGCCCGGGACCGGGGTCGGCGTCCGGCCTCCCGCTGCCGGCGGGTCCGGGGCCCGGGCCGCCCCCAGAGACCCGGGCGGCGAGCGCCGACCCCTCCCCCGCCCGCCGGCTGCCGCGGGCCCCCGCCCCGCGCGAGGGGAAGGGGCGGCCGCAGCGCCCCCAGCCCCCTTTTCTCAATGGGAAGGGATTTTGTGAATGAGCGGTCACGTGACTCGGCCTCCTTTGTCCGCCCGCCTCCCCCGACAACAGGTGAAGCCCGGAGGCGGCTGGGGTCCCCCCGCGGGCCTAGCAGGGACGGGACGCGGGCGTTTCGGGCGCTCTGCGGGCCCCGCACAGGTTTCCCGGGGCAAGTGGTCCCGGAGCGCCTCAGCGGTGAGGGTCCACTACGGAATTTTCTGAATGGGGCGTCCGCGGAGCAAGCCCGGGCCCCCAAATGGAGACTGGTACCCCAAATGGCTGCCGCGCAGTTTAGGGGCCCCCACCCCCTTGTCCTTCCAGCCGGGCCGGGGGCGCCCCGGCGGCAGGAGGCGCGGCGCCGTCCGGCCGCCCCCTCACGGGACCGGAGGGCTGTCACCCCATCCCCGCGCCCCCCGCGGCACCTGCCTGGGCGGCTCCGGCCGGGCTCCGAGCGGCGGCGACGTGGCCTCCGGCTCCTCCTCCTCCTGCTCGCTCCGGCTCCCTCGCTGGCTCCGCGGCGCTAGAGACGGGCACCGGGAGCCGGGCGGGGGGGAGGGAGGGGAACCTGGAGATGGGGGGAGGGGGCGGCGGGGGGGAGGGGGGAGGCGAGGCGGGCGCCCTTGCCCGCTGGGTCCTAGAGCCCGGCACGGTCGCGCGAGCACAGCCCCCAACCCCCATTTTCTCAGGACCCGGGGAGGCCCCCGACCACCCCCCCATTCGCGACTCGGGCCCTGGGCGTGTGGGGAAAGGGTCCGGGCCGAGCCGCTTCAAGCTGCCGAGGGGCCGAGGGGCTCCGCTCCGGGGTCCAAGTGGGAGGGGCTCCGCGCGCAGCGGGGTTCGGAAAGGGGTGGGGCGAGAGGCGCCCGCCCGAGGGGGCGTGGTCGCCGGGCCGCGGCCAGGAGGCTGAGGACGCCGAGGCGCGGGCCGGGCTGCGTCACGGAGGGGCGGGCCGCGGGGGCGGGCCGCGGGGGGAGAGGGTCGGGGGGAGACTGCGGGTCCTGCGGGCGGGGCTGAGAGGGACATCCGCGGAGCGGGGCGCGGAGACCCTAGGAGGAGGGGCCGCGGGGCTGTGCTCGGAACGGGCGGGGCTTCGGGAGCGGGACGAACGGGAGGGGCGGGGCCACAAGGGGGCGGGGCGAGGCATCGTTCTCAAGGGGTGGGTGTGGGACGAGGCCGGGGCGGGGCGGAAGGGATCCGAGCGTGTAAACCCACGCCCCGGTTGCTAAGGGGCCGGCCCAAGATGGCTGACAGGGGGCGGGGCCCGGGGCAGGGGCGGGGCCGAGCTCTCGGGGTCCGCCCTTGCCGTCTCGCCCTCCGGCCTTCACCCGCACCCCCGTTCTTTTCGGTTATTTTCTGCAGCGGCCGTTCCCCGCCCTGCCCTGACCCCGGGGGCCGCGGTCTGAACTCTGGTCTGGAGGAGTCGGTGAGTGGGCGCTTCAGCCCGAGGCGGGGCCGAGGCGGCGCTCGGGGCGGGGCGGGCCTGAGTGTCGGGGCCGTGGGGACGGGGCGGGGCGGCGGGCGGGAGGGTGCGGTCTGAGGCTCCGCTGCTGCCCGGCCCAGAGCGGGTCCGGACACGGGGGATCGAGGAGCCCAGGACGGAGGCTTAGCCTGACGGGACACCTGGGATCGCGGGGTGACGGGCGCTCACACGTGCGGCCGGTGGGTGGGCGAAGCCGGGGTCCCTGAGCCCCGGGGGCGGGGCGGGGCGGGGCGGGGGCGCGGCGGCCGGGTTGGCGCGCGGGGAGGGAAGTTTCAGCCCCTTCTGGGCGTCCTGAGCCCCCGCCGGGAGAGACGCGCCTCCCTGACTGCGGAGAGCGGCCCGACCAGCGTTCGGGGCCCGGACGCCGGGGCGGTGGCCGCGGGGTAGGGCCGAGGCCGGAGCGCGCAGCCGACAGCGCGGACTGAACGCGGCGCGCGGGAGGACGGGCCTCGGCGACCGAGCGGCAGCGGGAGGCGGCCGCGGGGAGAAACTGAACGTGGAGAGCCCGGGACAGCGATGCGGCCGGGACTCGTGACCTAGCGCCCCTTGGAGGGCGTGGGGGTCCCGCGCAGGGGTGCGGCCACGCACAGGCAGCCCCGTGGGGTCGCACAGCCTCGCAGACTGACCGCCTGGCGTTTTCTGGTCACAGTCCCCGACCTTGGTCAGAAATGGGGAACGTGCAGTCGGAGCCGTCCGCAGGCGGGGGCTCCCGGAAAGAGCAGGCCCCCGACCGCGCCCCTGACTCCCGTCGGACGTCCCTGGTGGAGCCCGAGGTGACAGCCGCCTCCCCGGCCATGCGCCTGGCTCGCGGGCTGGGCGTTTGGTTCCCCACCAGCTCCGCGCCCCCGGGACTCCTGGTCCCCCCCGCGCCCCAGGCCACCCCGCCGCCCCTCACCCTGCCCCTGGACCTACACTCGCCCGTGACGGCCCCCTGCGAGGCGGCGGCGGCGGCCGCGGTCTCCACACCACCCGCCGCCCCCGCGGGGAGTCTGCTGCCCGCGCCATCCAAGTGGCGCAAACCCGCGGGCGCGCCGGTGCCCCGGATCCGCAGCCTGCTGGACGCGAGCCACCGCGGCCAGGGCGACCCTCCGAGCCTCCGCCCGCTGCCGCCGCCACCCAGGCCGCCGACCCAGGAGGACGCGGGCCCCGCCGCGAGGGCTCCGTCCCCGCCGCCGCCGCCCGCCGAGGCGCGGAAGCCGCCCCCGCCGCCCCCTCCCGACCGGCAGCCTGCAGGCCGCACAGTCACCCCCGCGCCGCCCGCGCCCGCCGCCGGCCCCGCAGACAGCCCGGCCGCGCCCCGCAGCCAGGGCCAGGCGGCCGGCCCGCTGCGCAGAGGGCCGCTTCCCCAGGCCGGAGAGGGCGAGCGGGCCCGCGCCGCCGCTGCGGAGGCCGGCCTCAGCCTCCTGTGCAAAGTGACCATCAAGCCCGGCACGCCTCTGCCTACTACTGCGGCAGCGTCGAGCGCCTTGGCCGCCAAAACCCCGCCGGGCGGCGGCGGCGGGGGCGGCGGGCCCTTCTCTGCGGCCGCGGGCGCCATCTCCTACGCCCAGGTCCTGAAGCAAGGGCCCCCGGCTGCTGCGCCCGCCGGCCCCTCGGCAGGGGCCCCGCGGGGAGCCCAGGAGGCAGAGGGCGGAGATGGAGACGGCGAGGGCGGCGCCGGGCCCCCCTCGGCGCCCGCGTCCCACGCCCGGACGCTGCCGCCCCCTCCCTACACCACCTTCCCAGGCTCCAAGCCCAAGTTTGACTGGGCGAGCCCCCCCGACGGCCCCGAACGCCACTTCCGCTTCAACGGGGCGGGCGGCACCGTCGGGGCACCCCGACGGCGCGCGGCCGCGCTCTCAGGGCCGTGGGGCTCCCCGCCACCGCCTCCCGGCCAGACACACCCCGCCGCCGGCCCCCGGAGGCCCGCGGCCGCCCTGCTGGCGCCGCCCATGTTCATCTTCCCGGCGCCCCCCCACGGCGAGCCTGTGCGCCCCGCGCCCCCCGGCCCGCAGGAAGGGCCCGCGCCGCGGCCGCCCCCGCCGGCTCCCGCGCCGCCGCCCGCCGCCCCGCCCCCGCCGCAGCCGCCCGCGCTCCAGCCTCCGCCGCCGCCCGCGGCGCGCCCGCCCACCCCGGGCCCGGGCCCCGTGGAGTCGGCCCCGGCTCTCGCCCCAGCGCCCGCTCTGCCCCTCGCCGTGGCTGCCGACCCGCCTCCACTCCCGCCCCCTTCCCCTTCTCCGGCACCGGCCCCCAACCCGGCCCCGGCCTCGGCCCTGGCCCTGACGCCGGCCCTGGCCTCGGGCCCCGCCCCGGCCGCGGCCCCGGCCTCGGTCCAGGTGCCGGTCCTGGCCCCGATCTTGGAGCCGGCCCCGACTCAGGTCCCGGCCACAGCCATGGCTCCGGCCCCGGCCGCGCCTCTGGCTCCATCAGAGCCTCTGGCCCCGGCCCCGGTCCCGGCCGTGCCCCCGGAACCAGCCCCGGGCCCGCCTCCGGTTCCATCCCCGGCTCCAGCTCCCACCCTGCCTGAGCCATCGCCGCCTGCTCCCGCGCCCGTCAAGACCCGCACGCGAAGGAGCAAGGGTTGCCGCGCAGCCCGGGGCGCACCGCGCGAGGATGGCGCGCCTGGAGATGGTCCTCGCCAAAGGACTGCAGCCACCGGGACGCACAGAGGCGGCGGAAGGGGTGGTGGCGGCAGGGCCCCTCTGGCAGGGACGGCCAACACCAGCGCTGCGCGCCACTGGCCGCCCTTCCAGGTGCTTAACTCTTGTCCCTGCAAGTGTTACTGCCGCCACCAGCCGCGCCATCGCCGCCTGCCACGCAACGTGTCTGCCTGGTGAGGGGAGGCGCGGGGCAGGGAAGGGAGGGCCTACGCCTTAAGTCCTCACCCCAACTTTCCTGGCTAGATTCCTATGCAGCCCTTTGGTGTCCTGATCCCCTTGGTGCATATCAAACCCAGCTCAGCTCCAGCCCCTCAGGAGCCTGGACGCTGTGACCCCAGCCCCTTGATCTCTAGACCTTCAAGGTGACCCTTTGGCTCTCTACTCTCTGGAGCCATCAGGGAGGGAAGCTGGTCCAAGCGCCTGACCCTATTCATAGCCTTGACCCTGTTCCTGAGAGTAGTCTTCTGGAGCTAATGTGTAAATGCAGATCTCCAAAGAAGCCCCTCTGGTGTTTTTCCAGCCTCTGGCAACTTCTCTGGCTCCCAAGACCTTGGCCACCAGAGGGCACTATTGCCCCGGCCGCAGAAAAAGGGAAATACAGCATCTTCGTTATAAACCCTGCCCCACCCACAACTTAGTCTCTGGATAGGTCACCCAGGCTGCTGAGGACTCAGGAGCAACTGGGAGGCCCTGCCTTAGATCCTTTGGAACTTAGCTGGGGTCTCAGGGTAGGGGGACAGTAGCACCAGCCCTCAGCACCCTCTTACACCAGGTGAATACAGTCCTGCGTAAAAGTAAGTGCCTTTGGGAAATGCAAACTTGGCTGCTGGAGACCAGCCCCAGCTAGAAGTTGTGTCAGGGGTCTTAGAGAGAGGACGGCATCCGCCAAGGAGGCGCAGCCTGCCGCACTTGGCCTCTTATACAGCCTGGGAAGGGGGAACCTAAAAGGGGTAAAGGTCTGGCCAATCAGGCCCGGCTCATTCTCCCCTCCCCATAGGCTGAGCACACCCACCAACCACCTGAGCGAGCCACCCTGCATCTCCACCATCAAGCTCGAGGGCTTCCTGGTTGCAGGGCTGGAGCACTTCAATTTGCAGGCCGCCCATTCCAGCTGAGGCGGTCTGGGCAATGCCCTCCACCTTCCCTCCTGGACAATAAAATAACCATCCGCGTGCCTAGCTGCCTGTCAGTCACCGCGGGCCAGGGTGGGATAGGAGGGGCCAGCAGAGCTCCTGGAAAGACAGGAGGCTGGACCCAGAGCAGTAGTCACGGAGGTTCCCTTCACCTGGCATCTGGATGGAGGGGCCCAGGGATGAGAAGGTTCATCCCCCTATTATCACTGTAATGATAGTGATCCGGAGCGAAGCTGAAGGGTTCGGTACAATCACTTGGAAAGGAATGGGCCATTTCCCTTTTCACAGCTGGGGAACTGACTGGGAGGCTTTCTTGAAATCCCACATTCAGTAAAGGGTTTAACCAGATTTGGACTCGGCCTTCAGTGCCTTCTCACAAACTTCAGGACAGGAAACAGGTGGGAGAGGCGAGGTCAGAAGCCACAGCACTGGCTCAGGCAGGGTGGGGCCAGGGGAAGCCCACGCCACGCTCCGTTGCAGAGATCTCACCTGGGAGCCCACAGACAGCCTCCATTTCACGTCATTTCACGCACTGGTTTAATTCGTTGCAAACATCTTTTCAAGTGAGGATCTTCAACCTCCTTCACGAAAACAGCAGTGCCTCGGCCTGGCCTTCCTGTGTGTCCACAGCTGGCTGCCAAGCCCCTGGAGACCTTGAGTAACAGCCAGCCGACAGAGGCTGACTGATGGAGGGCTCCCAAGCTTCCAAGTTCTTCAAAGATAAGAACTCCTGGGCCTCCCTGGTGGCGCAAGGGGTTAAGATGCAACCTATGAAGCTATCCACGGCCACTGCAGCACAAGTTCGATCCCTGGCCAGGGAGCTGACCCACACCGCGCAGCAGACCTCTCCTGTCTCACCCACTGCTCCCCTCAGCAGTTTAATTTCAGTCAATCTGTTCCCCACTCTGTCTCTGGTGAATCCTTTCACCACCACCCCATACCTCTGACCTGTACCCCAGTTCTTGTATACATAAATCTTTAAAAAAGATAAAAAGGTAAGAACTCTCCCCACCATTCCACCCAGGCAGACCAGAGCCCAGGAGAAAGACGGTCAATCCATTTTTATTGGAGGAAACCTGCACTGTGCCCACTTTAAACAATGCAAGCCTCGCTCCACGCCTGGCGGCTCAGACGATCATCTCCAGCTGCCGCGCATACTCGATGACCTGCTTGGCCAGCTCCGTGGAGGGAATGGTGGTGTCCTCCGGCTTCTGCTGCTGGCTGGCGAAGCTGTAGTAGTTGTTGTGGCCGAGGACCCACCCTCGCTGCAGAAGGGAGGCAGGAGATGGGTGTGAGGGTCACACAGGGCCCCTCTGCACCCCACAAAGCCAGCACTTGGGTCTTGGTTCACTTTCCTCACCAACTGACTCTACCTGAACAACCCCAGGCAAGTGACTTCACCTCTCTGTGCCTCAGTTTCTCTACCTTTCAGATGGGAGCCCTAATCACAAACTTCTCAGTCTGCTGTGAGGATTCAGTGAATCAACACCTTTGAAGTGCACACAGGAGTCCATGGTCCAGAATAGATGAGTAATAAACATCAGCTGCTGGGCCTCCCTGGTGGCGCAAGCGGTTAAGTGCAGCACTGTGAAGCTATCTGCAGTCAATGCAGCAAGAGTTCGATCCCTGGCCGGCCAGGGAGCAACCCACATGGCACAGCACACCTCGCCTGTCTCACCCGTTGCTCCCCTCGGCAGTGTATTTCAGCCTGCCTGTTCTGTTGCCCACTCTCTCTGGTGAATCTTCGCAGCCCCTGGCACCTCTGGCCAGTACCCCAGTTCTTGTATGCATAAATAAATCTTAAAAAAAAAAAAAAATCAGTTGCTGCCAACACTAAAATTCAATTTCAACTCCTCCAGTCAGTTCCTGAGCCTCCTCAGACACCAGGGTCACTGTAACCCGGGGAATGGCATCCCCGGGGGCGTGGCTCCTGCTCAAACACCCCAGACCAAACCCAGTAGTCCTGTGGGAAAAGGCTGCAACCTTCGAAGAATCCTGACAAGGCCAGCAGCCACGGTGGATGCGGCAGAGAATGCACCTCCACTGGTGCCAAGTGCCGTGCTAAGCTCATCCCGTGTGAGATATTCTAGGATTCTATCAGGTAGGAAAACTGCAGCCCAGAGAAGTGTAGCGACTCACCACACAGCTGGATTTAAACCTGTGTAGTTTGCTCCACTGACCTTCTTCAAGCCACCCCATGCTGCTCTTATGGAGCTACCCCTTGCACCATGACCCCTTGCCCTGTGCCCCAGCCACCTTCTTGGCGTAGTCTGTCATCTTTTTGGGTGTGTTGAAGAAGAGGATCCGGGTGGCTTCGGTGAAGAGGATCTTCTCATAGGCCTTCTCGATGCACCCAGCAATCTCATCCCTGGGGGAAGATGAGGGCCTTACTACAGAGCAGACGCTGCCCCAGCCCCGTCCTGCTGGCCTCAACACGGACAGCAGCCCACTCCTCCTCGAGCCCCCGCCCAGTGTCTGCCCGGGCCCTGTTTATCTCATGAGGCTCAGAGACAGGGAGTACCTTGACCAGAGTTGCAAAGTCAGGGGCACGCTGGGTCCATACCGAACCCCGCTCACTCCTGACCCAAACTGGAATCCCTTCGTAGTCACGAGGTACTCAGGTTCACTGAGCCCCGGCCTGGGATTCACGTGAGAGAATCTCGTCACATAACACCCACCCCCCATAAGGCGGCTGCACCTCATTTCTGGATTTAATCCATAAAGGGATCCTAGTACCGGTCAGGAAGTTTTACGATCCACTCAGACACAGAAAGCAGTGAGGCATTCGTCACCAGAATGGGAGACAGGGTCAGCTCTGGGGGGACACCAGTGACAAGAGGCAAGCACCCATTTCTTATGTATCGAATCTTAGGTCAAGTGGTTGGTTTGTGGGTATTCATTAGATTACGACCTGTTCACTTCGGAAAACTAAAATATTTCAGAGTTAAAAATAACCGAAACCAGCTAACTGTCCCTCCCCACTCCCACCACATCTCTGGGTTGGCTTTTTTTACCCAGGGAGTGGGAGGGCACTCCATCCGGGACTCCGCCTGCGTCATCCAGCCCTCATGCCATTTCACTCCTTGAGGGGTTTGTAAATGTCACGCCCACCTGCTCAACTGATGTCACTAGTTCACGCTTCATGCCCCGGGGGGGCAGTGGGACTTGGTGGTCCTGTTCTGAAGAAGGGGAAACTGAGGGCTTCAGTTTAGGTGACCTGAGGTGAGGGACGTGACTCGTGGGCTGGAACCCTTCTAGACAATCAGCATGTGAGTGCTTCTGGGCCGCACCTGCCCATGCTCAAGGTCTGATATGCGTGGACACATAAGTTTGACAGCCCAGAGCAAGAAGAGGGCTGTGACCACAACCTCATGACCAGTTCCAGGTCAGACACAAGAAAACTGATGTGCCCAGTCCCCGCAGACCACAGATGGCCAGGTGGGATTCAAACGCAGGGTTGTCTGCCACCAATCCTTCAGGGACCCTGCCGGGCACTGGCCTCCCACATACCTGATAGTGTCAAGCAAGATGTCAATGAAGAAGGTATAGCTCTCAGCAGGGATATTGCCTTTGGCCAGGAACACCTTGTTGTAGCTGCCCTCCATCAGGTACTGCAGAGGCCGGGGGTGGGGAAGAACAGGATGAGGAAGAGACAGCAGGGGTGCCCACCTGCCAAAGCTACACGATGTTCTAGGCCCTTATCATCTCCACTGTGCCAGAATACCCCCTGCCATACAGTACCCACTCCCCATGCAGACCGGGCACCTCCTCTCCTAGGAAGTCCTCCTAGATTTATATACATACACAGTCATGGGTAGACATCTCACCTCATCATCACATCTATTCTCCAATTACAGGAGGGAGACAGAACAGGAATAAAGTTCATCCCTCCACTTTTGCCCAACCTGTGCTGCCTGCCCCCATAACTGCCCTCTCTCATCTCCCCACGGCAAAATCCTCTCATGAGCCCTCAGCTCTAGAAGCTACTTCCTAACTGTAGGCACTAAGGCTCTTCTCTGACTCTTCTCTGCTGTTCCATAAACACTGCCCACTTTGTTGTTTCTCAAACATATCAGGGATGTTTCTGCCTTTGGACCTTTAGACTGGCTGCCCCCTTTGCCTCCCCAGATGTCCACGTGGTTCTACCCCTTTCAAGCTTTTTCAAAGGGAAGGTGAGCAAGGCCTTTTCTGACATCCCTTTAAAAATTTCACTATGGGGGCCTCCCCGGTGGCGCAGCGGTTGAGCGCTGGGTTGCGAAGCTGCTCGCGGCCTCTGGGCGCCGGTTCGATCCCCGACTGCTCCCCGGCCACCGGAGGAGGGTCCCACATGGCGCGCAGACCTCTCCTGCCGCCCGCTGCTCCCCTCAGCAGTGTACCTCGGTCCTTCTGCCTGCTCTGCTCCCCGCTCTGGCTCTGGTGAATTCTCTCACCCTCCCGCGCTTCTGACTGTACCCAGTGCATGTATAAACAAAACAAACAAATAAATAAAACATGCCTCTATTTAAATAAATAAATAAATGAAAATTTCACTATGGGGGCCTCCCTATTGGCGCAGGGGTTAAATTCTCAGCGCTATCAAACTATCAGCAGCCACAGCAGCCTGAGTTCAATTCCTGGCCAGGGAGCTACCCACACGGCACAGCAGACCTCTCCTGTCTCGCCCGCTGCTCCCCTCAGCAGTGTATCTCAGTAGATCTTCCTGTTCTGCTCCCCACTCTGTCTCTGAATTCTTTCACCGCGCCTACCCCTGCACCTCTGGCCAACACCCCAGTTCTCCTATGCATAAATAAACCAAATCTTATAAATAAAAATCTAAAAAATCTCACTGTGCCCCTGACTCTCCAGCCTGCACCCTGCTTGGTTTGTCTCCATAGCACATAACATCTGCCAGGCCACACAGGTTACTTCAGGCTGCATTGTCTGCCTCCTCACCGGAATGACAAGCCCACAGGACTAGGGCTCTGTCTGTTTTGTTCACTGTACAGTATAAAAACTAACCACCGTGCTGGGCACATGGCTGGGGCTCTGTGTCTGTTAAACAAATGAGTCCATGGGCTGGAAGGTGGGTGAATCTGTCACTCCTCTAGGAAACCCTACCCAATATCTGTGCCTGCACCACCCCCTTTGCCCAGCACTCGCCTTCCCCTCCCCAGTCTCACTTGCTCGAGGGACACAGGATGCTTGATGTACACATTGGTCTGGATGTCCTTGGCAGGCAGCCGCTCCAACTCTGTGTGGAACTCAGCCACCCGGTTCTGGGACAGCAGGAAGAGGAGGTTGAGGCCCAAGAGCTGGTGCATGTAAGCTGACTCAGGGAGCTGCTCCCTGCAGACCGAACCAAGGTAAGGAGAGCTTAGGAACCCACCAAGCCCCTCCCACTCCAGGTTCCAGGGACCCATGTGACTGCCCCAAGCTGTCTTCTTGGAGGGGTATCCAGTCCTGGGTTTTCAGACAAAATGAAGCCCAGAGAGACATGATGAAGTCATGAGTCATGGATGCAAGCACACAACCTCACCGCAGAAAAGGGACTCAGCCTCAGTTTCCCCAACTATAAAATGGGTATCACCACAACATTCACTCCAGAAGTAAGATCAATGAATATGAATAATAATATGAATTAAAAGATTTAACCCAGACAGCTTCCCCCTCTGCCAGTGGCGCAGCGGGTTGAGTGCAGAGCTGTGAAGCTGTCTGCAGCCTCTGCAGCGCGGGTTCAATTCCCGGCCAGCCAGGGAGAGATCCACATGGCGCAGCAGACCTCTCCTGTCTCGCCTGCTGCTCCCCTCAGCAGTGCTTTCGGTCCGTCTGCCTGTTCTGCTCCCCACTCGTTCTCTGGTGAATCCTCTCACCTTCCCACACTTCTGGCCTGTACCCCAGTTCTTGTATAAATAAAATAAAAATCTTTAAAAAAAAAAAAGGAGGGCCTCCCCGGTGGCACAGAGGTTGAGCGCTGGGTTGCGAAGCTGCCCGCAGCCTCTGCAGCGCAGGTTCGATCCCCGGCTGCTCCCCGGCCACCGGAGGAGGATCCCACATGGCGTGCAGACCTCTCCTGCCGCCCGCTGCTCCCCTCAGCAGTGTCCTTCGGTCCTTCTGCCTGCTCTGCTCCCCGCTCTGGCTCTGGTGAATTCTCACACCCAACCGCGCTTCTGACTGTACCCAGTGCTTGTGTAAAAACAAACAAACAAACAAACAAATAAAACATGCCTCTAAAAAAAATAAAAATAAAAAAAAATCATTAAAAAAAAAAAAAGATTTAACCCAGATACAGTGATAAGAATAGTAGCTGTACAAATAAATATTGCATAACTACTAACAATGATTATGATATGAAGAATCATTACCCTCACTTCAATGGGGAAACTGTCATCTGCCTGAGACCACATGACTAGGAAGTTTCAGACTCAGGTTTGTTGGACATCCAGTGTCAAATTCTTTTTTTTTTTTAATGATTTATTTATTTATACAAGCACTGGGTACAGTCAGAAGCGCGGGAGGGGGAGAGAATTCACCTGAGCCACAGCAGGGAGCAGAACAGACAGACTAACGAAAGACATTGCTGAGGGGAGCAGCGGGCACGACAGGAGAGGTCTGCACACCATGTGGGACCGTCGCCCGGCGGCCCGGGATTGAACCGGCGCTGCAGAGTCTGCGGGCAGCTTTGCAGCCCAGCTTTCAACCGCTGCACCACCGGGGAGGCCCAGTGACAAATTCTTAATCAGTAATCCACATCCCCAGAGCAAGGAGTCCCTGATCTGGGCCTAGCCCCTGCCAGGCAGTGTTGGGACTAGCAGTGACCACGACAACCCCTACCTTGAAGAGACTCACAGCCCAGTAGGAGAGACAGAGCAGGACAGAGACACACGGGCAGAGGAATCAGGACCAGGGCGGGGGAGACAAAGGCAGAGGGGTCCCAGTTGATTCAGTGCCAGAGGCCACAGGAAAGAGCTCGATCTAGAGCCCAGGGGCCATGCACAGCCACGACAGGTTCGAAGTGGGGGTTCAACATGGCCCAATTTTAGCGTCACAAATATCCCACAGGCTGCCATTAGGGGATAACCCAAGGGGGCAAGGCTAGGTGAAAGGCGACGGCTATACTGAGGAGTGGAAATTAGTGTGGGAAGGGGGTGACAGGCTGGAGGCCAGCAGGGACCAGATCATACAAACCCAGACTGAGAGGCCCTCCAGGCCAATCCGGTCACCCTCAGCCTCTGAGGACAGGGCTAGGCAAAGGCGGAGTTCTAAGTGAAGGGAGACAAGCCGAGTGTCTGGAGCAGCAGGAATACAAGGTATCGTGTAACCACCATGACTCTCTGCACCCCCCACCACCCATCAGGGACAGGGTCTAGCCTCACTTGTAATCGAAGTAGTAGCATTTGAGCTGGGCCATGTAGCGCTCGAAGGAGGGGATGTCCTTCCGTAAGATGCTCCACTGGGCCCCAATTTCCAGTATGTCACCTGTGGGTGGCAGGGCAGGTTGTCAGGAGGTAAATGAGCCCCTCCCCCGGCCATGACTGAAGCCACTCCTGCCATTACCCTTCCCCCCATCCCCCAACCAGCCCTAGGGACACTCACGGGCCAGAATGAGCTGCTGTTTGGTCAGTTTGGTCCCTGTGGTTGGCAGGAAGTTGAGTTCCAGCAGAACCAGCTGAGGAGGAGGGCCGGGCAGAAAGAAAGGAAGAACAACACTTCAAAGAGAGATCACAGACCTTCTCCTAGGCTGTGGCCTTCCCACCTGGAAAATGGAGCTAATCATCACCCCTGACTCATAACATTGTTATGAGCACTGAAGGAGCCCAGTGCTCATAAGGCATCAAAACAGAGCCTGGGTAGACTGCATGCTTATTGTGGACACCTATTACAATTATTCATAGCTCCAGAGGGGAAGCGGGAAACAAACTCCCTGCCTGACCCAGTGGAATCGGGGCGGGGAGGCACTGGCACCTTCAGTTCTTGGGAGATCTTCCCAAATTCTATTGTGTTCTGCCCAGTCACAGGCTCCCCCAGCCCGCCCGCCCAATCACCACCGGGGAAGGAGGAGCACTAACCTCCCCTCATAGGCCAGCCCACACATCATTCCTCTTCTGGAAAACCCTCAGCATCCAGGCCCGCTGCACTCGTTCCCAAACACACTCGGTCTGAAGCTCTGCGAGCCCCATCCTGGTCTTCTAAGAATGCTTCCACGATTGTCTTGCCTGCAACGTGGCTGCCCCCCGCCCCCCAACCCTACACACACGGATACATCCCTAAACTCCAGGTCTCCCAATCGCTAAGCCAGTTTGGCATTCACCACACATTCCATCACCTCAGCCGCCTTTCATCACCCCATCTGATCCTCGTTCTCTCGGCCAGAACCCGCCACCAGAAAACCTCCGACAGCTCCATCCTGCCATTCCGGCCGGTTAGACCTCCGAGCACCTTGCACTTAACCGCTCGCTGGGCTGTGCCAGAGCCACGCTTCCCACCCCTCCCCCCACGGTGGGGCCGCTTTTGGCCCGTGCCAGTCGCGCTCGCTCCTCCGCCCGCCCCAGACTGCACTTGGGCTGTTCCGAATCTCCCACCCGATCGCCTCGCCCGGCGCGCTCTGGGCCGGTCGGCCCCGCGGCCCGGGTGCCCTTAGACCCCTGGAAGCGGCCCCTGCTCGCCGTACCTTGAGGCGGCCCAGCTCTTCCCCGCACTTGCTAAGATTCGGGCTTTTGCGGTTCCACTCGCCCTTCAGCTGCTCGTACATGCCGGCCGCCGCCTGCAGGACCGCGCCCGAGGCCGCCGCAGGCCCCGCGCCCGAGACGCCCGCCGCCCCGTTCACCGCCGCGGCCGCCATCTTCCGTGATGCGGCAAACCGCCCGCCCGATTCACGGCAGCGGCGCCTACTGACGCTCGCCCGGCGGAAGTGGGCCCGGGAGGTGGAGCCCGCGGCCTGGGGCGGGGCGACGCCCGCCGGCCTCCGCCCGCCGCGGATAGACTGTCGTCGCTCCGGGGGCGGAGCCCTCCGTGCCCGCGGGTTAATGGACATGGCAGTCAGAGCCCCGCCTCTGCTGTCACTCAAAATGGAGACCGGAAATCGCCTTCCGCCCTAACTGAAAATGACAGTGGCCGCAACGCCTCCCCTCTTCCCATAGTCAATATGGCGATCCTTGCTTCAGTGTGGGCAGCGGCCGCAACGGCTACCCGCTTCCCGTGGTCAATATGGCTGCCCTGGCCTCAGTGTGGGCGTTCGGGAAGCTGCTTTTTTGCGTTAGAGGTTCCGCCTTTGTCACCGTTCGTGTAAGCCAAACAAGAGATAACGGTTGTGGGGCCATATCCAAATCGCTGTTATTCTCCCAATCTTACAAACAGGTTTTCAGAGGTTGGGTAACCTTCTAAAGGTCTAACTGCTGGGATTCGAGGGTAAATGTTACCAGCCGAAGGCATCCTTTCACACTTTTTCCGCCGGCTTGTACGACAGTAATGCCTCTTATATGTAGGGGATTCCTGTTTCCTCCATATATGTCATACCTGCTGAAAGGATCGGCGCTGTAAAGAGAATGAGAACCAGGTCAAGTTTCTCACAGGCAGGAAACTTTATTGCGACCCCCGTTGCCAGGTTCTCCGACCCCCCACTGGAGTCACGGAAGTCATGTCCATTGCCAGGGGGAGGCAAGCTTTTATAAGGTGAAGAGAGGTCAGGTGAGAAACTGGGTTTGCACGGTGGGAAAAGGACTGTAGGGTGGGAAGAGATTTGTAAGGCGGGAAAAAGTTTATTGTCTGATTTTTTTAGCGGGGCTTCCACATTCCTGCCCCCTGCATCAACGTTTCACCTGCCTACTCAACATACCCACTTTTTTTATCTCAAATCCCTGTCTCTGTCATATCTAATGCAGTTTCATGCCAGTCATGAGGTTTTTAACCTCTTATTTACTGGTGTGCAGGAACAGCAAACTTTTGTCCTTGTGCAGAGATCACAATGATTTGTCTACTAGCCAAGGATTGTCAACAACCACCAAAAGCTGGAGAAGAGGCAAGGGACAGGTTCTGGCTCAGAACCTCCAGAGGGAAAACCAACTCTGACTGGGGACTTCTGGCCGCCAGAACAGGGAGTAAAGAACGCCCCCACCCCATGGTTATTTGTTATGGCAGCCCTAACTAATGCATCCTCCCCACTCAACAGCAGCTTCACAAGGTCAGGATTTTGCCTCTTGTTCTCTGCTGTAATTTTAGCACCCTCTGTGGTGCTGGAGTGTGGCAGGTGAATGAATGAATGAATGAATGACCTTCCTGGTCAAACCTCTTGATTCCAGCCCCAGCCCAGGTCCCCTCCCAGAGAAGCCCAGACCTTTGTTCATCCAACAAAATCTGCTGGAGCACCTACTACGTGTCAGTTCCTTTCCTTCCTTCTAATATTTGCAGATCGAAAGCCCGCGGTTTATCAGTTATTCCAGGTTCTATATTTTCTCCAAGACGGGAAGCCAGAAAGAGTCCAAGGCCTCCAAATAATGATCTGGTGACACAGGGGTGAGAAGAGGAAGGGACATGAAACTGGAACAGCTTGAGGGGACAACAAAACAGTGACATTCCTGCTGGGAATGCCTCTGTTTCCCTGTCTGTTTGGAAACTAAAAGTCATTGACTTTTTTCAGACTTAAATTTTAGGTGGGTAATATAGTCAATGATTACACACACACAGAGAGAGAGAGAAAAGTTTCACTGCTGTCCTCACCCTCCAGCTGTCCTGTGTCACCTCCATGCCAAGATCAACGGACCACAGTGAGCAGTGAGTACTGTCCTGCCCAGACTTTCTTTGCAAATAAAAGCAATCGGGGAAATATATTCTTAGCCTCTTTCAGGCCAATACTGTGCAAACACTGTTTTGTGCTGTGCCTTTTTTCTCTAAAGAATAAAATACACTTCGGAGACCATTCCGTATTAGTATGTGGAGATCTTTGACCACCTCCCCACATTTTTTTTTTTTTAATCCACTGCACAAGTCACCTGAGCACTCCCATTAAGGGATATTAAGTTGTTTCTGACCCTTTGCTATAACAATATGTTGCAGATTAGTTTTCTAGAAGGGATTTATTGGGTCTAAAATGAGAATATTAACTCTGACCTCCTAAGATTACAAGGCAAATGGTGCAAAAACACTTCTTGGGTGTTGGGGTCAGTCACCCTTATCTCTACTTGACAGACATTATCTCATGTAATCTGCATTCAGGCTATTACAACATCCATGGCCCTAGGTCATTCAGAGTTGCAGGGCAGAGTACCAGGTTCTGTCTGCTGGTGAGTAAGGAGGAAAGTGGGTGAGAACAAGGCCTCTGGGTCAGGTCCCTTCTTTACCACTTACTAACTTCTGGGTTATTCCGAGGTGCTGCCAGCATCTCTCTGAGCCTCTGTCTGTGCCATGCAAAGGGGATACCATGTGGGTACTCAAGAAAAGAACCAAAGACCCCAAGGAGTGAACAAAGCCCATGCCCATGCCCAGATAAAAGCACCTGTCAAAAAAGGGCCAGGCTGGCCCACAGGGGGCCTCTGTGCTACTTGGGAAAAGAAGCCCTTGTTTGTGGTCACTTTACTTCCCTCCTGCAGAAGAACTCTAGAAAGAAACTATCAGTGTGTGTGTGATCACAGGACTGCAGTCAGCTGAACACATGAATGGGTGTAAGGAGTGAGTAGTGAGCATGGCAAGAGAAGAGAGGGAAGGGATTAGGAATGCACTAAGGGGACCACCAGGGGGAGCACTAAGAATCAGCCCAGAGACTAGACCCACCCCTTCCAGCCAGGGCACAGGGCCCTTCAGAGCAGAATGGGCTGCAGTTGCTGGGAGGTGGCAGTCACCAGGTCAGCCACCAGGAAGGGCCAAGCTATCCTCTACAGTGAGCCCCTGGTGGCCTAGGGGTTAAGTCTCAGCAGTATAACCACTAAGGCCTGAGTAGAGTTCATCCCTGGCTGACCCACATGTTGCACAGCAGACCTGTTCTGGGTTACCTGTTGTTCCCCTCAGCAGTGTATTTCAGTAGATCTGCCTGCTCTGCTCCCCACTCTCTCTCTGGTGAATCCTCTCACCTCTCCACATCTCTGGCCTACACCCTACTTCTTCTATACAAACATAAATATAATTTTAAAAAGATTTTAAACAGAGAGAGCTGTCAGGGCCTCCCCTGGTGGCACAGCAGTTGAGCGCTGGGTTGCGAGGCTGCCCGCAGCCTCTGCAGAGCCAGTTCAATCCCCGGCCACCGGCGAAGGTCCCACAAAAAAAAAAAAAAAAACAAAACAGAGAGAGGTGTCAGAATGTCTCATAGTACAGGAAGGACCTGTCATCCATTTGTTCATTCACTTCCTTTAATATTTATTAATTTTATTATCATTTAAAATTTTTTTTCTGCCTTTCCACACTAGAATAGAAACTCCATGATGAGGAAGGGCTTTTCTTTTGTGACTGATGTATCACCAGTGCCTAAACCACCAATGCTTGTAGGTGGCTCAATATTCTTGAACAAACGTGAATAACGATGGAACAGAAAAAAAATGACAGTAACTGAGATTGAATTGACAGGAATAGTCTGGGCCCAAGTAAGTGGCATGTGCCTAACACACAAGAGGTGCTCAAGAATGTTCCTAGAGTACAAGCCACCCCCTGCCCTCCCAGCAGATCTGCAGCCTGGGGACTCACCGTCAGAGGGCAGGGGGTCTCTGCAGTGTCCTGGGAAGGGGAGGAGGAAGAGGAGGAGGAGGAGGAGGGGGTGAGTGAGCCTGAGGCAAGGAGAGAGGCAGAGAGTGAGTTCCCTGGGCCCGCTGCCCCCCACCCCTCCACCTCAGCCACCAGTGCACCCAGTGCCTTCACCTCGACCCAGCGCGGCCAGAGCGGCCAGCAGGCTCTTCTGGAATTCACTAGCCTCTGCCGGACTCTGAAACGTCAGCCCAAACTTGCAATCACCCAGGCTCCAGTGATGGAAGATGGGGTTCACCTTGCAAACCAAGCCTGGCCTCAGGGTACACTCCAAGGTAGTCTGGGGAGGGGCAGGAAGGGGCCAAGTCAAACACCCCCATTCAGCCTGTGACTTGCCCTCAAGCCCAGCCTCTCTGCACACCCCAGCTTCCCACAAACCTCATTTCTGTCTCAGGTGTACCCCTGAACCGTGATCAACATCCCAACACCAGTCTCAATTTTATCGAGCACATCTCTGACATCCCACTAGGAATCCCCGATCTTACTGAATGCTTCAAAAAATTAGTAACCCCCTTGTGATGACCCAACATCTACCCTGTGACTCACCACACTGACAGTGCTCCCCATCTTTATCCACCTTCTCAAAGCATTACTTCCCCTTCTGATGCCCCAACAATCTCCCAAAATGCTACCCCCAAAATGACTATCAAACTGTCAAAGGTGTCCCCTCAGAGTGCTGGTCACCACCTCAGCTGTCCCCTCACAGCTGTGCCCAGCTTCACCCAAGATTCTTCACCAGCTTTCACTGCCACCACCCACAGTTTCCTCCCCGCTCCCCACGAGCCCAGCCCCCCAAGCCTTTGCATCCTTCTAACACCTCCCCGGTTAAAGCTTCAACAGGATCCCTCCAAATCACGCCAGACAGCCCAGGACATCCCCACTGAACCCATTACAGCTGACACATGCAGAGGATTTCCCACCAAATGTCAATATACTTGGGGGCTTGGCCCCTTAGACACAACAAACTCTCACCTGGCTGAGGCCCCGGCCCCCACAGGTGGCCAGTCCCCACTGGAGTCATCTGGGGCCATCACTACAGCTCCCAATAAAACCATGTACCTGGAAGAGGTGGGGGACAGTAACAAGGTCAGTGAGTGCCGATCCCCACCCCTCTCCATCAAGATTCCCTCAGCCCTCACCTCCCTTCATCTCTCAAATCTGGATCCACCATGGCCTTAACCACGCACACCCCACCTTCCATGCCCACCTTTTCCCCCATGCTCATCAACCCCATGCCCACCTTCTCCCAGTGTGGCTTCTTTCTTCCTCATGCCATCCCTTTTCTCTCATGCCTACCTTCTTCTCCACTTCTACCTTTTCATTTTTAAAAAAAAAGATTTATTTATGCATACAAAAACTGGGGTACAGGCCAGAGGTGTGGGGGAGGTGAGAGGATTCACCAGAGGCAGAGCCAGGAACAGAACAGGCAGACTGACTGAAATACACTGCTGAGGGGAGCAGGAGAGGAATCAGGAGAGGAATCAGGAGAGGTCTGCTGTGCCATAGGGGTAGCTCCCTGGCCAGGATCGAGCTTGTGTTGTAGAGGCTGCAGATAGCTTCATAGTGTAACAGGGTGGTCCCCAGGAAAGGGGGAGGTTCCAAGTTCCCTGCACCACCCAAGGGAGGGTGGAGCTGAGCAGAGAGAGAAGAAGCTGCAGAGGAGACTGAGGAAGGAAGGAAGCAGGATGGAGCCAGAAGGAGACCTGGAGGAGGCGCATGGAGCCTAGAGACACGTGAAGAAACTGCGCTTGTCTTTTGGTCGTGGACGGGGTGACACAGATGTGGGTGAGACCCGTGGGGAGGTGACCATGGCAGCTTTTATCTTGATGTTGATTTTGCTCATTTCCTTTCGGGCTTGTCTGGTTGTTTCTGACCCTTTTCTGTGGGTCCCCACTGGAAGATGCTTTAGACTTGTGGCAGGCTTTGGGGCCTTGTTCTGGGCCAACCCCATATGGATGGACTTTTACCCACGAGGAGACAGGTAACTTTGGGTGCAGGATTTAGAAACTAGATTCTTAGCCTTTCCTGCATTGTTTCCTAGTTGTATTAAAGTTCCTTCCCATTAAAGTCTCCTATGTTTTGTGTTGACGCGGCGGATGGCAGAAGCCATTTAGAATAGGCAGGTTTGCAGGGTTGGGCTGCCCCTCCCCCTGCCCTGTAACAATAGTACTGTGTCTTAACCCTTGCGCCACCAGGGTTTATTTATATCTACTTTTTCTCCCCACGCCCACCTACCCTCCCTTCCCCCCATCCTTCCCACCCGCACCCCCAGAGCCTGGGTTTTCCACTGCCCTTCCCCCTCCTGCTCATCCCTTACCAGCCCGTCTCCTTCTCCTCCCTCAGCACAAACCCACAGCCCCACCCTTCCGTCCCCCTCACAGCTGGGTGCCTGCGCATATGGATTTTCTTGGAGCCCATCAACACGGCTCCAGTCCCCCCGACTCTGCCTCCGCACCCCGCCGCCCAGGCCAGCGGCCGGGTGAGCAGCCCAGGCTCCCCCCCACCCCTTCCCGGATTTATGAATGAGACCGGATGCAAAGCTCACTGAGTCACCCAGCAACGGGCGATGGGCAGGGAGCAGGGAGAGCACCGGCAACGGCCAGAGAGCGGCCGACAGCGAGACGCAGGCAGAGGCAGCCGGGAACGGGCCGCTGGGACGCGGCCAGAGAGCCGTTCATTCACAAAAACGCAGCGGCTCCCTCAGGCCCGGCCGGGGACTGCGAGGGGAGAGGCGCGGGGGGCGGGAACCGACTCTCCTCCTCCCCCGCCCCGCCCCGCCCCGGCAGCCTTCACAGCCCTGTCACCCCGCCCCCAGCTCGGGGGACCCAGCCCTCCGCCCGGGACCGGGGTCGGCGTCCGGCCTCCCGCTGCCGGCGGGTCCGGGGCCCGGGCCGCCCCCAGAGACCCGGGCGGCGAGCGCCGACCCCTCCCCCGCCCGCCGGCTGCCGCGGGCCCCCGCCCCGCGCGAGGGGAAGGGGCGGCCGCAGCGCCCCCAGCCCCCTTTTCTCAATGGGAAGGGATTTTGTGAATGAGCGGTCACGTGACTCGGCCTCCTTTGTCCGCCCGCCTCCCCCGACAACAGGTGAAGCCCGGAGGCGGCTGGGGTCCCCCCGCGGGCCTAGCAGGGACGGGACGCGGGCGTTTCGGGCGCTCTGCGGGCCCCACACAGGTTTCCCGGGGCAAGTGGTCCCGGAGCGCCTCAGCGGTGAGGGTCCACTACGGAATTTTCTGAATGGGGCGTCCGCGGAGCAAGCCCGGGCCCCCAAAGGGAGACTGGTACCCCAAATGGCTGCCGCGCAGTTTAGGGGCCCCCACCCCCTTGTCCTTCCAGCCGGGCCGGGGGCGCCCCGGCGGCAGGAGGCGCGGCGCCGTCCGGCCGCCCCCTCACGGGACCGGAGGGCTGTCACCCCATCCCCGCGCCCCCCGCGGCACCTGCCTGGGCGGCTCCGGCCGGGCTCCGAGCGGCGGCGACGTGGCCTCCGGCTCCTCCTCCTCCTGCTCGCTCCGGCTCCCTCGCTGGCTCCGCGGCGCTAGAGACGGGCACCGGGAGCCGGGCGGGGGGGAGGGAGGGGAACCTGGAGATGGGGGGAGGGGGCGGCGGGGGGGAGGGGGGAGGCGAGGCGGGCGCCCTTGCCCGCTGGGTCCTAGAGCCCGGCACGGTCGCGCGAGCACAGCCCCCAACCCCCATTTTCTCAGGACCCGGGGAGGCCCCCGACCACCCCCCCATTCGCGACTCGGGCCCTGGGCGTGTGGGGAAAGGGTGCGGGCCGAGCCGCTTCAAGCTGCCGAGGGGCCGAGGGGCTCCGCTCCGGGGTCCAAGTGGGAGGGGCTCCGCGCGCAGCGGGGTTCGGAAAGGGGTGGGGCGAGAGGCGCCCGCCCGAGGGGGCGTGGTCGCCGGGCCGCGGCCAGGAGGCTGAGGACGCCGAGGCGCGGGCCGGGCTGCGTCACGGAGGGGCGGGCCGCGGGGGCGGGCCGCGGGGGGAGAGGGTCGGGGGGAGACTGCGGGTCCTGCGGGCGGGGCTGAGAGGGACATCCGCGGAGCGGGGCGCGGAGACCCTAGGAGGAGGGGCCGCGGGGCTGTGCTCGGAACGGGCGGGGCTTCGGGAGCGGGACGAACGGGAGGGGCGGGGCCACAAGGGGGCGGGGCGAGGCATCGTTCTCAAGGGGTGGGTGTGGGACGAGGCCGGGGCGGGGCGGAAGGGATCCGAGCGTGTAAACCCACGCCCCGGTTGCTAAGGGGCCGGCCCAAGATGGCTGACAGGGGGCGGGGCCCGGGGCAGGGGCGGGGCCGAGCTCTCGGGGTCCGCCCTCGCCGTCTCGCCCTCCGGCCTTCACCCGCACCCCCGTTCTTTTCGGTTATTTTCTGCAGCGGCCGTTCCCCGCCCTGCCCTGACCCCGGGGGCCGCGGTCTGAACTCTGGTCTGGAGGAGTCGGTGAGTGGGCGCTTCAGCCCGAGGCGGGGCCGAGGCGGCGCTCGGGGCGGGGCGGGCCTGAGTGTCGGGGCCGTGGGGACGGGGCGGGGCGGCGGGCGGGAGGGTGCGGTCTGAGGCTCCGCTGCTGCCCGGCCCAGAGCGGGTCCGGACACGGGGGATCGAGGAGCCCAGGACGGAGGCTTAGCCTGACGGGACACCTGGGATCGCGGGGTGACGGGCGCTCACACGTGCGGCCGGTGGGTGGGCGAAGCCGGGGTCCCTGAGCCCCGGGGGCGGGGCGGGGCGGGGCGGGGCGGGGGCGCGGCGGCCGGGTTGGCGCGCGGGGAGGGAAGTTTCAGCCCCTTCTGGGCGTCCTGAGCCCCCGCCGGGAGAGACGCGCCTCCCTGACTGCGGAGAGCGGCCCGACCAGCGTTCGGGGCCCGGACGCCGGGGCGGTGGCCGCGGGGTAGGGCCGAGGCCGGAGCGCGCAGCCGACAGCGCGGACTGAACGCGGCGCGCGGGAGGACGGGCCTCGGCGACCGAGCGGCAGCGGGAGGCGGCCGCGGGGAGAAACTGAACGTGGAGAGCCCGGGACAGCGATGCGGCCGGGACTCGTGACCTAGCGCCCCTTGGAGGGCGTGGGGGTCCCGCGCAGGGGTGCGGCCACGCACAGGCAGCCCCGTGGGGTCGCACAGCCTCGCAGACTGACCGCCTGGCGTTTTCTGGTCACAGTCCCCGACCTTGGTCAGAAATGGGGAACGTGCAGTCGGAGCCGTCCGCAGGCGGGGGCTCCCGGAAAGAGCAGGCCCCCGACCGCGCCCCTGACTCCCGTCGGACGTCCCTGGTGGAGCCCGAGGTGACAGCCGCCTCCCCGGCCATGCGCCTGGCTCGCGGGCTGGGCGTTTGGTTCCCCACCAGCTCCGCGCCCCCGGGACTCCTGGTCCCCCCCGCGCCCCAGGCCACCCCGCCGCCCCTCACCCTGCCCCTGGACCTACACTCGCCCGTGACGGCCCCCTGCGAGGCGGCGGCGGCGGCCGCGGTCTCCACACCACCCGCCGCCCCCGCGGGGAGTCTGCTGCCCGCGCCATCCAAGTGGCGCAAACCCGCGGGCGCGCCGGTGCCCCGGATCCGCAGCCTGCTGGACGCGAGCCACCGCGGCCAGGGCGACCCTCCGAGCCTCCGCCCGCTGCCGCCGCCACCCAGGCCGCCGACCCAGGAGGACGCGGGCCCCGCCGCGAGGGCTCCGTCCCCGCCGCCGCCGCCCGCCGAGGCGCGGAAGCCGCCCCCGCCGCCCCCTCCCGACCGGCAGCCTGCAGGCCGCACAGTCACCCCCGCGCCGCCCGCGCCCGCCGCCGGCCCCGCAGACAGCCCGGCCGCGCCCCGCAGCCAGGGCCAGGCGGCCGGCCCGCTGCGCAGAGGGCCGCTTCCCCAGGCCGGAGAGGGCGAGCGGGCCCGCGCCGCCGCTGCGGAGGCCGGCCTCAGCCTCCTGTGCAAAGTGACCATCAAGCCCGGCACGCCTCTGCCTACTACTGCGGCAGCGTCGAGCGCCTTGGCCGCCAAAACCCCGCCGGGCGGCGGCGGCGGGGGCGGCGGGCCCTTCTCTGCGGCCGCGGGCGCCATCTCCTACGCCCAGGTCCTGAAGCAAGGGCCCCCGGCTGCTGCGCCCGCCGGCCCCTCGGCAGGGGCCCCGCGGGGAGCCCAGGAGGCAGAGGGCGGAGATGGAGACGGCGAGGGCGGCGCTGGGCCCCCCTCGGCGCCCGCGTCCCACGCCCGGACGCTGCCGCCCCCTCCCTACACCACCTTCCCAGGCTCCAAGCCCAAGTTTGACTGGGCGAGCCCCCCCGACGGCCCCGAACGCCACTTCCGCTTCAACGGGGCGGGCGGCACCGTCGGGGCACCCCGACGGCGCGCGGCCGCGCTCTCAGGGCCGTGGGGCTCCCCGCCACCGCCTCCCGGCCAGACACACCCCGCCGCCGGCCCCCGGAGGCCCGCGGCCGCCCTGCTGGCGCCGCCCATGTTCATCTTCCCGGCGCCCCCCCACGGCGAGCCTGTGCGCCCCGCGCCCCCCGGCCCGCAGGAAGGGCCCGCGCCGCGGCCGCCCCCGCCGGCTCCCGCGCCGCCGCCCGCCGCCCCGCCCCCGCCGCAGCCGCCCGCGCTCCAGCCTCCGCCGCCGCCCGCGGCGCGCCCGCCCACCCCGGGCCCGGGCCCCGTGGAGTCGGCCCCGGCTCTCGCCCCAGCGCCCGCTCTGCCCCTCGCCGTGGCTGCCGACCCGCCTCCACTCCCGCCCCCTTCCCCTTCTCCGGCCCCGGCCCCCAACCCGGCCTCGGCCCTGGCCCTGACGCCGGCCCTGGCCTCGGGCCCCGCCCCGGCCGCGGCCTCGGTCCAGGTGCCGGTCCTGGCCCCGATCTTGGAGCCGGCCCCGACTCAGGTCCCGGCCACAGCCATGGCTCCGGCCCCGGCCGCGCCTCTGGCTCCATCAGAGCCTCTGGCCCCGGCCCCGGCCCCGGCCGTGCCCCCGGAACCAGCCCCGGGCCCGCCTCCGGTTCCATCCCCGGCTCCAGCTCCCACCCTGCCTGAGCCATCGCCGCCTGCTCCCGCGCCCGTCAAGACCCGCACGCGAAGGAGCAAGGGTTGCCGCGCAGCCCGGGGCGCACCGCGCGAGGATGGCGCGCCTGGAGATGGTCCTCGCCAAAGGACTGCAGCCACCGGGACGCACAGAGGCGGCGGAAGGGGTGGTGGCGGCAGGGCCCCTCTGGCAGGGACGGCCAACACCAGCGCTGCGCGCCACTGGCCGCCCTTCCAGGTGCTTAACTCTTGTCCCTGCAAGTGTTACTGCCGCCACCAGCCGCGCCATCGCCGCCTGCCACGCAACGTGTCTGCCTGGTGAGGGGAGGCGCGGGGCAGGGAAGGGAGGGCCTACGCCTTAAGTCCTCACCCCAACTTTCCTGGCTAGATTCCTACGCAGCCCTTTGGTGTCCTGATCCCCTTGGTGCATATCAAACCCAGCTCAGCTCCAGCCCCTCAGGAGCCTGGACACTGTGACCCCAGCCCCTTGATCTCTAGACCTTCAAGGTGACCCTTTGGCTCTCTACTCTCTGGAGCCATCAGGGAGGGAAGTGGTGCAGGGAGTCAGACCCTCTTCACAGCTTGCCCCTGTTCCAGAGAGCACCAAGAGAGGGAACAGAGGAGGAACAGTAATCGGAGGAGAGGGAAGGGCAGTCTTCAGGAACTAGTGTGTAAATGCAGATCTCCAAAGGAAGAGCCCCTCCCCTCCTCTCTCCAGCCTCTGGCAACTTCTCACTCCGGATGCCAAGACTTGACCACCAGAGGGCACTAATGCCCCAGTCGTCAGACACAGGGAAAATACAGCATCCTCTAGTTACAAACCGCACCCCTACCCCCAACTCAGTCCTCCAATCTGGTCACCCAGGCTCCTGAGGAACCAGGAGCAACTGGGAGACCCTGCCTTGGATCCCTTGGGACTTAGCTGGGGCCTCAGGGTAGGGGGACAGTAGCACCAACCCTCAACACCCTTTTGCCACCCTGTTACCACCGCTTCTTGCCACCAGCCTAAAAGTGCCTTTGGGAAATGCAAATCTGGCCTCTTATACAGCCTGGGAAGGGGGCGCCTAAAATAGGTAAAGGCCTGGCCTATCAAGCCCTGCTCATTCTCCCCTCCCCGTAGGCTGAGCACACCTACCAACCACCTGAGCGAGCCACCCTGGGTCTCCACCATCAAGCTCGCAGGCTCCCTGGTTGCAGGGCTGGAGTACTACGATTTACAGGCCGCCCATTCCAACTGAGGCGGTCTGGGCAATGCCCTCCACCTTCCCTCCTGGACAATAAAATAACCATCCGCGTGCCTAGCTGCCTGTCAGTCACCGTGCGGCCAGGGTGGGATAGGAGGGGCCAGCAGAGCTCCTGGAAAGACAGGAGGCTGGACCCAGAGCAGTAGTCATGGAGGTTCCCTTCACCTGGCATCTGGGCAGATGGGCCCAGGGGTGAGAGGGTTCATCCCCCTATTATCACTGTACAAGCTGATCCGGAGCGAAGCTGAAGGGATCAGCGCAATCATTTGGAAAGGAATGGGCCATTTCAAATCCCACATTCAGTAAAGGGTTTAGCCAGATTTGGACTCGGCCTTCAGTGCCTTCTCACAAACTTCAGGACAGGAAACAGGTGGGAGAGGCGAGGTCAGAAGCCACAGCACTGGCTCAGGCAGGGTGGGGCCAGGGGAAGCCCACGCCACGCTCCGTTGCAGAGATCTCACCTGGGAGCCCACAGACAGCCTCCATTTCACGTCATTTCACGCACTGGTTTAATTCGTTGCAAACATCTTTTCAAGTGAGGATCTTCAACCCCCTTCACGAAAACAGCAGTGCCTCGGCCTGGCCTTCCTGTGTGTCCACAGCTGGCCGCCAAGCCCCTGGAGACCTTGAGTAACAGCCAGCCGACAGAGGCTGACTGATGGAGGGCTCCCAAGCTTCCAAGTTCTTCAAAGATAAGAACTCCTCTCCCCACCATTCCAACCAGGTAGACCAGGGCCCCTCTGCACCCCACAGAGCCAGCACTTACCCAACGGTGGGTCTTGGTTCACTTTCCTCACCAACCCTGTCTGCACAACTCCAGGCAAGTGATTTCACCTCTCTGTGCCTCAGTTTCTCTACCTTTCAGATGGGGGCCCTAATCACAAACTTCTAGGTCTGCTGTGAGGACTCAGCGAACCTACACCTTTTTAAGTGCACACAGGAGTGCATGGTCCAGAATAGATGAGTAATAAACATCAGCCGCTACCATCACTGAAATTCAACTTCACCTCCCCTAGTCAGTTCCTGAGCCTCCTCAGACGCCAAGGTCACGGTAACCCGGGCACCAGCATCCCCAGGGGCGTGGCTCCTGCTCAAACACCCCAGACCAAACCCAGTAGTCCTGTGGGAAAAGGCTGCAACCTTCGAAGAATCCTGGCAAGGCCAACAGCCACGGTGGATGCAGCAGAGAACGCACCTCCACTGGTGCCAAGTGCCGTGCTAAGCTCATCCCGTGTGTGATATTCTAGGAATATCAGGAAAACTGCAGCCCAGAGAAGTGTAGCAACTCATTGAGATCACACAGCTGGATTTAAACCTGGGCAGTTCACAAAAGCCATTTAGTCTTATGACAGTAATGCCACGTATACACTAGGATTGGGAGTATTTTTTTCCTGTTTCCTCCATGTATGTCATACCTGCCTACTTAACATATCCACTTTTTTCTCAGATCCCTGTCTCTATCATTTCTAATGCAGTTCCGTGCCAGTCATCAGGTTTTTAACCTCATTTAGTGGTCTTCAGGAACAGCAAACTTTTGTCCTTGAGTCCTGTCCTGTCCTTGTCCTTGGACCCTTCCCGGATCTCTGCCACCTCCCTTCTACTGCTGGTGGAACTGTTAACTCTACAACTTTGGAAAACAATCTTATATTTATTAAAATTTTAAATATGTATATTGTGACTCAGTAGTCTTAATTTATAGACCTGTCCCTTAGAAATAGAACAACTGGGGGGGCCTCCCTGGTGGCGCAAGGGGTTGGAACACAGCACTACGAAGATATCTGCAGCCACTGCAAAACGAGTTCAATCCCTGGCCAGGGAGCTACCCACATGGCACAGCAGACCTCTCCTGTCTCAACCACTGCTCCCCTCAGCAGTGTATTTCAGTCAATCTGCCTGTTCTGCTCCCCACTCTGTCTCTGGTAAATCCTCTCACCCTCCACACCTCTGGCCTGTACCCCAGTTCTTGTATGCATAAATAAATAAACCTTTTTAAAAAATAAAGAAATAAAACAATTGTATTTAAGGAAAAGCAGTAAAGCTATCTATTATATTCGTCCCCTAACAATGCATCGTTAGGCGATTTCATCATTGTGTGAATGTGTTAAGAGTATAATTACACAAACCTAGTAGCAGTAGCCTACTACACATCTAGGCTAGATGATACAGCCTTATTGAGACCATCACATGTACAGCCTATCAATGACCAAGCATCATTAAGCTACACATGACTATATATACTGAAATGAAATTCATTTCATTCATAATATAAAATTGACCACCTTAAAGTGAACAATTCCACATTCTGTCAATTATTGCTTCATATTTTGGGGGGCTGTTTTTAGGTGCAACTATGTAGAATTTTGTTGTTGTTGGGTTGAACTTATTATCAATATAGAACATCCCTGTATCTAATAGCCCCCTTTTAATTTAAAGCTCTTGTATGCATAAATAAATAAATCTTTAAAAAAAAAATAAAATAAAGGGCCTCCCGGGTAGCACAAGGGGTTAAGCACCGCACTATGAAGCAATCCACAGCCTCTGCAGCACAAGTTTGATCCCTGGCTGGCCAGGGAGAAACATGGCGAGGCAGACCTCTCCTGTCTTGCCCGCTGCTCCCCTCAGCAGTGTATTTCAGTCCGTCTGCCTGTTCTGCTCCCCGCTCTTTCTCTGTTGAGTCCTCTCACCCTCCCCTCGCACGCCCCTCCCCCCATCTCTGGCCTATACCCCAGCTTTTGTATGCATAAATAAATCTTAAAAAAATAAAAAATAAAATAAAGTCTATTTTCTCTGATTATCATCAGAGAAATAGCCACCCCAGCTCCCTTTTGATTAGTGTTTGCATGGAATATTCTTTTCTATCCTCTTATTTTTAACATGTCTTAAAGTGAGTCGCTTATGGACAGCACGTGGGAGAGATGGATCCGGTTTTGAAATCCAACCTGACAATCTCTGCCTTTTCATGATACTTTAACCCATTAACTTTTAAGAAATTATTAATAATAAGGACTTTACTAGTATCACTTAGCTATTTGCTTTCTGTATGTTTTTGGCCCTCAATTCCTCCATTGCTACTTTTTTAAAAAAATCTAATTGATTATTTGTAGTGTATGATTTTTATTCCTTTGTTTCCTTCTGCATATTTTTTATTATCTTAGTGGTTACCTTGGGGATTGCAATTAACCTCTAGTTATACTCAGAAGGCAGAGCAGGGAAAGAACAGAAAAAATGAAGCCAGAATCCTATGCACATTGAGGTATTCTGGATCAAACTGTACCTGAAGCCCACATTAACAAAGTCCATAAACTACCACTTCCATTTGGATCCTTTGAGTGAAATTTTTGCTACTTGCAACGAAAACCAAAATCTTAACTTTTCCAGAGTCCTCTCCTTAAGCCACACACTAGATAGATGTTGACATTCAAAATATTTAATGACTGGTACTAAACCTGGGCTCTGACAATCAGAATAGACTGCAGGCCAAAGCAATGGGCCTGAATCATGGAGGCCCTGCTGGTCTTTAGGGAGGCGAGGGGCATGCTGGGGAGTAGCTCGGGGACAAGCACATAGAGAAGCTGCTCTTTGCCATCTGTCACAGAAGGATCTCCATATTGTAATGACCTATGCAGCTGTGTTGTACAAACTAACTATACATGTACCCATAGCTGGACCTGCGTGAGGCCTCACTTGTATCTGAAGGAGTGCAAATTCAATCAAAATAGAAAGAAAGGCATGAGATGCGTTGCTGGTTACATTTCTAAGATGGTCTGGGGAAATGAGGGATGAGGGTGGTTGTGGGTTAATGCAGGAGGCCCAGGTAAGCTACATCACCTTCACAGTTTTCTCAGGCTGGCTCTGCTGTGGCATCCTGGGGATAACTTGGGTGTTGCTATAGCTTAACCTAGATCTGGACCTAGAGGACATATATAATTTTCTGGAAGAGGAGGTGTAGGTGTAGAAGGATTCTGAGGTAATGAGGTTGTTGATTTTCCAGCGAAGGAAGCTGCAGGCCTTCACCATAAGGGGCAACAAGACGCATATGTAGATGACGTAGAGGATCAGCAGGCCGACAAATATACCGGTTGACACCTATGCAGGCACCACACAACAGGTGTAGGTGAGCAGCCTGGGGGCCCCCACCTCCCAGCAGGGCAGCTCCCGGGCAGCCCACTCACCAGGAAGATGAGGAGGGCCCGCCAGTTACTGAGTGGGAGCCCATGGATATGCAGTAGGAAAATGAGCTGGTAGTCACAGTATGTGCTCTTGTCCACACCTCTGGTAAAGGATGGAGTTTAGAATTGGGGATGTAGTCAGGCACCCCACCAAGAAACCCCCAAATCCACCAGGGCCACATGTCTGGCTTACCTATTGCTTACTAATATCTTGAAGAAGAATTCTGGCGCGTAGATGCTATTGGGAACGGTGTCATGGCATGGAGAATTCTCCCGACACAGCCACCTAGGGGGATCGAATTCGGTTACTTGGGCTATACAGGTCAACCTGATTCTGCCCTCTCCCCGACTCTGGGTGAATATCTACTAGGTGCAATTTCATACCATCTTCCCTCATTCACCCCTTCATCTGTTCATCCAATAAGGATGACCGAGTGCTTACCATGTGACCTACTTCTCCTGCCTCTACATCTCCATCTGTCAATACTTCCATTATTATGCATTCACCTAGATTAAGGATTGTATACCCATATGTGCCAACTCCTCTCTTATCCCTGCTGCCTTCATTCCTTCATCTCACAAAGATAGCTTGAGACCTACTAGGTACAAAGTCATATCTTCATTCATTTATTCTTCCATGAATTCATTCATCCAGTAAACACAGACTGATAAGACTGCAAGTTGGTAAACTTGCTCATTCATTCACCCTCTTCATTTGCCCGAGGCATCATTTTCTACTTTTCATTGAATCAAATAGTTATTGAGCGAGCCCTAATGTACGAATTTGTTGCTCTTTGTTCTACTCATTCATTAATACCTCCATTTAAGTATCAGGCAGTGCCTACCATGTGTGAACTAATCTGTTTTTCGTTGTTTAAGTCAACAAACACTATGGTCAGTCTATTCAGACCTGTAAGGGAGACAGAGCCCATCTGTCACAGAAGGATCTCCATATTGTAATGACCTATGTGCCAGCCACAGAGGGGTCAAGCAAGTTGGGATCTGGGCGCACACACCACAGGCAGAAGGGAGAGAGCTGGGACAACGGGCCACAAGTGGGGACTTGGGGCATGCACTGGGGAAGCACAGCAGGAGCAGGATGAGAGCCAAATGTCCTATCCACAAGAGTTGGGAAAGTCTTCCTTGATCAAGGAGCATCTGAACTAAAGGCTGGAAGAAAGAGGAAGAGGAACGAGCTCTGCAGACAGAGGGTCTAGCTTATGGAAAGATCAGCCCCATTTGAAGAACACAAAGGATGTCAAGTGTGACTCAGGGATCAAGGTGACCCCCACCCCCCACCCCCCCCCCTCCTTGGCAGACGGGATGGGCAGGCCTGACAGACGTGGGCAGTTGGGGGAAAAGAGGGCCTGCAGCCTGGCGGTGCACTCACTGCATGCCAGGGTTCTTATGAGACATGATGGTGAAGGCCATGTCGTCGGTGGTGGTTTTGTTCTTTGTGGAGGTCCAGATGAGGCTGTGGGACCTGCAGCACAGCAGAACCTCAGGGGAAAGTGCTGGCAGAGAGGGCGGGCCCTCAGCTGCACAGAGCGAAGTGTCAGGAAGGGTGGGGGGAACCCTGCGGGGTGGGTGGGACCAGAGACCTGAAGGGGCGGGGCCATAGACGTGAAGTGGGTGGGGCGGGCTCCCAGGGAGAGGTCTGTGGCTGGAAAGCTGGAGGGGCCTGCGAATGCAGGAGGGCCGCGATGGGCACCCACTGGGCTTACTTGTCCAGGGGGCTGTTGTAGCGGTAGATCTCCTCCTCGCTGTAGTCCGTGATGTTGTTGATCGTGGGCCCGCCGCCCACCACCTTCAGCACGTAGCTGCGGGGAGCACAGGCGAGGGTCCCCTCCACCACCCCCACCCTCGCCACCCGCCCCCTCCTGTCAACCAGGTCTTTACCTGCCCTGAAAACTGCCAGACTCTCCCGTCACCAAATCTTGGATCAAGAAGAAAGGGTAGAAGACTGTGGGTTTGGAGAGGGTGGGGCTCAGGAGAAGAAATTAGCTCGGTTCGAGGACAGAGGAAGGAGCAAGGGGGGAGGGGGTGGGGTGTCAGGAGGGGGTGAAGAGGCTGGGGGCGGGGCTATGGCGGGCAGTCCAGTGGCCTGGGCGGGTCACGCACTGTCGCGGAAGATGAAGCAGGGCATCTCAGGGTCGGGGTTCACGCAATCGAAATACTTTTTGTTTTGATGGCGGTTGTACTGCAGCGTGTAGGAGATGTCGAAGGCCAGACGCTTGCCCGGTGGGCAGCCGATTAGTATGGGCAGCATCAGGTTGCCCTGAGCGGGAGGGGAAAAGCCTCCAGTGGGGTTGGGGAGCTGGCGAAGACACCCCTCCTGCCACACAGCCAGCTACCTGCCAGGCTCCTCACCACAGAGGGCCAGGCCCCCATCACGGAGAAAACGATACTCTATTGAAGTTCACTCAGGTGGCTCTGAGTGCTGGCAAGGCGCTGGCTGACAGTCTAAGGGCTACAGGTATTCACACCCATTTAATCCCCTCAACAGCCTTGCGTGGTAGAGAGACTATGTAAGAGATCTCCAAGTAAGAGAAGGCCAAAGTGAGGCACAGAGAGGTCAAGACACTTATTATCACACAGCCAGTAAGAGGTAGAGCCGGGGTTAGATCTGAGATGGGCTGCTCCAACTGCCTCCAGATGAGACATACAAAACCTCCACCCCTAAACCTCTGGACGTGCCAGCGCTTAGTCAGACTGCAAAGGGTTGAAGTTGGACCTGAATTCTCAAATAATATACCTGGGGGAGCATGGAACACAGGAAGAAGTAAGGCCCAAGATAGGATCCATGGGTCAGGGAACCCTCCTGACATTGTCTTCAGAATGAGTGGCCCCTGGTCCATTTCTGGGGAGAGGATTCAGGGGTTCTACCTAACTATCAAGTGGCATGGACATCCAGAGACTGTGTCCTGCATCTGGCAGTGACTGTAGAGAGGAGGTGGTGGCCACAGGTCAAGCACTTCTCATGCCAAGGCCTGGACCAAAGACTTTCCGCCTGTCAGTCGCTCATTCACCAGGTCTAACAGGCAGCTCAGATTCTCACTACCCACAGCCCACTGCGGTTAATGGCACCTCCCCCCTCCATTTCAGGCTAAAAGCCTTGGCCTCTTCCTGGAAATCTTTCTCTCATCTCCACATCCAGTGCATGCAGATATCCTACAGTCTCTAGACTTCAAATAGACCCACTCTCCACCCCTCCCCCCAACGCCTTTGCTTGCCAGGTCCAGTTCCCTCCCTGCTGTCTCCACCCAGGGTCTCCCCACAACAGGCAGCCAGAGGAGACCTGTGCACACCTGGATCCCTCCCCTGCCCCAAACCCTGCTGGGCCTCACATGCTCTGTCCCCATGGCCTTCTCTCTCTTCTCTCCTCCGTGTTCAGCCTGACCCAGGCTCCATGGCTCTTCGCTGCCCCTTAGCCTAAGACAGGAATCTCCAGGCCTTTCCACCACCTCACCACACTGCTCGCTTTCCCAACCTCCTTCAGGTCTTTGCTCAAAGGCTTCCTGCTCCCCAGGCCTCCCCTGAACCAGTCTGTGGAAATTGCTAACCTCCCAGTGCCCTTTGCCTGCTTATTTTTCCTTAAAAATAAACACTCAACACCTCTTAGCACACACTATCTTGTGTGTATCTTACTTGTTGTGACCCTGTGTGCTCCAAAACGTACATGTTGAAGTCCTAACCCTCTGCTACCTGCTGGCAGCCTAATTTGGAATAAGGTCTTTGCTGCACCTCCCCCTGCAGTGACCCTTAGGGCTAATGGCTTGCGCCACGGTCCCTAGGTCCGGCTGGGCAACCAGCGCGCAGGGGGAGAACAGCAAAACCCCCTGAAGACATACCTGCTGCACCTCCCCCTGCAGTGACCTCTAGGAATCCCTAGGTCCGGCTGGGCAAGGAACCAGCCCGCAGGGGGAGAACAGCAAACTCCCTGAAGACATAGATCAGACGGAAGCCTGTTGAAAGATAACGACCACCAGGAGCCACTACAGGAATGCTGTCCCCACGGAAACTTATCTCACCTTCTCAAGGCCCACAAACTTTATTCTAATACAACTGTCTCTCTAAAATCTTTTCTCTCTCTCTGTCTAAAAGGTCATTGGTTTGCTGATTAAAAAATAACATATAAAATCTAATAACTAGGCTAATTCAAATGAAACGTTACTAAACTCTGTATTAATAGAACTGTTAGCTTAATAATTTCTCTGCTGTATGCTTAGCCTTGTTAGTATTAATCTTAATGATAAAAATATTACATTGTGAAAAGTAAAATTCACCCGTGTTAATTAATAGTAATTTAGTGGTAGTGAGTAGTTTAAACAAAAAGTATTCACATAAAACAAAAAGAAAAATTAATAGCCTAACTACTTAGGAATGCGCCTGAGTCCAGATGTAAATCACTGCTCTGTCAATGATAAGCTAAACCTATAAGCAAGCTGATTTCTTCACTGATGTTCGCCTTTCCTGTGCTTTTAGAAAACAGATATATACTGGTCACCAACTCAAATTAAATTACACTCAGATTTACACTCTTGAAGTGTGTCTGTTTGTCATTTCTTTCACCGACGCCCTGACCACCCTGCACGCTTCTCTCAACCCTGAGGTGGCCTCATCGTCTACTGCTGTGCTGGTCCGCGGCAGGTCTTTACACATGTGACGAAGTTAAGATTAGGATGGGCCCTAATCCTGGGATGTGACACTGTCTTTACAAGAGGAGGACGTTGGGATGAGACATAGGGACAACTCCTTGTGGAGACAGGCAGAGATCACAATGGTATGTCTACTAGCCAAGGACTGTCAACAACCACCAGAAGCTGGAGGAAAGGCAAAGAACAGAACCTCCAGAGGGAAAACCAACTCTGACTGGGGACTTCTGGCCGCCAGAACAGGGAGTAAAGAATGCCCCCACCCCATGGTTATTTGTTATGGCAGCCCTAACTAATGCATCCTCCCCACTCAACAGCAGCTTCACAAGGTCAGGATTTTGCCTCTTGTTCTCTGCTGTAATTTTAGCACCCTCTGTGGTGCTGGAGTGTGGCAGGTGAATGAATGAATGAATGAATGAATGACCTTCCTGGTCAAACCTCTTGATTCCAGCCCCAGCCCAGGCCCCCTCCCAGAGAAGCCCAGACCTTTGTTCATCCAACAGAATCTGCTGGAGCACCTACTATGTGTCAATTCCTTTCCTTCCTTCCAATATTTGCAGATCGAGAGCCCGCGGTTTATCAGTTATTCCAGGTTCTACATTTTCCCCAGGACGGGAAGCCAGAGAGAGTTCAAGGCCTCCAAATAATGATCTGGTGACACAGGGGTGAGAAGAGGAAGGGACAAGAAACTGGAAAGGCCCAGCGTGAGGGGACAACAAAGCAGTGACCTGACTACACCCTGCCGGGAATGCCTCTGTTTCCCTGTCTATTTGGAAACTAAAAGTCATTGGCTTTTTTCAGACTTAAATTTTAGGTGGGTAATATAGTCAATGATCAAACACACACACACACACACACACACACACACACACGGAAAAGTTTCACCGCTCTCCCCACCCTCCAGCTGTCCTGTGTCACCTCCATGCCAAGAGCAACGGGCCACAGTGAGCAGTGAGTACTGTCCAGCCCAGATGTTTCTTGCAAATAAAAGCAATCAGGGAAATATATTCTCAGTTAGCCTCTTTCAGGTCAATACTGTGCAAATACTGTTTTGTGCTCTGCCTTTTTCTCTTAAGAATAGACTTGGGGAGCCTCCCTGGTGGCGCAAGGGGTTAAGACGCAACCTATGAAGCTATCCGCAGCCTCTGCAGCACAAGTTCGATCCCCAGCCGGCCAGGGAGCAACCCACATGGCGCAGCAGACCTCTCCTGTCTCGCCCGCTGCTCCCCTCAGCAGTGCGTTTCAGTTGATCTTCCTGTTCTGTTCCCCACTCTGTCTCTCACCCCCCACACCTCTGGCCTGTACCCCAGGTCTTGTATGCATAAACAAATAAATCTTAAAAAAAAGAAGAAAATACACTTGGGAGACCATTCCGTATCAGTATGTGGAGATCTTTGCCCACCTCCCCACTCTTTTTTTTCCAACTGCTGCAGTTTTCCACTGACGAGTCATCTGAGCGCTCCCGTTAAGGGATATTAAGTTGTTTCTGACCCTTTGCTCCAGTATGCTGCAGATTAGTTTCCTAGAAGGGATTTACTGGGTCAAAAATGGGAATATTAACTCTCACCTCCTGAGATTAAAAGGCAAAGGGTGCAGGGAACCCTTCTTGGGGGCTGGGGTCAGTCACCCTTATCTCTACTTGACAGGCATTATCTCAGGTAATCTAAGGAGTCCCGGCTAGTACAACACCTGTTTTTAGGGCCCTGGGTCATTCTGAGGGGTGGGGAGGGGGATGGCGGGGGCAGAGGACCAGGTTCTGTCTACGGGTGAGTAGGGAGGAAAGTGGGTAAGAACAAGGCCTCTGGGTCAGGTCCCTTCTTTACCACTTATTAATTGCTGGGTTATTCCGAGGAGCTGCCAGCATCTCTCTGAGCCTCTGTCTGCGCCGTGCAAAGGGGATACCATGTGGGTACGCATGAGAAGAACCCAGGACCCCAAGGAGTGAACAAAGCCCACACCCTTGCCCAGATGAAGGGCACCTGTCAAAAAAGGCCAGGCTGGCCGGCAGGGGGCCTCTATGCCAACTGGGAAAAGCCCTTTCTTGGGGTGACTTTACTTCCCTCCTGCAGAAAAACTCCAGAAGGAACCGACCAGCTTGCGCGTGTTCAGACCGCAGGCCGCTGACCGCTTGAATGGGTGCAAGGAGCGGGCGGGGGCGCCACCACAGAGAAGCGCGAGCGACGGGATTAGGGTCGCCACCGCCAGGGGGCGCGCTGGGAACCCGCCCGGAGACTAGACCCGCCCCTTCCCGCCCCCGCGCAGGGCCCCGCACCCAGGGGCGCATACCTGCATCCTGGGCCCGTGGGGCGTGTTCTGGAAGCAGTGCCCGGAGGAGCCCACCACCTGCGGGAGGGGCGGGCGACCGTGAGCGCCGCACCCAGTCCTTCCCCGCACCCCGCGGGCCTCCCCTAGGCTAGAGGGCCACGCACCCTGGCCAGCATGGAGGTCTTCTTCACGTGGTGTCCGCTGATGCCCTGCTCAACGCACACCCTCCTGTCACTGAACGTGACCTGGGGCGGGCGGAGGCGAAGGGTGAGCGGCTTGGGGGGCCTCCGAGAGCCTCCAAACCACCGCGGGCTCCCACCCCGCGCCAGAGCACCGGCCTCCCTCGACAGCTCCTCTCCGCCGGGTCTCACCTCAAAAAGCACCGAATTGCGATTAACAAGGTACCTCCGATTCACCCCCGCCTCGATGCAGGCCGGGTGGGCCAGCACCACCGCCAGGTCCACCGAGGTGTCTGCGCGGGGCAGGGGGAGGGGGCAAGCCCGGCTTTAACCCGGGCCGTCCCCGGGCGCAGACCCCGCCCCCAAGGCTCAGACCGCGCCCCACCCCCGGGGCCCCCCAGCCCCTCCGCCGCCGCCGGGCCCCGCCCGCTGACCCAGGTTGGCCGGGAAGGCCTCCTGGCTGGTGGTCAGCACCACCGAGAAGCTGTAGCTGGTGCCCTTGTCCAGGAAAATGCGCTCGGGCAGCTGGTGCTGGGCCTTGAGGTCGTAGACCTTCTCGTAGCCGATCGTGTCGATGTGCACTTTATTGGGCATCTTCTTGTTGCTCGCCAGGTAGAAGTGGTAATCCTGGGGGTTGGGGTGGGGCCAAAATCAACCACAGGGATGAGGGGTGGGGAGCCCCCGCGCCCCCGTCCCCGGGCCACGTACCCAGAAGTCCAACTTGTTCTTCCACCAGTACCAGGTGGCGTCGTGCCTCCGGTCCGCGTAAGGCTGCCAGGGCCGTGTGCACCGTGAGGGGATGGGGGGCCCCTCGGGCAAGGGGCACCCCGAACCTTTTTCTAGCTTCCGCTGCAGCGCTTCACCAAAGCCCCGCTTTCGCTCCTAGAGGGACATCCCCCTGCCCCCGCCAGACCATCTCCCCAAAGCCCGACTCCAGCCCCTGCTTCCACCGCGCCCCCAGGGCACCGCCTCCCTCCACCGGGGACGCTGGGGGCTGCCCAGCTCCGCTGCGCTCCCGTCGCCCTGCCAGCCACCGCGGCCGCCTCGGCCCCCTGCGCCCCTTTTCGGACCTGACGGCCCCAGCGCCGCTGCCCGCGGCCCACCTTGTCGTATTTGGAGTGCATCCAGAGCAGGTAGTAGACGAGGCCCTGGTAGACCATGAGCGAGGGCGCGCTGTGGAAGCCCAGGGGATCCAGGACCCGCGGCGGCTGCGCCTGGTAGTGCTCCAGGCGCGTGTAGCGCTGCGGGTTGGGCAGGGCTAGCAGGCGCATGACGGTGAAGGGGCACAAGGAGGCGAAGGACAGTGTCAGGTGGCCCCTGGGGAGCGGCAGTGGGGGACAGCGCATGGCTTACCTGTGCTGGGCGCGCCGGGAGCCTCCGCGGGGCTGGCTCCCAACTCTGCTGACTACCCAAATCTAACTCAGCCCTGAAACCCCGCCAGCCCAGGCCCCCGGCGTCCCTGGGGCCCTCGGACTAGAGTCCTGGGCCTTTTCCCTACACGGCCCCGGCAAAACGGGGGCACTCACACCTATGCAACCTTCCACCTCTCCCCAGCTACACCCCAGAGCTCCTCTGCAGGACACAGGATGGGTTAACACAGCAACGTCACATAGACCTCCCCAGCATCTCGGCTCCCCAGGACCTGCCAGGTCAAGTTCAAGCTTCTCCCTCTGACCACCAGCCTCGGGAGTCTGCCCTGCCCTCATCACAGTACTCCAGCTATACCTACTTCCCCTTCAGGTCTGCAACAACCTGCTCCATCTTATCAGGTGGCCTATTTTTCACCCTTCAGTTCACAGGGCTCACACCTCTTCCTCCTTGAAGCCCTCCCTGATGCACCCTCCTCCCAGAATGGGTCAAGCTTCTTTGAGCTTGCATTGGCCCTGAGTTGTCCCACCAAGTCCTTGAGGCTGTCCCCGGGGAGGGCTCGATCTCCCTGGTGGAGCAGCCACCAACTGTGGGCAACACCAGGGTCTGTCTCCCTGAGGCCACCATCCAGTATCCTCACCCTTTCCGCTTCAGGACGTGCGGGTTTTGCAGCTGCTGGTAGTTCAGAAGCTGCGCCACAGGTATAGGCCTCTTGACTAGCCAGCTCCGCTGTTTGTTCACAAGGTACACCAGCTGCCATGGGAAGGCAGGGTCAGGTGAGCGGGTATCAGCCACCCCAAGGCTGCCCCTTATCTCCCCCAGCCCCCTGCCTGGCACCTGGTACAGTTTTCTGTTTTCGTAGAAGAGGGTGACCATGGTCTCTTGGCGAGCATAGAGAGGGGAGATCACTTGGAGATGGACATACATCTCCCAGCCTCTAGAGGGGAACAGCTTGAACAACTTGTAGGTGCCCTCCAGCAGGTACCAGATCTGGGGGTGCAACAGGTGTTTGTGAGTATGGGTGCGCCATAGGGATGACTGACCCCACCTACCCCTCTGCTGAGTGTGATGGCCACATCCCTTGAGGGGTGAAGCTTGGTCACTCATCTCCAGCTGGAACCAGGTGCGCTCCCGCCCCTTCTCTGTGGGTCCTCTCTAGTGCCCAGGACCCAAGCTACTCTGCTTCCAGCCCCCGCTCGCCATGATCAGTTGCTTCACTGTTGGAGCCGGCCGAAACCTAAGCATTCCTAATATATATAATCCTGAAAGACTGGGGTTCCTAGAGCTGATCCCTCTTTTTGCCTCACTCTTTGCATCCTCCGGTGTTTCACCCACCACCTCCTCGGCTCGGTTTCCCATCTCTGCTCGGACACCCACGTTACCCCAATATATTTGACTCTCAACTTCATCTCTTCCTGGGCCTCTACCTGGAGGATCCCCTCCCGTTTCCAGAATGTCCTCCCTCCAAGCGCCCTCTTCCACGAAGCCCTCCCTGATACACCCCAGACTGATGTGTGCATCAGCTGCTGCTGTTCTCCCCACTGCAGAACTGACCAGTCTGCACCACCATAGTCTGGATCAGGTCTGCCTTGCCAGCTGGACTGGGACTCTGTGAGGGCAGGGTCGGGGACAGACTCAGGCACACAGGGAGCATCCCCAGACAGGGAGAGCTCCCTAGTTATGAAATTAACAACTGCAGGATGGAATCAAAGAAGCCCCCTCTGGATACCAGGTCATGGCCCTGAGTTCAGGGCGTTCACGCTGCTGGGGGATTGGGCAAAGACACTTCCCTTCTTTGAGATCCAGGGTTCATTTCCACCGAGAGCTTCTGCTGCCCTTCCCCAGGGAACCTGAGGGCGTTCCCTCCCCTGGGCTCCTTTATCCCCACAGGGGGACAAGGGAGGCCCCTGGGGCTTGGGGTGGGCAGAGAGGAAGTGGGCAGAGGCACAGGGCAGCCCACCTCCTCGGTCTCTGTGACAATAGCCATGTCCCCGTGGAATGAGTTGACCATGTACTTGATGGACTGCTCCTTGGGGAAGTCGGCCAGGTAGATGAAGTCCTTATTGTTATAGCTGCGCAGACAGAGAAGGGAACTCAGGGCACCCTGGCAAGGCCCCAGAAGAGGTCTGTTACCCCCCAAAACTTCCAGCCTAACAGGAACCCTTTACTGAGTCGTCCACCGGCCTGGTGAGAACGAGCAAAGGAAACGGGATTCTAACTTCTGCACCAAGCTCTCTGGAGACACGAGGAGCACTGGGCAACCTGGCAGCATGCCAACAGCCCTGGGCTTGGCTCAGCGTTCTCTAGGTTCCCGAGGAGTGAAAACCTTTCCCTAGATAATCCCCTTCTCATGCTCACGTAGGTGGAGTCCTCATAGCAGGTGTCAGAAAAGGGTCCCACAGCTTGAAAGTATTAGCTTCCCCCATCCCAGCCCCAACTATCCCGACCCTGTTTTCCCCACCAAAGTCCTGATAACTTCCGGGGTTGGGCATACTCAAGACCTGGTGACCTCCAAAAGGGCCCCCACCCAAACGCGGAAGCTGGCAGAAGACGCCTGGGCCATACCTCTCCAGGAGGAAGTTACCCCAGACGAAAAGCAGGTGGTTGTACGGATTGTAGAACATGCCCTTGGGAACCATGGGGAAGGTGGTGTAAGACACCGTCCCCAGGATCAGGAAATCCAGGTCCTGAGCTGGCCGGGGCAGAGGCAGAGTGGACATGGCAGTGAGGTGGGGTCCCCTGAACCCCTCCCAGTCCCCCACCTTTGAGGGCCACTCCGCCTTCTCTTCCTACCGTCAGGTATGAATGGCGGAATGCTGTAGAGGGCAGACACGTTATCACTGGCTAGAGGTGGGGAGAACACAGCAAAATCTGAGGCCCTGAGCTTATAAAACTTGAAACTGAGCAAGACACCTGCTTCCTAACTCTTCCAAAGGCTTCCCACTTGGAAGGCCTGTTAGCCTTTAGTTCCTTTCTGTGGACTAGAATAAGGCACTGCCTCCCAGAGAGCTGTTCTGACTCCTTCCCAGGGAATGCAGTGCACAGCCTGTGCAACTGGACATGGCGGCCCTAGTCTTCTTTTACTTATTTTACTTCAGGTCAATCAAATCTCCTCATCGCGAGCTTTAAGGATCTTCCAAATTTGGTCTCTGGCTCATGACCCCCATCCCCCACCCCTTCTCCCCTCTGGCCCAATCACACTGACTTCATCCCAGTTTCTCTAGCCCACCAAGCCTCTCCCCGGTTCTCCACGGCTACGTCTGATGCAGGAGTTACATGAACATTTCCCACCTGTCTGCTGGAAACAGACTGAGCGGGATGAGCATGCAGTTCACAGCCTGGGTGCCTGTCCCTCTGCCCTCAGCCCCTCCCGCAGAGCCCCGATTACCCATGCTGTAGCTGGCCACTACGAAATCGTTGGTAGTGGTATAGTTGTTAGTTTCCAACAACAGCAGTAGTTTCTCGTTGATGTCAGAGTATACAGCCCAAAGTATGGAGCAGTTGTGAACTGAATGGGGAAGAGAGAGGTCCAGAGCACCCCAGGGCCCACCCCCTCCAAGCCAGGTCCTTCCTATGACAGCCACGCCCAGCCCTCCCCCCACCCCCAAACCACCAGCGCTTTCCCAGGACCTCTCCCAAGGCTACCTTCTCTCTCACCAACCCCCTCTGCCCACCCCGCCCCCCCAAAGGCCCATTTGGGGGATGGATACCTTTTAGCCCTTCGCACACACTCCTCTCCTTGGGTATCAACTGGAAGGACACACGGCCCTCTGTGGAGGAGCCAAGGTCCACGCTCAGGCCCAGCCTATCTGGTACCCGCCCACCCACACCTCTCCACTCTGGCTGCCAGTTCCCCCAGTTCTCCAGGCTGGAGTGCCTATGCCTCCCCATCCCTTACCCCAGGGGACCCAAGGAGCAGATCTCACCCCCTGGCCTTCAGTCGCTCGCATCTAGGTTGTCAAAGTCCACTGTCTCTGGTCACATGTCAGTTTGGACACGTGACCCAGCAGGGCCACCCTGGGACTTGTGCTAGAGCTAATGGGGAAGTGCTGCCCTCATTCTCTTAGGGTGACTCAAACTGGTGGGAGAGGTGAATCCCCCAGTTCCTAGGGGGGTGATCCTTAGCCCCCATGAGAGCAATGTGTACCTAAAAATGAGGTCAAATCACAGGGCTAATAAGAAAACCCCCCTCCCTAAGTCACCTTGCCCTGCACCTTTCTGTGTGCCAATTTATTGCACCCTTATAGTAACTCAGTGAAGTAGGTAACAGTACATCATTAGCCCCATTTTGCAGATGAAGAAATGAAGCCAAAAGGACTTGGCCACAGTGACTTGGGTCGGATGTGTTGGAGCAGTGAACCTGAGCTATCATCATTTTGCCACATATGCTACTTTGCCAAGGCAAAGACAAGAGTCCTGATGATACAGCCTGCCAACCCCTGGATCCAGCCATGCCTGAAGCTGGCACCTGGTCTTTCCATTCAGACCAGTCCACAAATTCTTTATGCTGAAATTCCTTTCGAACTGGGCTTCCCTCCTTTGAAACCAAATGCACGACAAAAGATACAGAGCCCTGCCCCAGCCCTGCCCTTACAAAGGATCATCCCCCTCATAGAGCTCTCCTCCCGCCAGCCTGAGACCCTCCCCCTGAGAAATCTTGGGGGTGAGGTGTGGAAGGGTCTCTTGGGCTGCCAGAATGCACCCTTACCTGTGATCGTCCCCAAGTGGATGTAACCTTCATGCTTGCCAGCGCTGAGGGCCATGATGTACTCAGAGCCGTTGCTATGGAAATACACGGGGCACAGCTTCTTGATGCACTCATTAGCGAGGATGCGCACCCAGCTCCCTGTCAGGGCCAGCAGGGGACTTGAGGCCCAAACGTTTGGACGTAGGCCCCCCACCCCCACATTTTCTTGTGTGAGTCCTCCCTGCCGAGCAGCTGTTCTATGCGGTGTCTCTGGGTACCCGACTTAGGGCTCCAGTTGCTTATGAGAAAATCCCCTCTGCTCACAATCTCCCCATGAGATTCAGACTGGCCCGACCCCATATTTGCATTGCCCTGGTCAGAGGTTTAGTACTGAGCTGAGCAAGTTGAGCAAAGCAGACGTGGTCCCAGCTTGCAATGGCTAACAGAGTTGCTCTTTCTGGGGGCCCTGAGGGCAGAACAGGCTGCAGTTGCCAGGAGGAGGAGGCAGTCACCTCGCCAGCACCAGGAAGGGCTGGGCTATCCGCTACAGTGAGCCCCTAGATCCAACTGTGCCTGGAACCCACATGTTCCTTGTCTTTTCAGCTAGGTTGACAAACACTCCCTTTTTCTGGACTGAGCCCATTTTAATTTGATTTCTCCCATAGTCAAAATTCCTAACAATTGGAGAGAAATTAAGTTGTTGGGAACACACGTTAACTAGTGAAATACAGAGCCACGTTTCTATGACCTGTTGCTCTCTCATGCGGCAGGGGTGGGTGGCTCAGGAGGTGGGGGGGGTGGCGTGGGGTGGGTATAAACATGAACCACAAGAAGGCTTGTGGCATTTTTTCTAAAATGAGGCTGAGGGCCTCCCCAGTGGCTCAATGGTGAGCGCTGGGCTGCAAAGCTGCCCACAGCCTCTGCAGCACTGGTTTGATCCCTGGCTGCTGGTGAGGGTCCCATATGGCGCAACAGCACCTCGCCCGCTGCTCCCCTCAGCAGTGTACTTCATCAGTCTGCCTGTTCTGCTCCCTGCTCTGGCTCTGGTGAATTCTCTCACCCTCCCGCGCTTCTGACTGTACCCAGTGCTGGTATAAATAAATAAATAAATCTTTAAAAAAACAAACTAAAACTTTAAATAAAATAAAATAAAATAAAATGAGGCTGAATCAGGAGTCCCTTTCCTCTCTGATCATTGCTTTGCTCTCCAAAGACCTATCTGTCTGTCTGTCTGTCTGTCTGTCTGTCTCCCTCCTCTCTCTCCTTCACTGTTTCTTTCTCTCTGGCACTCTGAATCCTTTCTGGGTACACATCTCCTTTGACACGTGCTTCTGACACTCCGGAGGCTGCACGTGCGCATGCTCACATCTCTCTCCCCGGCCTCCCTCCACGCTGATGTCTCCCTCTCCCCTCGGCTGGCTCACAGCTCCAGGGTAAGTCTGGATGAAAGCCTTGCCCAACACACAGAAGGTGGAGAAGGCCCATGCGGGTGGTCAGCGATGATTCAAGGCCTTGGAGTCCCTCCAGCACCCGCCCCACGCACTGCCCGCAGTCCCAGACCCAGGCACCCTGGTGGGTGGGTTCCCAGGCGCCCTCCCTGGAGTTCCAAGAGCCAGGTCCCCGCGCCAGAGACCTGAACCCCGCCAGCTGGCCCGGCCGGCCCTCACCGCTGCCCTGGTTGCTTTCGTGGAGCGTGCTGTAGGTGCCAGTGAAGTAGTACACGAGCTGGTTCTGCCGAATGAAGAGGGTGCTCTCGGTGGCGATGGTGTCATAGATGGTGGCTGTGAAGGCGGTGTGGGGGCAGTAGAAGGCGCCAACCCAGCAACTGTCAATGCCCAACTGCAGGGGAGCAGAGTCCAGGGTGGGCTGGTGGGGCACAGCCTCAGCCCCCACATCTTGCCCTGGAAGGGGGCTGCCTGCTCTGACAGTGGTTCAAACGGCCCTGCAGCTGCCCCCAGGCACCTCCCTGCTCACCCTGCAGCAGCGCCTTGGTGGCCAAATTTCTCCACATGGGCCTGCAGGCAGGACAGCGCCAGCTGGGGCTCGGCTCCCTACACTGGGGCAGCACAGAGCACACTCAACAGCACCAGTGATCTTGGTTCCCCAGACCAGTCAAGGTTGTACCCATGTGGATACAACAGAAACTCTGCTTGGCTCAAGGCATATGTGTAATTGTCCCCTCCCCATATTTTATTTTATTTATTTATTTTTCAAAGATTTATTTAGCCATACAAGAGCTGGGGTGTAGGCCAGAGGTGAGGGAGGGGGTTGAGCGGATTCACTAGAGACAGAGTGGGGAACAGAACAGGCAGACTGACGAAGTACACTGCTGAGGGGAGCAGTGGGAGAGAAAGGAGAGGTCTGCTGTGCCATGTGGGTGTCTCCCTAGCCAGGGATCGAACTCATACCCATACTGCTGACGCTCAGCCCCATACTGCTGATGCTTAACCCCTTGTGCCAAGAGGGAGGCCCCTCCTCATATTTTTAAAGGACAGTTTTATTAGGAAAGAGAGAAAGAAAGAGACCCATGCAGTCACAGACGGGTAGGAAACTGCCTCCATGCCACATTTTGAACGATCCTATTCTATCTCGGACACAACTGGCCTTTGGGCTGACACTCTCTGAACCCACTATCACTAGCCCCGGTCACCTCACGAACAGTGTGACAGCGCCACCACATGGAGGGGGCTTGCCTAACAGACTGAATCTAAATTAAGCTTCTAGAGGTCACTGCTAGTTTATAGGCAATATGCCGGGTTATGAACTGAGTTGTATCCCCACCCCCACACCTGTTTAGCAAGGTATACACTGAAGACCTAACCCCCAAGGTGAATGAATTTGGAAATAGGACCTTTAGGAGGTACTGAAAGTCCTATGAGGTCATAAGAGGGGGGCTCTAATCCTTATTACACTGGTGTCCTTTTTTTTTTTTTTTAAGATTTATTTATTTATGCATACAAGAGCTGGGGTACAGGCCAGAGGTGTGGAGCGGGGGTGAGAGGATTCACTAGAGACAGAGTGGGGAGCAGAACAGGCAGATTGTCTGAAATACACTGCTGAGGGGAGCAGCGGGTAAGACAGGAGAAGTCTGCTGCACCATGTGGGTCACCTCCCTGGCCACCGGGGATCAAACTCTTGCTGCGGCAGCTGTGGATTGCTTCATAGTGCTGACGCTTAACCCCTTGCACCACCAGGGAGTCCCCTAGACTGGTGTCCTTTTAAGAAGAGACACCCTAGGTCTCTCCACTCATGCCCTAGAGAAAAAGCCATTGAGGACACATTTGAGCCCTGGATCAAGCCAAGCCTGATGCCTGTTCATGCTTGGACTTTGTATTATGTGCAGTTACTAAATCCATTTCCTGTTTAAGCCAACCTGGGTTGGCTTTCTCCTTCAGCTGCACCAACTCAAACGTATGTCATTTCCACCAAAAGCAACTTGCTTCAGACGTTCCAACACTACTCTTGAGAATAACAGAAGCTCTCAAGGCTTAATCTGAAACCCTGGGGACCGATGCATATCACAACTCAGAATTTTCCAGATTTGGGGGCCTCCCTGATGGTACAAGGGATTAAGATGCAGTCTGTGAAGCTGTCCACAGCTTCTCCAGCATGAGTTCAATCCCTGGCCGGCCAGGGAGCTACCCACATGGCGCAGCAGACCTCTCCTGCCTCGCCCGCTGCTCCCCTCAGCAGTGTACTTCTGTCGATCTGCCTGTTCTGCTCCCCACTCTGTCTCTGGTGAATCCTCTCACCCCCCTACAACTCTGGCCTGTACCCCAGCTCTGGTATGCATAAACAAATCAATCTTTAAAAAAAAAAAGAATTTTCCAGATTTTGAAAGGTAAGATGGCACACATACCATTCACATGGAAACTTTCAGTGGGGTCTAGGGTAGCACCCCATAATCAAACTCCTTTGCATTTCTGCAGGGCAGCATCTAAATACTAATACTATATGAGATGAATAAAGACTATATATAGCCTTTGTTAGCTTAGATCAATTTTAGCCTTAAACCTGGAGAAATGCAGTTTTTCACAGCTTTCTGGATTTCAGAATTAACAAATGGTGGATTTAGTAAGCAATAATAGCTACGACCACACCATCGTCATTCTGTCTCCAGCTGCTACTAACTTCTGTCATCCTTACCATGATTCCATGAGGTGAATACAAATATTACGCCCAATTGGCAGCCCAGGTAGGAGAAGTGACTTGCCCAAGATCACACAGCCAAGAGGTGGTGGAACCCAGGCTGGATTTGAAGCCAGGCTGTCCAGCAGCAGCCTTGTCTTTCCTTCAAGTTATCTCCCTCTTTTGGGGACTAATATGTCTTTGGAGACCCCTTCCAGGTCCCACTGTTTTAGGGCCTGAGACCCAGCATCTCTCAAGAGGCCCCAGCCCACGGTCTGCCCTGTGCCACTCACCTCCACAAGAAAGACGTCATTGAAGTTGTTATCAGTGAGAAGGACAGACTTCTGCTCAGGAATGCCACCCAGGATTAGCACGGGTGCCTGGTCCACGGTGTACCACAGGGGCCTTGAGGAGGCATTCACGAAGTATCGGGGCTCAAGTTTGATCTGTGGAGTGGGGGAGCTGCTCAGCACTTCCCCTACCCTCCCACGGCTCCATTCTTTAGGATAAAACCAAAGTCCGGACCCACGGTGTCCCACACAATATGCCTGTGGCGCTTCTGACCTCACCCCACACGCTCTGCTCTCTGCCTCCAGCTCTGCTCTCGGTCTCATGGGCCTCCTCAGCCCTGCTCAGACTCACCAGGCGCTGCCCTGCCCCAGGGCCTTCTCGCTGCATGAAATGTTCTCCCCTGGTATCCACGTGATTCCCTCTCCCCCTCCCAGGCTTTACTCAAATGTCAACCTTCTCAAGTAGGTCTTTCCTGACCACTCCATTAAGCATCGTGATCCCCTTCTGCATGGACCCAGGCCACCCCCTCAGTGGGATTTCTCCCCCGAGCCCTGGCCACCTTTGAACCCACTGTGAACTTGACTTGATCTCAGGTTTACTGGTTTGGTATCTGTTTCTCCCACTAGAATGTCAGTTCATGAGGGCAGGGATGTGTGCGCGTGTTCACCGCCATGTTTCCATGGTGCCCACAATGCGCTCAGTTAAGTGCCTGCTGAGTGAATGAATGAATGAATGAATGCACAGGAATTGAAAATATGGGTTCAGTGTCAGGCAGACCCACTCACAAATCTCATTCCTTATGCTGAGCAACTGAGGACAAGTGGCTTAGGGGTTAAGTCTCAGCGCTATCACGCTATCAGCACCACTGCCCCCACCACCACCCAGCAGCCAGGGAGCTACCCACATGGCACAGCAGACCTCTCCTGTCTCGCCCGCTGCTCCCCTCAGCAGTGTATTTCATTCAGTCTGCCTGTTCTGCTCCCCACTCTGTCTCTGGTGAATCCTCTCACCACCCCCCACCCCCGGACCTCTGGCCTGCACCCCAGTTCATCTATGCATAAATAAATAAACCTTTTTAAAAAATAAAATAAAAAATGTGTATGTGAGAGAACCTTCCCTCACAGGGCCACTGAGCAGAGGAAGGCAACCGCAGCAGCCTGGCGGGCGACAGCACACAGCAACGTACCTGCCACCTGTTGGGAAGTCATCAGGGCCCCAGCCCAGTACCTTCTACCTCCGAGCTGGCCAGGTGCTCACCTCATTGCCCAAAACGAAGTGAAGCATTTGGTCTTTGTTTCTCTGCAGGAAGCCATTGATGTTTATGGGGAACCTGGCGCAAGTGTGAGGCCAGCTCAGGTGAGGGCTGGGGTTCCAAGGCTCCTGCTCCCCACCCCCACCCAGGCACCTCTTCTCCCACTGGCCTCCCTTTGATCGCTTCCCGGGTTCTTGGGGAATGTGGGGATTCCAAAGGCCCTCCTTGAGTTTCACCCCCTGCCCTGGGCTTGGGAGAGGCTACCTTTTATCAGGAATGAAGGGCCCTAGGCCGTTGCTGCTGACATCCACGTTCATGACCACGCTGCCATTCCTGATGGGCATGGGCACATACCAGCTCATGTCACACAAGAACGTGTTGTTGTCGCATGACTCTCCTGGTGGGCAGTGGGCACTGAGGCTGCTGGGGCCTCCTAGCAGCCCCCTCCATGCCACAGACCATTGGTACCTTTATTTGTTTGTTTGTTTATATTCAAAAGGGCAGGTTTATTATAAAATGGGAAGGGGAGAGGAGGGAAGGCCACTTACACAGACACAAGTGGGCAGAAAGAGGTGCCCCTGAAAGGGACAGGCTGTTAAGGGATGCCTGCACAGTCATGGGCGGGCAGGAGAGCTACTGCCATTGGTATCTGCAAGGCCCCAGGCCCCCCTCTGGGTCATGGGCCCCACTGGGGACTTTGTGTGGCCCCATCTAGGCATGGAAGCTGCTGAGGCCTCCTCCAGCATCAGGCCACAAACTCCACTGAGGCCCCCCCAACAACCCCTCAGCCCCACCAGCCTCCCCTCCGGGTCATGGGCCCCGCTTAAGTCCCCAGAAATCCCTTACCACTCCTCCCAGCCTGTGACCCCCTCCAGGCACCCCTAAGGCCCACCTCTGTGGTGGAAGGGCGCTGCCTCCATCTGGATCTGCAGTTGCTCCATCTTCCAGCGATAAAAGTTGACAGGAGACTGGAAGGTGACCAGCACGGAGGGCTTCAGCCCTGTCAGGTGGCCCTTGAAGACCAGGGCCTTGGAGACCTGGGGGCAAGATGGCCCCACAGGTACATCCTCAAGATAGTCTCTGGGTGCCCCCTGCCATGATCCCACCTTTAGCAGCTTATCTTCCTGGGTTGGGTGGGGAGAACAGACTCTCCCCTGTAGGCAGGTCAGAGAACATGGCCTATAGGTTTCGGGGGCCAGATGACAGGTTTGGAGCTAGATTAGGAGAGGGGTAGCCAGGGACAACCTTGCAGAGATGCCAGGATCCCGAGTAGGGCTGGAGGAAATGGAAGGGCAGACTGGAGACAGAAGGAGGCAAAGGGAAGGGTGTCTCAGGTGCCTGGAACAGCATAAGCAAAGGCTTGGAGGCATCTCCAAGACAAGACTGCACTTGAGCCATTGGGGGGTGAGGTCACGCTGAGAAACACCTGGCCAGGGTCTTCCACTCCTGCCACTTCCGCCAACCCCCCATTCCTCAATTCCAGTCCCAGAGTGGCAGGTGCTGGGATGGGTGGGTGGGGACCTCCTCTCTGTTAGGGAAGCCACGGCCATGACCACGCTGGTCCTGTCCACGCTTGTCTCTGGCCTAGACACTCATTAGCCTCCTCGATGTCTCCCTGCTTCCGCCTGGCCCCCCACAGGGCAGGAGGGAGCACGCGAACACCTGGGGCAGCTCATGTCCCTCCTCAAAGCTCCATCTCACTCAGTGTGAAAGTCAAGACCTCACTATGCACCACGAGGCCCTAAAAATCCCATCACCTCCCTGACCTAGCTCCTCCCATTCTCCCCTTTGCTGGCTCCGCTCTGGACTCCCGGGCCTCTTCCTGGTTCCTCATATAAACCAGCCTCTCTCCTGCCTCGGGGCCCTGGCACTGACTGCTCCCCCAGCCTGGAATGCTTTTCCAGCTCTCCCCACAGTCACCCCTTCTCTCATTCCAATCTCTGCTAAGCCTCTTCCCCCACGACTCCTGCTGACCCCACGACAGCCTCTTTCTAACATAGCACCTCGTTTGGTTTTCTTCTTCATGTGGCTTCGCTTACTCTCATAAATTGTTTGATGTCTGCTCCCTGGTGGGCTGTAAGAAAAACCTGGCCATTGGAAACCACCTCCCAAGGCTGTATTACCCGCAAAAGAACATCTAACTTGGGCTTCCCTGGTGGTGCAAGGGTTAAGACGCAACCTATAAAGCAATCTGCAGCCACTGTGGCATGAGTTCGATTCCCGGCCAGGCAGGGAGCAGCCCACATGGCGCAGCAGACCTCTCCTGTCTCACCCGCTGCTCCCCTCAGCAGTGTGCTTTGGTTAATCTGCCTGTTTTGTTCCCCACTCTGATTATTATCATATGCTTATTAAGGATGCAGAAATCTTGGTACAGAGAAGCAAAGTCACTTGCCTCATCACACAGCTTTTATGTAGCAGAGCTGGGATTTGAACCCAAGGGGCCTGGTTCCAGGGGCCAAAGAATTAACTGTTATGCTATGATTTTTCAAGAAATTGTTCTGGGGGGCAGATTCAAATCCAGTTCTGCTGCCTCCAGAACTTCAGTTTTAGTTTTCACACGTTCTACTGTCCTCAAAAAGCATATTTGGGCCAAAACAATCTTGAAAAAGAAGAACAAAGTTGGAGGATTCAAACTTACAGACTGGAAAATTTACCTCAAAGCTAGATTAATGAAGACTGTGTGGTGCTGGCACATGGATAACAGACAGAGCAGTGGAAGAGAAGAAAACTCAGAAATAAACCCTTACATTTAAGGTCAACGGATTCTTGACAAAGGTGCCAAGAAAATGCAGTGGGGCAAAGACTAATCTTTTCAATAAATGATGCTTAGATTGTTGGATATTCATATGTGAAAGTCAGACCCTTATCTTACACCATGTAAAACATATTAAAGTGTATTGGAGACCTAAACTAATCCCTTAGAACAAAACTTGGGAGTAAATCTTTGTGATCTCTGGCTAGGCAAAGACTTCTTAAGCAACACCAGGGCCTCCCTGGTGGCCCAAAGGGTTAAGACTCAACCTATGGAGCTATCGGCAGCCACTGCAGCACGACTTCAATACCTGGCCAGGGGGCTACCCACCTGGTGCAGCAGACCTCTCCTGAGTCATCCGCTGCTCCCCTCAGCAGTGTGTTTCAGTCAGTCTGCCAATTCTGTTCCCCACTCTGTCTCTGGTGAGTCCTCTCAACCCCCACACCTCTAGCCTGCACGCCAGCTCTTGTATGCATAAATAAATAAATATTTTTTTAAAAATCAGTAAGTTGGACTTCATCAAAATTGAAAACGTGGGTGCTATTTTATGACATGTGAATTACATCTTAAACATTAAAACTTTTGGGCCTCCCTGGTGGCACAGCGGGTTGAGTGCAGTGCTGTGAAGCTGTCCGCAGCCTCTGTAGCGCAGGTTCGATTCCCAGCCGGCCAGGGAGATTCCCACATGGCGCGGCAGACCTCTCCTGTTTCACCTGCTGCTCCCCTCAGCGGTGCTTTCGGTCCATCTGCCTGTTCTGCTCCCTGCTCTGTCTCTGGTGAATTCTCTCACCCTCTTGTGCCTCTGCCCTGTACCCCAGTTCTTCTATAAATAAATCCTTAAAAAATTATGAAAACCATTAAAACTTTTGTGCTTCAGGGTCTCCCTGGTGTGCAAGGGGTTAAGACACAACCTATGAGGCAATCTGAAGCCTCTGCAGCACAAGTTCGATCCCCGGGCGGCCAGGGAGATGCCCACACGGTGCAGCAGACCTCTCCTCACTTGCCCACTGCTCCCCTCAGGAGCGTATTTCGGTTGATCTGACTGTTTGGTTCCCCGCTCTGTCTCTGGTGAATCCTCGCACCCTCCCCCGCCACACCTCTGGCCTGTATCCCGGTTCTTGTACACATAAATAAATTCATTAAAAAAAAAAAATTTTTGTGGGTGCCTCCCCGGTGGCGCAGCGGTTGAGCGCTGGGTTGCGAAGCTGCCGGCGACCTCTGCGGCGCAGCGGTTCGATCCCCAGCTGCTCCCCGGCCACCGGAGGAGGGTCCCACATGGCGTGCAGACCTCTCCTGCCGCCCGCTGCTCCCCTCAGCAGTGTACTTCGGTCCTTCTGCCTGCTCTGCTCCCCGCTCTGGCTCTGGTGAATTCTCTCACCCTCCCGCACTTCTGACTGTACCCAGTGCATGTATAAACAAAAAACAAACAAACAAACAAACAAACAAATAAATAAATAAATAACATGCCTCAAAAAAAAAAAATTTTGTGCTTCAAAGGACACCATCATAAAAATACAGATCATGTATCAGATAAGTAACTTGTATCCAATCAGATAAGGAACTTGTACCCAGAATATAAAAAGAAATAAAAGGGCATAGGACCTTTCTCCACAGAAGACAGATAAATGGCCAGTGAGCAAATGAAAAGATGTTCAACATCATTAGTTATGAAGGAAATGCATATCAAAGACACCGTGAGATACCAGTCCACACAGTAGGTTGATGTAATTTAAAAAATGGGAAGGGCCTCCCTGGTGGCTCTGGGGTTAAAGACAGCGCGATCAAGCTATCACCAGCCACTGCAGCATGAGTTCGATCCCCTGCCGGCCAGGGAGCTACCCACATGGCGCAGCAGACCTCTCCTGCCTCACCAGCTGCTCCCCTCAGCAGTGTATTTCAGTCAGTCTGCCTGTTCTGTTCCCCACTGTCTCTGGTGAATCCTCGCACCCCCCATGCCTCTGGCTTATACCCCAGTTCTTGTATGCATAAATAAATAAATCTTTTAAATAAATAAATTAATTAAAAGTGGGAAGTAACAAGAACTGGCGAAGCAAAACCCTCATGATGCTGATGGGAATGTAAAATGGTGCTTTGGAAAACACTTTGGAAAACAGAAGGAAAGTCAACACATAACCCAGCAATTACATTCCCAGGTATATCCTCAAGGGAACTGAAAATAAATGTTTACACAAACACTTGTACACAAATGCTTACAGCAGCATTCTTAATAGTGAAAAACATGGAAAAACCCAAGTATGCATCCATTAATGAATGGATGAACAAAAGGGTCATCCACGCAAGTGAATGTTATTCAGCCATAAAAAGGTAATACTGATACATGCTACAACATGGTTAAGCCTTGAAAACATGCTAAGTGAAAGAAATCGGACACAAAGGTTACATATTTTATGATTCCATTTAAATATGATATTCCAGAATAAGAAAATCCATATGGACAGAAAGTAGATTAGTGGTCTTATAAGGCTAAAGGAATGGGGGTACTATCAGAGTTTCTTCTTGAGGGGAGGAAAATGTTCTAGAATTAGATGGTGATGACGGCACAACTTTCTGACTATACTAAAAAATAACTGAATTATATACATTTGAAACAGTAGTAGTATAATGAATTATATCTCAACTTTGTTAATGGCCCCAAAGCCCCCAAAACAAAACCTCACTTGAGCACCTACTATGTGCCTGGAAGGATACTGGGAACCTTGACTCCTTCAGGTCTCCAAGGTCTGGTGGTATCACCACTATTACAGTGTTAGTGATGGCAAACTGAGATGCATACGTACTGATCCCCACCCTCGCTGCTCCCACTCACCTCTCTCTCGCAGGAGTAATTGATCTTCAGGTAGTAAGGGAAGCCCAGGTATTTCTGCAAGCAGAGGTTGGGCAAATGTCCAGAGCTCAGTGGGGTGTGGATCCAAGACCTCTCCGTTTCCCCTCACTCCTCGTCCTCTCACCTCGTCGGCATGGAGAGGTCCTATCACCCATAATCTGAACAGCATGTCCATGACTGCAAGGGTCTCTTCATAGAAGAAGCGATAGCTTCCACTGAAGTTGCCTACGGTCTCAACTTTGCTTAGGACAACATGCCAGCTGCACGGTGGGGTATCCTCTATCCTCGCCCACAGTCTCCACGGGGCTAACAGCACCGCCAGCAGTGCCCACAGCGCCCGCAGGACTCCGAGTCTCCGCCACACAGGGCCAGCAGCGGACATCGCGAGGCAGCACGCGACGTGGCTCGAACCTGGATAGTGCAGGGATCAACACCCACCGCAAGACTGCGCTCTGGAGCCGCCTTCGGAGATCCCACGCAGCTCTAGAGTCGCGCCCTGGCCCTGCTCCTGGCCCCGCGTCTGCACCTGGTCCCGGCCCCGGCCCTGCTCTTGCTCCTGGCCCCGCCCCTGCTCTTGCTCCTGACCCCACCCCTACTCTTTCCCCGGGCTCCGCCCCTGCTCTTGCTCCTGGCCCCGCCCCTGCTCTTGCTCCTGTCTCCGCACCTGCTCTTGCTTCTGGCTCCGCCCCGGCCATGGCCCTTGGCGCCACCCCTGATTTTCCTCTGGGCTGCACCTCTATTCCAGACCCTGCCTGGACTCCGGGTCCCGCGTCGGATCCTATTCCGGCTCCCACCTCTGCAGGTACTCCCGGACCCGCCCCTACTGATGCTACTGCCCTCACCCCAGCTTCTGGTTTCACCCTGTTTCCTCGTTTTGCCCCTTAACCTTGCCCCGCCTCTGCTCTTCGCCCCGCCCCTGCTCTGCATCCCGCCCTTGGTCTCCGCCGGCTCAGTATTCCTGTTTCTCGCTTTGCCTGCGCCCCACCCGCTTTCCCCGGTCCTGCTCCTCTGCTGTGCGCCTCTGTGCTTGGCTCCGCCTCCGTTTCGTGCCTCGCCCCCCCAATTCCCTTCGTACTTCCCCTTTCTCCTAGCTCGGACCGGGCTCTGGAAGCCTGTCTTGTACCTAGCCTCGCCCCTGTCCGAGTTCGGGCCCGGGCCCTTCTCCACGCCCCGCCCCTTCCCCTGGCCCCGCCCCCTCGCCTGGCCCCGCCCCTGGGCCTCGCTCTGGGCGGGATCCTCGCTCTGCTTCCGCCCCTTGCCCCGCCCCCGTTCCTCCGCCCGCCCCCGTTCCTCCACCCGCCCCTTCCCCTCCTCCTTGGCGAGCTGTTCCCGCCGAGCCGGCTCCTCGCCCCGCCCCCCCTTCGCGCCCCTCCTCCGGTGGGAGCCCTTCTCCTTGCCCGGGGATCTCTCGCCACCCGCCTTTTCCTCGCCTTTCGGGATCTCCTCGCCCAGAGTCGTCTCCTCGCCATGAACCTTCTCCTCGCCCCACGCCCGCGCCACCTTCTGGATCCTCACCTTCCTCTTAGGCCGCGGCACCTCGCCACCCCGCTCCCCCTGCTCGCCACCCCGCTCCCCCTGCTCGCCACCGTCCTCCGCGCCCCGGACGCCCACCATGTCTCCGCGCCGCTCCTCCCCGCCCCGCCCCCGCGCCCCGCCCGCCTCCGCCTCGCCCCGCCCCTGCCCCGCCCCTCCTCGCCCTTTTCCTTCGCCGCCGAATCCCACGCCTTTTCTCCCTTTCCCCTAGCTCTCCACGCCCTGCCGTTCCCTTTCCCGCATCTGCCCTTCTGCGCCCCCTCCCCGCCCCCCGCATCCCTTCCTGGGGTCGCCCCAGGCGCCTCCCTCTTCGCCCCGCCCCGTGGCACCAGTCACCTAGTTAAAACCGGTCAACCGTCAACTGGCCGCTCCAGTCCCGCCCTCTTGCCCGGTCTCAAAATGGCCGCGCGCGCGTCCCCAACCGACTTCCGCCTTTCGCGAGCCACGCCGGCCTCGCACGCCGGTCTCCACGGTAACGCGCGTCCCAACAGGCGCCAAAGGCTCTGGGGCGGTGGCAGGGAGTCGCTCCACATCCAGGCGGGCGAGGTGTGGCCGGCAGAGGGTGCCAGAGACAGAATTTGAGTCGGAATTTGAGCTAGGTTTCGACCTTCTACCCAATTAGATTTATCGTATCAAAAGTTCTCCTAAAAAAGAGACCAAGTTTGGTCTCCTTGTGGGAATAGTGTATCCGCCCTCCTCTAAGAAACAGGGACCAGGCAACCCTCGCACGCATTTGTGAGACGTCAATCAGATAACACACAAGGGTGCCCCCCTGAAGCTCGCCTTCATTAAGTTACAATTTTCATTTGTATTCTGATGCCTGTCAGTTAAGGGCATCATGAGTGATGAAATGCAAAGCTGAGTTCACTCTAAACTAGTGGCTTCGGGCCTCCCTGGTGGCGCAAGGGGCTAAGCACCACACTATGAAGCTATCCGCAGTCTCTGCAGCACAAGTTCGATCCCCGACTGGCCAGGGAGCTACCCACATGGCACAGCAGACCTCTCCTGTCTCACCCGCTGCTCCCCTCAGCAGTGTATTTCAGTCAGTCTGCCTGTTCTGTTCCCCACTGTCTCTGGTGAATCCTCTCACACACCCCCGCTCCTGTACCTCTGGCCTGTACCCCACTTCTTGTATGCATAAATAAATCTTTAAAAAATAACAATAAACTAGTGGTTTCCAAACTCCAAAGAAAAATTGATTAAGATTGTTGGAATCAGGGGCCTCCCTGGTGGCGCAAGGGGTTAAGCACTGCACTATGAAGCAACCCGCAGCCTCTGCAGCACGAGTTTGATCCCCAGCCGGCCAGGGAGATTCCCACATGGCGAAGTGGACCTCTCCTGTCTCGCCCTCTGCTCCCCTTGTTAGGGGGAAATGATGTCCTGAGTTAATCCCATACAGGCTTTGTGGACGCCACCCCCACTCCAGACTAAAGCCATCAAGACATTGGGAAAGACAAATCCCGTTACCACCAAAGGGAAGGTGGCTGGGACCTGAGGGTGGAGTTGGGCAGCCAGATTGGATATAAAAACCAAACACGTGGGCCTTGGGCTGGCTCGCTGTTGCTGGCCTCCTGGCTTCAGGGCTCCTGGCTGGCGGCCAGCTCTCAGAGCGCCATTTTGGGATTCCTGATCGGCGGATCGGGTAGGACTCATTTAAAACTTTGTCTCCCACTTTTCTCCCTGAGCTGTACATTTCCTCATTTCCCCTTCCCTTGTAAATAAACCTTTTATTAACCTTTCGCGTGTGCCTGCAGTAGAGCATTGATAAGTCCTTTGAAGCGCGCGGGTGAGGACCCACAGTCAGGCACCCCGTTTTGTATCGGGGTTGCTCTACAACAGTGGTTTTTATATCCAATCTGGCTGCCCAACTCCACCCTCAGGTCCCAGCCACCTTCCCTTTGGTGGTGACGGGATTTGTCTTTCCCAATGTCTTGATGGCTTTAGTCTGGAGTGGGGGTGGGGTCCACAAAGCCTGTATGGGATTAACTCAGGACATCATTTCCCCCTAACACCCTCAGCAGAGTCTTTCAGTCTGCCTGTTCTGCTCCCCACTCTGTCTCTGGTGAATCCTCTCACCCCTGCTTCTCCCCGCATCTCTGGCCTGTACCCCAGCTCTTGTATGCATAAATAAATCTTAAAAAAAAAAAAGATTGTTGGAATCTACCCCCAGTTTTTTAATTCCCCAGGTCAGAGTTGGGGCTCACTGGAAAATTTGTATTTTCAGCAGGTTTCTAGCTGGTACTGATGGTCTGGCGGGTCACACCTTGAGAACTAGTACTTTAAACCTTCCATAACATCCAGATGATGGGGCCTCCCCGGTGGCGCAGCGGTTGAGCGCTGGGTTGCGAAGCTGCCGGCGACCTCTGCGGCGCAGCGGTTCGATCCCCAGCTGCTCCCCGGCCACCGGAGGAGGGTCCCGCATGGCGCGCAGACCTCTCCTGCCGCCCGCTGCTCCCCTCAGCAGTGTACTTCGGTCCTTCTGCCTGCTCTGCTCCCCGCTCTGGCTCTGGTGAAATCTCTCACCCTCCCGCGCTTCTGACTGTACCCAGTGCATGTATAAACAAAACAAACAAACAAACAAATAAATAAATAAATAAAAACATGCCTCTATAAATAAAAAAAAAAATGTGTTAAATGAAAAAAAAAAAAACATCCAGATGATGGAGGACAAGAATAGAAAAAATGGAAAGGAGGTGCCTCAAGACTCAAACCTCACTCACAGTGTTATAGGACAGGGAGAGGGGCAGCCCAAAACCCCGCAAACCTGCCTATTCTAAATGGGTTCTGCCATCCGCCGCATCAACACAAAACATATGAGACTTTAACGGGAAGGAACTTTAATACAATTAGAAACAATACAGGAAAGGCAAAGAGTCTAGTTTCTACATGAAGCACCCAAAGTTACCCGTCCCCTCGTGGGTAAAAGTCCATCCATATGGGATCGGCCCAGAACAAGGCCCCAAAGCCTGCCCCAAGTCTAAAGCATCTTCCAGTGGGGACCCACAGAAAAGGGTCACAAACAACCAGACAAGCCCGGAAGGAAAAGAGCAAAATCAACATCAAGATAAAAGCTGCCATGGTCACCTCCCCACGGGTCTCACCCACATCTGTGTCACCCCGTCCACGACCAAAAGACAAGCGCAGTTTCTTCACGTGTCTCTAGGCTCCATGCGCCTCCTCCAGGTCTCCTTGCTCCATCCTGCTTCCTTCCTTCCTCAGTCTCTTCTGCAGCTTCTCCTCTTCCTGCTCAGCTCCCCCCTCCCTTGGGAGGGGCAGGGAACCTCCCCCTTTCCTGGGGACCACCCTGTTACAACAGAAGGAGATGGGGGTCGAGGGGAATAACATGACCATTAACATGATCAATAACATGACCTCTATACCAGCTGTAGAGGTCATGACCCTCAGGCACCAGTGCCTTATCACAAGGCAGGAGACCCAAGCAGGATGAGACTGCTATAGGGAGTGGAGCACAGGCCTGAGGGTAAAGATATGGAGATTGGGCCCACCCTGGAATCTCTGATCCCTTTCTAATTTTGCCTGGTACCCAACATCGGCAACAAGCAGGCCGCTCCACGGAGGAGTGACCCCTCCCAAAGAGAAAAGGACTGTATCAATGCAGTCTCTGCAAAGGTCAGGGCAGCACTCCCACTGCCCGCCTGTGACTATACAGGTGCCTCTTTTCACCAGCTCTCTCCCTCTGCAGGGCAGCAGCTTTCTGGCTGCCCGTGACTTTTACCATGCCGGGACTTCTCTTCACCGACCTCCCTCAGCGGAGGCAGCTCTCCTCAAGGCCGCCCACCTACAACCACACAGGCCTCTCTCAGCAAAACCTGTCCCTTCCCTTTCCCTAATCAACCTGTTCTTCTAATATAACCAATGTCTGTCTTATGGAGAAACCTGCCTGGGGAACTCACTGTGTGCCGCTGAACCGGGAGCTCTAGTGAAACTGTTAGGGGGAAAAGGATGTCCCAAATCTAATTCCATACAGGCTTTGTGGACTCCACCCCCACCCCAGGCCAAAGCCAAAGACACTGGGAACTCCAAATCCCATCACCACCCAAGGGAAGGTGGCTGGGACCTAAGGGTGGGGTTAAGCAGCCAGGTGGATATAAAAGGCAGACACGTGGGCTTTGGGGATCCCCCATTTTTGGCTCTCGGCCAGCTTGCAGCGTCTGGCCAGCTCTGAGTGACTTTGGGTTTCCAGGTCGGCGGATCGGGTAGGACGCATTAAAGACTTTATTTCCCTATTTTCTCCCTGAGTTGTACATTTTCCTTATTTCCTTTTCTCTTGTAAATAAACCTTTTATTAACCTTTTGTGTGTGTCTGTAGTAGAGTATTCATAAGTCCCTTTAAAGCGCGCGGGTGAGGACCCACAGCCAGGAACCCGTTTAATATCGGGGTTGCTCTATAACAAAACCTTTCCCAGAGTGAACCCAAGGACCCCACAATTCCACAAAACGACATCACAGGGACCCCAGAGAAACGTCTGTCAGCTGGTTTCCAGAGCTCTCTCTCTAGTCCACAGCCAACACTCCAACAGCCAGACCAGGCGCTTTCTCCTCCAGGCCGCACACTCTAACTCCCTCTGGGATACTACACTTACTTTGGCATGGGTCAACCACAGTCCTTCCTTCGGGTCTTGTCTGTCATGAGTACCAGCTCCCATCCCTTCCCTATCCACGCTGGGGCTGATGGTCTGGGAAGGTCTTTGTTTCCCAGAGTCACAGGCTCTGGTTCAGGGCCTAGAGCTTCCGCTGTCACTGTAGTTCTATTGGAGCGGCCCTGCAGCCCTGGGCCTTTTGGGCTGCAGGCAGGGTCTCCAAAGCGTGCAACTCTCCTCTCCCCTCACAAGGGCTGCAGCCCTAGAGGGAACTCCATGCCTTGAAGGGACGCTGGGCACAGCGCCCTGGTCTGAACTCCACCCCAGTCCTGAACAAGGGGGCTGCTGGGAAGATGGAGTTGCCAAGCAGCCCGAGGGGTGGGGGAGGTGTGTGCAAAGGGAGAAAGGGAGCTGGGTCTTTATTGGCACCCGCCTCACGCTCTGGCTGGGTGGTGGCGGGCCTTACTAAGAGCTGCAAGACCCCAGCGCACCCTGCCAGCACCTGTAACACAGCCCACCTTGCACCATCTTGGTAACTGGAGCTTCTTGTTGCTCTACCCTGTTGGTTAATCTTTTTTTTTTTTTTTTTACTTTTTTTAAGAGTTATCAATTTATGCATACAAGAACTAGGGTACAGGCCAGAGGGGCGGGGAAGTGAGAGGATTCACCAGAGACAGAGTGGGGAACAGAACAGGCAGAATGACTGACACTGCTGAGGGGAGCAGCGGGTGAGGCAGGAGAGGTCTGCTGCATCATGTGGGTCACCTCCCTGGCCAGGGATCGAACTTGTGCCGCAGTGGCTGCGGATAGCTTCACTGTGCTGTGCTTAACCCCTTGTGCCACTAGGGAGGCTCTCCATGACAATTTATAGACTCTTTTCCCCTATCAGTAACAGTTTCTCACCTGTACATTGTCCCAAGGGAAGAATAGATGTCCCATAATCACTGTCACATCAGCGCGAACAGCCAAGGGCAGTCTGTTCTCTTGACCCCCAGTCCACTCTCACCGTCTGGGCAGGGGTGACTTTATGTAAGAAAGGAAGCACCTTCTAGACTCACCGAACAGTCAAGAGACTGGGGTCTCTTCATGGGACTTCCTGGTGGGGGGCAGTGCCATTGGGGGAGGTGTTGTTAGATTTCGGGGCACAAGGTGCACCCTGCAGCTTCTCTGCGGCAGCAAGACTGGCAACCACCCCCATGTTCACAAAAGGGACATTGAAATAACAGATGGGAAATGTGTCCTAGAGGTGCCACTGAAGGCACAAAAAAGGACAGGAGACAACAGGTGTCTCTCTAGAATCATCTCTGAATGCCCCTGGGCTGGTGGAAAAAAGCAAGGTGCAGAGATGATGATAAAACCAGAAAAGGTAGATAAAATTACATATTTACAGTTAAAAACATGTAGAATGGAAAAACAAGGTATAGGAATAAGAATATTATTCCTATAATATAAAAAAGAATATAGAAAAGAATATAGATTATATAGAATATAGAATATAATATAGAATATAATATATATAGAATATAATATAGAATAATATAGAATATAATATAGAAAAGTCTCTATATTTATGTGTTACATTAACAGGAAATGTGCAGAAATGAGGATAACTAATAACTAGCCAACATGAGTGCCAGACACTGTTCCAAGAGCTTTACAGATATTAAGTTGCTTAATTCTCTGACAAGTCCAGGTGGTAGGTGAGTTATCATCCCATTTCACAGATTAGCAAACTGAGGCACAAGGAAGTGAAGTCACTTGGCCAAAGCCATAGAGCTTGGGATTGACAGAGTTCAGATTTATATCCAGGGACTTCACCTCCAGAGTGTGTAATTGTAACCACCTTTCCATATTAGGCACCTTGTGTAGAGTGAAAGACAAAATAAAGCTTCACACATGCGTCCAGCTGGTACATGCCCGGAAGGAGACCTGAAAAACCAGTCCACGCTGGCTTAGTGTGGGAAAAAGTGAATTAACACTGTCCACTGTTGCAACTTTTGCAATTTTTCTAGCAGTCACTTCTTGCTCTTTTATAAAGTGCTTCGAACTGAACAGGGTCTGGTTTATTTCTCCAAAGGAATATGAAAGAAGTGGCAAAAACCAGACCACACGGGCACCTCTCTGAAGATGAGTAGCAGCTGCCTACCCACCCAGTCGCTGGCTTTAGCAGTGAGGTTGGCAATGACCACAGTGGGAGCCAGGAAGGCTGGATGGCTGAGAAAGTGCTAGTCTGCAGAGGTTTCTGAGTTCCTGCGGGGAGAAGGGGCCCAACCCCTATTTTCAAATTCCAATTTTGCATTTTCTGTGTGACCTTGGCCAAGCTGTTAACCTCTCTGGATATCCCTTCTTTAACTGTAAAATATGGAGAGGGGCCTCCCTGGTGGCACAAGGGTTTAAGATGCAACCTATGAAGCTGTCGGCAGCCACTGCAGCAAGAGTTCAATTCCCCGGCCAGGGAGCTACCCACATGACGCGGCAGACCTCTCCTGTCTCACCCGCTGCTCCCCTCAGCAGTGTATTTTAGTAGATTTGCCTGTTCTGCTCCCCACTCTGTCTCTGGTGAATCCTCTGAACTCTACACCTCTGGCCTGTACCCCAGTTCTTGTATGCATAAATAAGTAAGTCTTTAATAAAAAATAAAAGGGTAAGACTACGAAGCGGGGCAGAGGAGGACAGTGTCATCGCTCGACATCACTCAACAGGCAGGTGCAGACAGGTTACATGCCAGCTACAGCCTTCTCCCCCCCCGGGAAGTCGGGAGACAATTAGTCAGGATTAATGCTCTTTGGCACCCCATGGTGGTGGACCAAATCATTTGGACAGGATACTGGGACAGGGCTCACCAGCCCATGGTTTAGTTTTTATTTATTTTTTTAAAAGATTTATTTATTTATACAAGCACTGGGTACAGTCAGAAGCTCGGGAGGGTGGGAGGATTCACCAGAGCCAGAGCGGGGAACAGAACAGGCAGACTGACAAAATACACTGCTGAGGGGAGCAGCAGACGCGGCAGGAGAGGTCTGCGCGCCATGTGGGACCCTCACCGGTGGCCGGGGATTGAACCGGCGCTGCAGAGGCTGTGGGCAGCTTCGCAGCCCAGCGCTCAACCACTGCACCACCAGGGGAGGCCCTCACCAGTCCATGGTTTAATCCACCTGTTCAAACAGAATTTGGGACAACTTTTATTTTACCAGCTTGCCAATTCTCTTACCTAGACAGTCTCAGCCAGGCATCCTTTCCTTAGGCTCCAACCTACATCGTTGTTCTGGATGATTCTGGCTGATTAATCAGTCAATGGCCATCCATTCTCCCAAGCTCTGCCCTTCCAACAGAAGCCCAGTTCTGCTCAAGCACTCACCAGATTCTAAACCAAAACCTCCGCCCCAGCCTCAGTTCTGGGGGGCGGGGAGCACCCTGAGAAATGCGACTCATTGGCGTAGACACATCACTGTGGCCTGTGATTGGCTAACCGTGGGAAAGGGTTTTCTTGCTTTGGAAAAGGTAACACGGGAAAAAATGCCTCCCTGTTCTGGCGCTAAAATTTATTGTCTAATTATGACACGTGGACCATGTGGCAGACACTTTGGGGCCACGAGGGGAGGCCACATGGGAACCAAACAATTCGTAGAGGGTGGCAAAGCAGAGCTAGGGTACCTGGGGCCAGACAGCCCTCTCGGAGCTGTGGATCATGTCCTTCTGGGATCTTCCCCCAAATCCGGTGCTGTGCCATATACAAACATGACGTCATTTCTGTCAGTGCCTCTCAGGAAGTTGTCACTTGAAGCCAAAATCTTTTCCTTATTGATATCAATACACAAATACCCGAATGCTGATTTCTCAAGACTGGTCTTTTCTTCATTCCTCCCAGGGCTGCCACTCGTGTTCTTGGCCCCTCACCTGTCTCCTGCCTTGCCCACCCCTGAGCTCCTGTCCTGGGTGTCCTGTGACTTCCCTATACCTTCTCCCGGGTGTGCCTTTAGCCCCTCACACCACCTAACCTCAATGTCTCCCTTCACACCTCAGTCTGCAGTGGCCACCCCTTGGGCCTTTTCCTGGCTGGGCCTCCCAAGTCTGTAAGACCAGTGGTTCATGAACACAAGGACCTCCTTCCATCCCTTGGCCCTGCCCGCCTCACCCCTGCCCCCTTCAGCTTTGTGTCCATTCCAGCGTTTCCCTTTCACCGGCCTCAGTGTCCCCTCTGGCCGACCTCTATAAACTCTACACAGCAGCCCAAATCCAGCCTTGGTCTTCTGCTGTTCAACAGCCTACCTACTCTGGCTCTCTAGTGCCCTCAAGAGAGAGACCAAATATGCAAATTTGGTCATTTAGGGCCTCCCTGGTGGCACAGTGGTTAAACACAGTGCTATCAAGCTATCATCAGCCTCTATGGCACGAGTTCGATCCCTGGCCAGGGAACAACCCACGTGGCGCAGCAGACCTCTCCTGTCTCGCCCGCTGCTCCCCTCAGCAGTGTATTCCAGTTGATTTGTATGTTCTGCTTCCCACCCTGTCTCTGGTGAATCCTCTCACTCGCCCCCCCATACCTCTGGCTTACACCCCAGTTCTTGTATGCATAAATAAATAAATCTTTAAAAAAAATTTGGTCATTTTAGGCCACTCAGGATGGGCCCATGCCCATAGTTCCACCCTCCTTCCCCCATTCACTCCATACTTGTCAGTTAACTGCCTGCCCCACACTGATGTCTGACATGCTTTCCTGCCTCCAGGCCTTTGCACACCCAATTCCTTCTGCTCACAATGCCTCCTGTCCTTGCTATTTGTCCATCAAGGCCTGGCTTACATGTCCCATCCCTTCTGTCACCTCCAATGGCTCAGTGGACGGGCTTTTAGCAGTAAAAAGCCCATCAGTATTACTGATGAACCATCTTGGGAGAGGGAAAACTTGGCAGGACGAACAGAAAGTCAATCACCTCCTAGCTCTGTGTCAAAGCGAGGGATCTCCCCCTACCTGTGCTTCAGTTTCCTCGCCTGTGGAGAAAGTGGATGTTGGTACTATCATTTGTAAATACTCAGAACAGGGCCTGGCCATAGAGTAACATGGCAGGCTTGAGAAATCATTTTTTAAATAGTCCAAAAGTTTATTTTTGTTTTATTCAGTTCATCTGTTTTCTCTGACATAGGCGTGAAGTAATACGGTGCTTTTCGTTCTGTCAAGCTTATTTCACTAAACCTCATGCTTGCTAGGTCCATCTGTGTTGTAGCCAATGACAGGATTTTGTCTTTTTATAGCTTAATAGGATTCCACGGTGGCTGCACACCACCTCTTCTTTACCCATTCATCAACCGATGAACTGTTAAGTCGTTCCCAGCTCTGGGCTATTGTAATCAGTGCTTCAATAAACATGAGGATGTATATATTTCTTCAAATTAGTGTTTCTGTGTTTTTCAGGTAAATACCCAGAGAAATCTTTTGAAGTAGGTAGGATTATTATCGCCATCTTACAGATGTGAATCTGAGGATCACAGAGATGAAGTGACTTCTGAGGACACGGGCAGGACGTGGCTGAATCAGGATTTGAGTCCCAGCAGGCTGGACCCAGAGTCCAGTGTATCTCATGCAATTGGCTCACGGAAAACGGACACAGCTGTCAGAGTGGTGTTGCAGCTGAGAGCAGCACCTTCTGAGCTGTGCAGAGCCAAGGAAGATCTTACCACCCAGGACTATCCAGAGCTCTCTGGACAGGTATTACTCCCCAGAAACACCTAAGAACAAAATGAGACAAATCCACCTTTATCTTAGACTTACTTCTTATTTTGGGGCCGAGTGCTATTGTTCCTTCTTCCAGGAAGCCCTCCCTGACTTTCCAGGCAGCACGTTCTCCATCACACTCCTAATCACTGTGCCTCTTCTGTTAACATTGCGCCTGGTCTGGGTTGTCACCACTGGGGACAGGTCTACACCTCACTGGACTTTGAGGCCCGAGAGCAGAGCCCCAGCCATGTTGACTGCTACTTTGTCCCACACACTACCCAGCACTGGGGCTGGCACAAAGAAGTTTGGGATGAGTGGATACGTTCTTTCCACAGGACAGACAAGGAGATCAGGGCTCCAAGAGGCCAATCACTTGCCAAGGTGTGGTGACTGATCCAATGCTCAAAAGGAGGCCTGAGCAGAGAGCCTGGCCGGCGTTGAGAGGCTGAGCGAGAGAGGCGGATCGGGGAGTAACGGGACGAGAAACGAGATGGTGAGAAAGCCAGAGAGCCATAGAGTGGGGGAGATGAGAGGGCAACTTGGTGCCCAGTGGAGCCTGGACACATAAAACAAAGGCCGGCCGGGCGGCAGCAGTGGCTCCCAACCTCCAGCACGCACCCCTGCATGCTCGAGGATTCCAGCTCCAGTCCTGGGGTCCCTCTGCACAGGCCAGGTGCACCCAGCCTCGCAGCACCTGCCCCGGCTACCTGGGGATGGAGGCGTAGTCGGTGTGGGAGCTGGCCGTGAGCTGCTGGTGCGGCTCTGGCTGGGGGCCCAGAATGTCTGCCCGATCCTCGTCCTCGCGGGAGCTGGCAGGGCACGGGTGGGGCAGCAGGATGAGCTCGGTGAGGCCGTGAAGGTCGGACATATGGCGGAAAGTCTGCAGCACCAGCACCATGGCGACCAGGCCCAGGAAGAGGTAGACTGCGGAGAGGACAGAGGGGTGCGGGCTCAGGCCCTGGGTCTACTGGGCCCCCAGCTCGGGGCTATCGGGTGCCCTTCACATCCCCGCTGGGAGGGGACCAGGTTCCCCTCGGGCCCTCCACTGCCCAGCCAGCCACTGCACTCACCTGTGACCAGCACCTTGTAGAGGGCCCGGTAGGCCTGGCCGGGGGCCTCCCCCGGCACATAGTCCCCTAGGCCGATGGTGGACAGGGAGATGAAGCAGAAGTAGAAGGCGTCCAGGTAGCTCCAGGCCTCCTCAAGGTAGGCAAAGATGGCAGCCGGCACCACGAAGCAGACGGTCCCAATGACCACCAACAGGACCACCAGGTGCCAGCGGGCCGCCCGCCGGGGGTCCCAGCCCCAGCGCTTGCTCAGCCAGGACAGGGGCGCGTGGGTCAGCAGCAGCGACAGGCGCTGGGCCGAGGCGGTCAGCAGCAGCATGGTGACGGGCACGCCCAGGAGCGCGAAGGCGATGGAAAAGGCCTTGCCGGAGTCCGTCAGCGGCGTCGTGTACCCATAGCCTGCGGGAGGAAGGGGGACATCTGCACCCCTGCTCCAGGGCCTGCAGTCACCCTAAGCTTAGAGGTCATTTCTCCCTCAAACCTGCCCACCCGCATTCTCTTCTCAGGCGATGGCGCCTCCACCCTCCGCCCCCTCCGCCAAGGGCCTCCGCATCATCCTTGACCCCCTCCTCATACCCACGTCCATCTGCCAGCGAACCCTGTTGTCTCCGCCTTCAAACAGGTCCCCACCCCCACCCACCCACTTCACCCGCCCCACCCTCCGCACCCCAACAGCCTGACCCTGGTCCTGTCTACCCTGGCAGCCTCCTCCCTGGGCTCCCTTCTGCCCCCACCCTCGTCTCCAGCCTGTTCATTAGACTCAGCCCATGGGACACCTGAGTCAGGCCTGCCCCGCACCTGCTCAACCCTGCCGGGACTCCATCACCCTCAGAGAAAAAGACAGAGTCTTCATCGTGACCGACAAGGTAGCATGTTCCCACCCCAGGGCCTTTGCACTGGCTGTTCTTTCCCCATAGGATGCTTGCCCCACAGGTGCCACACAGCTCCCATCTCCCCCCATCAGGTCTCCCCTCAAATGTCACCTTCTCAGTGAGGGCTTCCCTGGCCACCTTATTTTAAATGGTTGTACCCTCTTACTCAACTGTTTTTGTTTTTATTGCAGTTAACATTTTCTAGCACATACTCTGGTTGACTTATTTGCTTGCTGTATGTCTCACCACCAGAATACCAGTTCTTCATGGGCAGAGTGGGCACACTAATGAATGAGGGGTACAGGCTCTAGCTGGGCATAAAGCCTCAGTTTTCTCTACTCTAAAATGGGAGTGCCAAGCCCCACTGGGTTCCCAGAAGACTGAGGGAACACACTAGAGTCAAAGTGGGTGTGAATTCCGCAAGCAGAAATATGATAAAGGGGAATTCAAGCATTGGTGAGACTGGCTCACTCTGGCAATGTGTCACTTAAATTTTTTTTTTAATCTCCCAGATGAATCAACCAAAGTCTCAGAGATATGACCGGGGTAGGAAAGGGCCTGGCTTATGTTAACAGTAAAAATGTCTTGCCCAAGAGATTGCAGATATGGCCCTGGAATCAGTCATAAAGTGTGGCGGCATTACACACACGACGGACACTCACCTGTGTCTGCCTGCTATACAAAAGGATCGCCTGATTTGAAAGCAGAGACTTGAAAAGATACTTGTATACCCATGTCCACAGCACCATTACTCACAATAGCCAACAAGCAATCTAAGGGACCCCCGATGGATGAGTAGAATGTGGTGTATAGAGAGATGTGTGTGTGTGAAGTAATATACATGCAATGGAATATTATGCAGCCTTGCAAAGGACATTATGACATGTGTTAACATCTATAGATAGATGTGTATGTAAAGTAATATACATGCAATGAAATATTACGCAGCCTTGCAAAGGACATTATGACATGTTAACATCTATAGATAGGTGTGTGTAAAGTAATATACATGCAATGGAATATTACGCAGCCTTGCAAAGGACATTATGCCATGCATTAACATGAATGAACCTCATGGATATTATGCTAAGTTAAATTAGCAAGTCACAAAAAATTAAACACCCATAATTTCACTTACATGATAGTAGTCAATATGGGGACAGAAAGTGGAATAGTGATTGCCAGGGGCTGAGGAGAGGAGGATGGGGAGTTGTTTAAAGAGGACAGAGTTTCAGATGGGGACGATGAAGAGAGTTCTGGAAATGAGTGGTGGTAATGGCTGCACAAGACCAGGAACGCACTTAATGCCAGTAAGTATATTTAAAGATGGTTAAGAGAGTTCATCTTATGTTATACTTAATTTACCACAGTAAAAGAAAATTGGGGGGGAAGGGTCCTTTAGTTTTTGTTAGACCTGTGATCACCTGGAATAAAGACATTCCCTCCTCCTGATAGCTAGGTGTGACTCATGACTAATTTCTGGTCAATAAGCAGCAAATGACTTTCAGGAAGTGTTCTTAAAGAGAGGGGGCTGCTGGGCCTCCCTAGTGGCACAAGGAGTTAAGACACAACCTATAAAGCTGTCTGCAGCCTCTGCAGCACGAGTTCGATCCTCAGCCGGCCAGGGAGCAACCCACATGGCGCAGCAGACCTCTACTGTCTCGTCCGCTGCTCCCCTCAGCAGTGTATTTCAGTCAGTCTGCCTGTTCTGCTCCCCACCCTGTCTCTGGTGAATCCTCTCACTCCCCGGCATCTCTGGCCTGTACCCCAGCTCTTGTATGCATAAATAAATAAATCTTCAAAAAAGGTGAGGGGCTGCTGATCTCCATTTTTTCCTCCTTCCTCCTGCTGGCTGGAACTCAGATGCAAAGGCTGGAGCTGAGCAGCCACCTTGGACCATGAGGTAACCTTGGGAATGGAAAGTGTACACAGGGCATTATGACGGTCTCTGACCATGAAGCGCCATTCCAGTCTTGGACTGACTACCTTGAATATGAACATGAAAGAAATTTCCCACTTATATAAGCAATTAAGGTTTATCACTTTTGAGAGGTTTCTCACTCTCATTCATACCAGGATTTGATGGAGAAACTCCAGCAGCCTGGTTGCAATGCCAGGTTTCCAAAGCACATGAAATCCTTATAAACAGAAAAAGCATAGTTAGACTAGAATGGGGGCCTCAAGCCTCAACTTACTACCTCAAAGAACCAACTGTCTCAAAATACTCTGCTGTTGATTCACTGCATGACCGCGACCAAGTGACTCTCTGAGCCTGTCCCTTCAGAGACCTGCAAAATGGGCTCAGAAACAGCCCCTTTCTCGAGTGCCACACCAATAACCCCACCAGTTGGGACAGAGTGGAGCACCAAGCAAGGGCATGGGAGGAGTCACCGTGACGGAGATGCCCACTTCCTCTCTAATTCCAAGTTCCGGCCTCAGTTGCAGCAAGGCACTTCACACCAACAAAGCCTTCCTCTTTGACCAAACTTGAGTCAGGCTCCTCTGAGCCTTATTCTCAACTAGACCTAGTTCTAGCAGGAATCCTGTCAGTTTAGGGAGAAGCCCCCTGCTTTTGATATCTTTCCAAACTCCTCACCCCCACCCTTGATTGCTAAGTCCTTGCATGTCAGTCCTTGGCGTGTCTCCTACCTTGACCTCCTCACTGGGCTCTTGGCTCTAAGTATCCACTTTGCTCTATCCGGAGTGGAGCTCAGGGCTCTCCCCTCTGTCATAACTTGCCATTTTTAATAAATGTCTGAATAATTTTCCTTCATCAATACACACGCATTGCCCTCTCCATGCAAGACAGAGAGGCATGTGGGTTAAGAGCATGGGACTCTGGGCCTCCCTGGTGATGCAAAGGGTTAAGACACAATCTGTGAAGCTGTCCACAGCCTCTGCAGCACAAGATCAATCCCCAGCCAGGAAGCAACCCACATGGTGCAGCAGACCTCTCCTATCTCGCCCGCTGCTCCCCTCAGCAGTGTATTTCAGTCGACCCGCCTGTTCTGCTCCCCACTCTGTCTCTGGTGAATCCTCTCATGCCCCCACACCTCTGGCCTGTACCCCAGTTCTTGTATGCATTAATAAATAAATCTTAAAAACAAAACAAAAAAAGAGCATGGGACTCTGAGGCCTGATGGCCTTATTTCAAATCTCTAGCACAAGGAGAAAGGCAAGGGACAAGGGATTGTGGGAGAGGGAAACATATTCTGTGAGCAGCAATGTAATATGCCAACCCAATGCATCTAACCTTTCAGATTTAGTTTAACATAAAAAAGGCCTTCCTCGTGACATAGGGCTTAAGTCTCAACGCTACCACCAATTAGGCCTGAGTTCGATCTCCAGCCAGGGAGCTACCCACATGGCGCAGCAGACCTCTCCTGTCTCACCCGCTGTTCCCCTCAGCAGTGGATTTCTGTAAAATCTGCCTTATCTGTTTTCCATTCTGTCTCTGGTAAATCCTTTCACGCCCCCCTCACACACCTCTGGCCCAGGCCCCAGTTCTGCTATGCAAAAATATACAAACAAAATCCTTAAAAAAAAGAAAAAGGAAAGGTAAAAAAGAAAACAACAGCTCTCCACCCCATTCCCCTTCTAGCTGTGTGGCCTTGGACAAGTTGTCCAACCTCTATGGGCACCTTTTCTTAGATTGTCAAAACAGCGCTGCTAATGGCTCCTTTCTCGCATGGCTGTTGTGCTGAATCTGAGGTGAGCCCGGTGTGCTCAGCCCTCCGCGAGGCACAGTGTTACTGTGAACTGGGTGTGTTATTATCCCATTTTATAGATGAAGGCGGACGCTGAGGCCTAGAGATGAGCAGCAGTGCGGCAGGGATCTGGACCTAGGCCGTGTCTGCTTGGGGCCTGGCGTTCTTATCTGTCCCTCCTGGGACACTTCTCAGAAGCCAGGACCTGCGAGGAGGCAGAGGGAGACACTGGCATGGCCCAGGGAAGCCCAGAAGCAGGCCGGGGAGCCCAGCACGGCAAGGAAGGGCCAGCGCGGGAAGGTGGTGGAATCCAGCAGCCTGTGAGAAGCCTCCAGCTGCTGCTTGTGGCCTGTGTTTGCCCATCCACAGGGGGAGGCACCAAAGGTGCTGCCAAGGCAGCCTACTGCTGGCAGGAAGGGAGAGCTAGGAGTTTAGGGGAGCCTGCCCAGCTCCCCTCCCCCAGCAATGAGACAGCTGGGGGGCTGCAGAGACTGTCTCCAGGCAGAGGGGCTGGGCGGGGTGGGGTGGGGGTATTGGTCCCACCTGAGCAGAGGTCCAGAGAAGGGGACCTGGGAGTCAGAATCTTAACTCAGGGGCCAGTGTCTTGGCTTGAAAGGGATCCTGGGTCCAGAGGAGGGAGGGGACAGGCCCCAGTGGGGGTGTTTTCTGGGAGGGGTGTCCCTATTAGGAGGAAAGTCCTGAATTGAGGGCTCCCCAGTATGAGAGATGTTAAGATGATGTGGGGTATGTGGAGATAGGCCCTGGGTCCTGAGTCAGGGTCCCTGCCCGGGAATTTGGGGCCCAGAAAGGAGTGGTCTTGCTCAGGCAGAGGGGGCTGCTGAGCCCAAAGAGGCCTGAGGAGCAGACAGGGCTCAGGGGGCCAAGGGAGGGGGCGGTGCCCTGGGTCATCACTGAGAAGGTCTAGGTGGAAAGCAAGGGTGCTCTTGAGTGGCTGCTGAGGAGGTGCTGAGGTGCAGAGGTCCGGAAACCCTGAGGGAGGGGAGGATTTCAGGTCCAGAGCAGGCTGGGGCAGTGCAGAGCGGGGGTCCCAGCTAAGGGTCTGGTAGAGACTGGAGGGGTTCGCAGTGCCCAGGAGATTCTCTTTCTTGGGAATACCAGGGTGCGCAGGGGCTCTCTGGGCAGCGGGAGCACCACAGAGCTGAGTGGGGTGGCTTCCTGTGGGGGGTGGGGAGACCCTGCTCTCCGAGAGTGCGCAGAGGGCACCCAAGTCCCCGCCAGGCAGTGGGGTGACTCAGAATTTCACCCTCCTGAGGGTGTCAGTGTCAGAGTCTCAGCCAGGGTTTCTCAGGATCAAAGCGGCCCTAAGGGGGGTTCCCTGGTTGAAAAGCCCCAGGGATTCTTATGGAGGTGAGGGTTTGGGGAGTGGAGGGGGCAGTCCCAGTAGGGGACTTCTGGTTGGAAAGTCGGGGGAGGGAGCGCTTCCTCCTTCCACGGCAGAAGTCCTCATACACACTCACAGTCGGGGGCTGCTGAATTGGGAAGCCCAGGTCAGGTCCAGGGGGAATAGGGGTGTCCCTATTAGGAGGAAAGCCCTGAATTGAGGGTTCCCCAGTATGAGAGATGTTAAGATGGTGTGGGGTATGTGGAGATGGGCCCTGGGTCCTGAGTCAGGGTCCCTGCCTGGGAGTTTGGGGCCCAGAAAGGAGTGGTCTTGGTCTGGAGAAGGGCAGTCACCCCCCCCCCCAAGAGATCTAGGCCCAGAGGGGCTGACGTCTCAGGTGGGGGCTAAGCCCTCCTGCGGGCGCACCTTCTGTACTGTCAGTGTGGGCTCAGCGATGTGCCCGGAGGGGACCTGGAGATGCAGGGGTGGCGCTCATGTCACCCAGGGTCAGGAGGAGGTTGGGGCACAAGTGTCCCAGAAGGACATACCTGGAGTCAGGAGGCACTGTGGGAAGGGATGGCCGCCGCAGCCCAGCGAGGACAGGTGCTTGCCTGACCGGGGCTCAAGCCCAGAGGATCCAGGTCCTCCTAGCTGGAGGCCTGAGGGTGGTCCTAGGCCCAGCGGAGGCTGGAAGGACCTGGGTCTCCAAGAGGGCTAAGGCAGAGATATGGGTCCCGGATGCTCAGAGGAGCCCGGGTCTGGGCCAGAGCTGGGGTACCACCTCCTGGGAGGAGAGGCTGGGGTGGAGACTTCAGAGGGGTGGCAGACACCACGCGTAAGGGATCCAGTCGTCCCTGGGGGATGTGGAGGGCACCCCAGGCCTGTAAAGGAGGGGGAGCGATGCCCTGAGTTAGGGGTATCTCGGGAGGGCTCGCGGATGCCCAGGCGGCCGGGACGGCGCTCACGTACCCACGGTGGTGACCAGCGTGCTGGCGAAGAAGAGGGCCGAGGCAAAGTCCCAGGTCGGGTCCGAAGAGTTGCTGAGCGCGGCGCGCCCCAGCCGTCCGGCCGCCAGCATCTGCTCCACGAAGTGGTCCAGGGCCGCGGGGGGCACGCACGGGCTGCTCTGCAGCAGCTGCTCCCGCAGTTTCTCCAGCTCGGCTCGAAGTCGAGCTTCTTGGGGCGCCTCCAGCCGCGCCACCAGCAGCGCGCCCAGCACCAGGTACGCGGCGTACCCGGCCAGGGCGCCCGCCAGGAGCGCGCCCCGCCGCATGGCGCCCGCCGCCACCCGCTCCCCGACAGCCCCCGGCCGCCCGGTGACGTGGCCCCCGCCTCTCGCCGGCCCGGAGCCGAGTTTCAGTTCCGGGAGCGCTCGAGCCGCGGCCGCGAGCGCCCCAAAGAGAAAGAGGAGGGGCGGAGGTGAAGAGCGCCCCGCCTCCGGGAAACTGAGGCACGCCCAGACGCCAGGTGCTAGCTCCGCGAGGGTGGAGCCCCGCGTTCCGGACCCTGGAGGCCAACCGGATGCAGAGTGGGGTCTCCTTCCCAGGAGGCGCGACTCCCCCTGTTAGAACCCGAATTTCCCCAGGCGCGCCTAGGAGGCCTCGCTTCCCAGGCCCTCGGGGCCCCGGCAGACGGCTGCGAAGACTGTGCGCCCCTCCAGGACGCGAGGCCGTGGGGCGACGTGAAATCCAGTCCCTGCTCCGGTGGCCAAGTCGTGTGCTCTAGAGTGGGCTTGCGCCACCCCGGGGAGACTGCTGTCTAGTTCACCAGGGACCCCCGACGGACCCGCTGTCCCTGTGCCCGCAGGGACGGAGTGGGGGTCCTTAATGATTCACCACACCTTTGCTCAGCACCCACTTCGTGCCTGGCCTTTCGCTGGGAAATGCAGGGGTATGTAGCAGTGACCTGGACAGTCCTGGGCCCTGCTCTGGAAGTGGGGGGGCTTCAACAGGGTGGCAATCCAGAGAATCAGGGGCTGTGGGGGCAGGCGCAGGCCGAGCAGGCAGGGTGGGCATGGAGAAAGCCTAAGGACTACGGAAACCAAAGGGAGAAGCTGATGCAGTTTAGGGTGTCTCAGAGCTTCCGGTGCAAGGGGCTATCTGGAGGGAGACATCATGGGAGTGAGGGGGGCCCCTTTTCTGGCAGAACCACAGATATACGCCTCTGCTTAAGAGGGACTTTTCCTTCCCTGTCCCCGCCACGTCCACCTCCAGTTATAACTTGGCTCCCTCCCTGACCACATCTGACAAGCAGGGAAGTGGGGTTTGGGGCCCAGCTCTGAGCACCCAGCTGGTTCTGTTTATAAAACTGCCTCAGTTCTTGGATGAGTGCCCAACTGGGGGGCTGACAACCCACAGGAAGAGCCACTTGATAATAGAAACAGTGACAGAGGCCGTCAGCGAGCAAAGGCTTCCAGGAGCGGAGCCCCTGTGGTTAGAGCTCTGCTGGGTCCTCCACGCCTCCTGTATCATTCCTTAAACAGATAAGCCAACTGAGGCTTAAAAATAGTCACACAACTAATCAGGGGTAAACATGAAGCCACTAGGAAAGCAAAAATATTTGCTTTATTAATCACACACACACACACACACCCCTCACACTCTCAGAGATGACTTTACAAGAGAGAGGGAGGGCTACAATGAGAAATGGTGGTGGGACCCAAGAGACAAACACTAAGCCAGAGGTGCAGAGGAGGAATAGGGGCACCTCATTCACAGAAAAGGGCTTGCAACTGAGTCAAAACTCTTAACTCAGAGACGAGAACAGTCCTCAAAGTCCCCAGAAAAAAAAAAAAAACAACAAACAATATATCAGAGGAAAGGGGAAGTCACAATAACAAGGTTACTTGCTGACATCCTTCCGGAGTGCTATCACTGCCCAGAATTCACTCTACCATTATCTTTGGCTGCGGTAAGTGGCAGAAACTGAAGGACAGAAAGGGGTGGTCGGGTCTCCCTGGTGGCGCAGGGATTAAGACGCGACCTATGAAGCAGTCTGCGGCCATTTCAGCGCATGTTCGATTCCTGGCCGGCCAGGGAGAAACCCACATGGCGGGACAGACCTCTCCTGTCTTGCCCGCTGCTCCCCTCAGCAGTGTACTTCGGTTCGTCTGCCTGTTCTGTTCCCCACTCTGTCTCTGGTGAATCCTCTCACCCACGCATATCTGGCCTGTACCCCAATTCTTGTATAAAATAAATCTTTTAAAAAAAAGGGGTGGTCGAGGGGGGGGAGAAAGAGGGAGACTGCAGGACAGAGAGGAGGCTAAGGAAGCTTAATTTCCAGGGCTCCTGGCTTGTAGGCGTGCTTGTGAGTGCAAGGGGGTTGTGAGTGTTTTGGACCGACAGGAGAAATCAGGTGACATAACAAGAGCACTTTTAAAACTTTCTGCAAAATCATCTAAAGATATCGTCCAACCTCCCTGGTGGCGCAAAGGGTTGAGCACAGCACTGTGAAGCTAGCCCTAACTTCTGCAGCACGAGTTCTATCCCCACAGACCTGGGAGTTCGATCCCCGGCCAGGGAGCTACCCACATGGTGCAGCAGACCTCTCCTGTCTCCCTGCTGCTCCCCTCAGCAGTGTATTTCAGTAGATCTGCCTGTTCTGCTCCCCACTCTGTCTCTGGTGAATCCTCTCACCCCCTGCATCTCTAGCCTGTATCCCAGCTCTTGTATGCATAAATAAATATTAAAAAAAAATTAACGTCTGCAAGAACTGTGTGAACATTAGAATCCGCATAACTGCAGCCCGTCCGAAGAGCCTCTCCCTAGCTCCCCAGCGCCCTCACCACCAAAACTGAGCCCGCGTCTGCAGAGAACTACATTTCCCATCGGCCTCCGCGCTCCAAACCTACATTTCCCATCATGCACGACACCGCTGACTCCGTGGCTAGCCCCGGGCTCCGCCCTCCCCCTCCTCCGCTCCTCCCCCCGGCCCCCGCCCCGTCCCGACTCCCTCGGTGCGTCACGGACCCCCGGTCCCCGCCTCTTACCCGCCGCCAACTCGTCCTCTGCCCCGCGAGCGGGCGTGGCTTCCGCGCCACCGCGACCCCATTGGCCGCCGCCTCGCCGGCGGGGCGCGCCTACGGGAGCCGGGCGGGCACATTTCGAACCGCGGCCGGGGCGGCGGCGGCAGCGGCGCGGGCGGAGGATGCATTCGGCCGGCGTGGGGGCGGCGGGGACGCCCCGGCAGCGTAAGTGGCGTACGTGGCCGGCCCTGGCGATCGGGCGGGCGGCGGGGGCGCCGCGGCGGTTGGCGAGGTCGCTGCGGGTCGGAGGTCAGGGGTCAGGCATCCGGTGAGGCTCGAGGTAGGCACGGCCGGGATGCCCGCCGGGGCCGGGGCCGGGGCCGGGGCCGGGGCCGTTCCTTCGTTCCTTCAGGGAATTCCCTTGGAGGAAGACAGCTGTGGGCAGGGGTGACGTGATGCGCGGAAGGCGCGGCTCTCGTTCATCTCCAGCCTGCGGCCCGCCGGCCCCCGCCCTCCCGTGGCCCCCGGCGGCCGCCGCGTCCCGCACCCGGACCTGGGGGCGCCGGGGGCTGCGCGGCCCGATCTGGACCTGTGTTTACTGCGCGGCTAAGCCCCTTCTGGTCGCGGTGACGTTGCCTCTCAGTCCCTCTTGCTCGCTGAGCCTGCACGCATCCCATTGCCGCACGCGGCGTCTCGCCCCCAGCTCCCCTGTGCCAAGCCCTGTGCTGGATGCGGGTACCGGGCCGCAGCCGGCTTAGCCCTGGTCCTGGTTAACTGACAGCTCAGCGCTTAGTGAGAAGAGACACACTAAACTAGGAAGCGGCCAAGGCAGCAGGTAATTTGGGGAGTAATCAGGATTGGAAAGGGAATAATCGAGGATGTGGCTGGGGTGGAAGAGCCTCTCTGTCCAGGGAAGACGATGGGCTGGTTCCTCCTGTCCCTCTCAGTCAGGTGGCTGGCCGGCTCCCCGGGGAACGGTGCTGGGGATACAGCGGTATCCACACAGCCCTGGCTCCTGTTCTCATGCACCTACCGGTACCAGGCAGAAGGGTTATATGAGGGAAGCAGGGGCGGGGGTTAGGGTCAGAATCGGGGGAAGCACAAGCAGAGGGGTTCTGGCTGTGAGGGACGTGTGTGTTAACCCAGGTTGGGCAGATGACCCAGTCTGGGGGGGTCAGTGAAGCTCCTTGGAAGAGGTACGTCTGATGAGGAGGAATTAGCCCAGCGAAGGGGGTTTGTGAGAGGGAAAAGCATTAGAGGTGTGCGCCACGAAAACAGTAGACAAGTGAATATACGTTATATACTTAGAGATTATGCTGATAAGTGCTCAGAAGGGAAAATCGAGCCACTGGATAGGATGAGCAAGAACACCAGCGTGGAGCTGGTGGCTAATGCGGAGGAATGAAGTTCTCGGGAAGGAAACATCTGCGCTCAGGGCCCTGCGCTGTATGGCAGGCACCCATCTGCGCGGGAGGCGTTCCAGGATGATAGCACGGGTGTGCAGAAGCCCATGCAGGCGAGGCGCCTGGCAGGATCAGGGTCTGAGAGGAGGCCCCTGAGGCTGGAGTATAGTAACAGACCGGGGTGGTTGGCCCTGCTGGGTCATGCAGAGGCAAGAGCATTGGAGTATTATTCTCAGCACAGTGGACACTGATCTCAGGCAGAGGACATGAAACGTTCTCTTTTGCATTTTAAAGATCACCCTGGATGTCAACTGGAGAGAAGGTTTGATAGGGCAGAGAGTGAAAGGGGGACCTGGTGATGGGACGTTTAAGCGAGGGTAACACGGAGACATGGGGAGGAACTAGCCAGACAGGGAATCAGGGGTACAGAGGATGGGCCCAGGGGCAGCCAGAGTGGCCAGGACAGCGCAGCGCCCAAGGCACACCGTGGCTGCAAGAGCTGTGGGCGGGCGAGATCGCCCTAGATGGGAGGAGATGAGGCCAAGGGTGGAAAATTGGGTCACACGTTTCGGGGAGGTTGGAAATAAATCACTGATTGAGGAGGACAGATCAGGAAACAGCAGCTCTGCGAAGGCGGGAGTTTTTGTCTTTTTGGCCGCGCGTCCACCACGCAGAGCCTCGCACACAGAGATGGCAGGAGGGAGAAAGAGCAGGTTCAGTGCCCAGAAGCCAAGAAAGCAGAGTCGGAAGTCGCGCTGGGGACAGTGGCATCAAATGCTGCCGAGGCCGGCGTCCGATGAGAGTGAAGAATGGCCTCGCAGGTAAAGCAGAGAGGCACTGTGGAGGCCCTGGGGCGGAACCCCAAGTGCCAAGGCCTGAGGGGTGACAGGGCGGAGGGAAGGCTCGCACCAAAGCTTTCAGGAGGCCGGCCCACGTGGACAGAAGTGGGAAGGGGAAGTGGGGCTTGGCGGCGGGCCCAGGGCCAGGGCCACTTTCTTTGGGATTGAGGTGGCCTGCGTGTCTTCAGGCCACGGGTCAGGGAGAGAAGTTGAGGGGCTAGCATTGCTAATGGGTGACAGGCAGGGGCAGGGGGCGTCACACTGCCTCAGGTCATTAACTCCCTGTCAACAAAGGAGAAAACTGAGGTGCAGACAGTCCTGAGGCAGACTGATCCCTCTCCCCCACCCTGCGTAATCTGCGCCCCGTTCCCGCGCCACAGTGGCCCGGCACAGGTGGAGCTCAGGAAACACTTGTGGCAGGAGCTGGCTTACTGGTCAGCAGCAGGGGCCTGGAGCTAGATGCCAGCTCCGATCTCCCCGTGTTCCCCGCAGCTGCTCCGCCTGCCCCACTTCCTTCTTGGCCTTCCTGGTCCCCCACCGCTCCGTGACCTGCCCCCAGTCTGTCCCCGCTGGAAGCCGGGGGCCGCCTTGGAAAACTTGAAGCCTGGCTCTGCCTCGTACTCTGTGTGACTTAGGGCAAAGGCCTGAGTGTCTTTGGGGCTCACTTTCCCTTCCGAAAAGTAAAGATGGTAAAGCCTCAGCGAAAGGGGTTGTGTGAGGGAGACATGAACCCACAGCGTGGAGATGGGAGACATGAACCCACAGCGTGGCGTGGAGTCAGTGCTCAGCTGGGGGTTAATCTTTGTAACTGTCAGGCTGGCCTGGGCCGGACTCCGACTCTGCCCTTCAGGCGGTGTGGCCCCTCGCACAGGGCATCGAGCCTTCCTGGGCCTCGGGCTCCGCGTCTGCACCGTGGGGTGGCATGTGTATTTATCCTTCAGCTTTTTATCAAGCACCTGTTCTACCCTGTGCTAGAGGCTGGGGATTCAGCTGTGAACAAGGCAAAGATCCCCATCTCGGGGGGCCGGGGGGATCGCATCTGAGGAAGAAACAAATAGAGGAGACCTTGTCTAGCACAGGACTTTGCACACAGTAGGTCCCAGTACCTAAGAGCCTCATCGTCAGCCTTACTTACTGCATCGCCATCGTTACTTACATCGTTACATGCGCGTGGCAGAGCCCACGCGCGATCGCCCCTCTGGCAGCCAAGCAGTGGTCTCCGGCAAGAACACCTGCTCTCTGCAGAACCAGTGACTCCCTACCCCTCTTCCCCTGCAGCCTCGAAACGGAGGGTCCCCGTGTCCCAGCCAGGCATGGCTGACCCGCACCAGCTTTTTGATGACACAAGTTCAGCCCAGGGCCGGGGCTACGGGGCCCAGCGGCCACCCAGCGGCCTGGGCTACCCTGCGGCCTCCACCGCGCCCCAGGCGGCCTTCCTGGCCGACCCCATGTCCAACATGGCCATGGCCTATGGGAGCAGCCTGGCTGCGCAGGGCAAGGAGTTGGTGGACAAGAATGTGAGTGGCTGGGCTGGGCTGGGATGGGGGGGCCTTGGGGGGGACCAGGGCTTCAGGCTCACTCTGCCTCCCCAGATCGACCGCTTCATCCCCGTCACCAAGCTCAAGTACTACTTCGCGGTGGACACCATGTACGTGGGCAGAAAGCTGGGCCTGCTCTTCTTCCCCTACCTGCACCAGGTCAGCACTGGCCCTGCTGGGGGGATGCGGCCCAAGGGGGAGCTAGCCTCAGGGTGGGGGGCAGGGGAGGATGTGCCCCAGGAGAGGGTCTATATGCAGGCCGGGAGGAACCCAGCTCTGGGGGTCCTGCCTGTGCCCCCCCACTATCCCCACAGGACTGGGAGGTGCAGTACCAGCAGGACACGCCCGTGGCCCCCCGCTTTGACGTCAACGCTCCTGACCTCTACATTCCAGGTTTCACCCCACCCACCACTGGCACCCTCCTCTCTCGGGGTGGGCCTGTCTAGGGCAGAAGCTGAGGTGCTGGAGGCCCAGGATGGCTCCTCTTTCTGACCTGTGTCTGTGTCTGCCCCCCACAGCTATGGCTTTCATCACTTACATCTTGGTGGCTGGCCTTGCGCTGGGGACCCAGGATAGGTAAGAGGGGCCTGGCATAGGCAGAGTGGGGTGGGATTGGGGGGCTGAGGGACACTCGGGGAAGTCTCTGTTTCCCCCTTTCAGAATGGCCCTGGCGTGCTCACAGCTGACCCAAGTCAGGGCCCTCCAGCTCCCCCTTGCCTCGTGCCTCTTTGCAAAGCCCATCGCCACGCTCTGCGCTGGAGATTCTAGATTCCTTCCTCCCTCTGGGCCTCCACCCCCAGCTCATCCTCACTTTGCCCTCCCCTGTCTGGCTGCCCCAGCACCACAGACCCCCTGCACCCCAGCAGCAGCAGGAAGGTCTTGTCTGAGATGTGGGCCTGGCCATGTCCCACCCTCCTCCTCAGAAGTTGTCCATCATGCCCCTGTCCCCGAACCAAACCGCAGCTCCTAGATCCCTGCACTGTCCTCCAGGCATCCCCTCTGCCCCTTCTCATGCTGCTGCACTCTGGTCCTCTCTCTGTGCCTTCAGAGGGCCTGGTGCTGCAGCCCCAGGGCCTTTGCACATCCAGCCCCACTTGTTCAAGAGTATGTTCCTCTCCTGCATCACCTGCTCACTCATTATGTCTCCACTACAATGCCCTGTCCTCAGGGAAGCCTCCCCTGCACACCCCATGCCCAGGCTGGATCAAGTCTCCACCTCTTGTGGCACTGAAGACAGTTGTCATTAGACTCGACAGATGAGTTGTTGAAGCACTAGGGATCCTGCAGAAACCAAGGTCCCCAACCAGCTGCTTAGTCTCAGGCCTCAGCTCAAGTGTCCCCTCTCTGATACCCCCTTCTGACTGGGTCAGGTGCCCCTGTGGGCTCCCAGAGACCCCTATGCTTCCCCATCCCTGCCCTGACCTCTCTGGGCTGTCACATAGGATGGTTCTGCCTTCCTCCCGGAGCGGGTCTTCCATGAGGACAGGCCCACATCCCTCTTGTCATTGCCAAGTCTCCAGCCCCGCCCCAGCACAGGCTGTTCCCAGGCGGGTGCTCGGGGTCTGAGCTCCCCAACTGAATGACAGTGCTTGGGTGCCGGCAGGTTCTCCCCTGACCTCTTGGGGCTGCAGGCCAGCTCGGCATTGGCATGGCTGACCCTGGAGGTGCTGGCCATCCTGCTCAGCCTCTACCTGGTCACGGTCAACACCGACCTCACCACTATCGACCTGGTGGCCTTCTTGGGCTATAAATATGTGGGGTGAGTATCTCCCTCCTGCCCTCCCTGTCAGCCCCAGCCCTAGCCCAGGGGCCTTTTCCTCAGACTGGCCTTCCCCTCTCCCTACCAGGATGATTGGTGGGGTGCTCATGGGCCTCCTCTTCGGAAAAATCGGCTACTACCTGGTGCTGGGCTGGTGCTGCGTGGCCATCTTTGTGTTCATGGTGAGCTGGGGCTCAGGGGAGGATGGGGCTGAGGGCTCAGGCCTTGCGGGCAGAGTGGGGCTCCCTGGAGGCCTCTGGGTAGAGGATGTCAGGTGGGGAGTTTAGACCTGAGCCCCACTGCTGAACTCAGGAGCCCCAGAGTGGCTACCCCAGCCTGGGGTCAGGAGGGCTTCCTGGAAGAGGAGGTATAAAAATACCAGTTTGGGACCTGTAGGAAGAGGAGCCAGCCAGGCTGCTCAAGCGGGCTGTTACCTTCACCCCACTCCTTACATGGGCTTTCCTGCCAGAACTGGTTAGGATAAAAAAGGGTTCAGCACCCCCAGAAGCAGCTTCTCTGAGAACCCTTCCAGTCAAAGTGGAGGTACTACTTTAGGGCTCTGTGGTGTATCAGGGATAACCCCTATTTTTGCTGGTTCCCAGGCAGATTCCTTCCTCTCTGTCAGTTTCTCTTTTTGTAAAATGGGGGTGATGCTGACTGTCCCTCCGGGACCTCGGCGGGTTCAGTGGGAGCGCATGTAGGAGCAGACGCAAGCGAGTGCCAGGTGGCCGCGTCTGACCTCAGATAAACATTTCCCGCTTGTCTTCGAACTCTGGGGGGGGCGGCGGCTGGCGGGAGTTGGGGGCGGCGGGAGTTGGGGGCGGGCCTAGACGCCGTGCAGGTTCCCGCGGCGCGGGCCTCCCCGGCCTGGAGCGCTCACGCTCGCTCGCGGGCGCGGGAGGGGCGGGTCCTCACCACCAATGGGGGGGCCTGGCACGCCGAGGCCCCGCAGGCCAGGCCAGAGCCGGCGCCGCGCGGGGGGAGCGGCGGCGCCCGGGCTGCAGTGGGCCGGGCCGGACCGCGAACCCCGGCGCCCCGCCCGCCCGCGGACTCACCGGGCCCCCTCCCGCCCCAGATCCGGACGCTGCGCCTGAAGATCCTGGCCGAGGCGGCGGCCGAGGGGGTGCCGGTGCGCGGGGCGCGGAACCAGCTGCGCATGTACCTGACCATGGCCGTGGCGGCGGCGCAGCCCCTGCTCATGTACTGGCTCACCTTCCACCTGGTGCGGTGACGGCGCGGCCCGCGGGGACCCCCGCCCCAGAAACAATAAACCGTGACGGGCGCGCGGGGCCTCTCCTTGCGCGCGGCCGCGGGGGGGGGGGGGGGTGCGGGGCGGGGGCGGCCGGGACGGAGGCGGCAGGTGCAGAGGAGGCTTTAATGAGCCCGCCCCGCCCCCCGCCGAGCGGGGCGCCCTCTTTTACTTTCCCTTCTTCTTCTCCTTCTTCACCTTGGGCTTCTTGACCTTGCCCGGGGCGCCTCCGCGCTGCTGCGAGCCTGCGGCGTGGGACTGCGCGGCCAGGGCGGGGCGGGGGAGAGGGGTACCCCGTGACACGTCTGCCCCGGGGCCAGGCCGGGACCTGCCCTGCCCTGGGCGCGCGGCCCCCGCCGGGGAGGGGGAAGCCCCCTACCTTCCCCTCGGTGTCCGAGCCACTGGAGCTGCTGCTGCTGCTGCTGCTGGAGTCTGAGGAGCCGCCGCCGCCATGCTGGTTGCGGGGGTGACCGTGAGGCGGGGCGCCTTCCCCAGCCCCCCTGCCCAGCGAGCGGGCAGCCTGAGGCCCAGCAGGACCCTGGGGTCAAAGGCAGCCCATACCACCATCCTCCCAGCGGTGTGCCCAGTTGTGCGGTGACTCACCCTTCGGTTAGCAGCTGCTCCTGCCTGTGAATGGCCCTGAGTTTTGGGGGCACCGGGCTTCGAGTCTCCCATGCCACCTGCCTCCTGAGACTTGGAAGTGGGCTTCGGGGCTGCAGAGGAGAGGCGTTGGGTGGTTGGCACAGGTGCAGGGAGAGCCCCCTGAGCGGACATAAGCCTGGCCCCCTGCACCTCCAGGCCCCGCGCCTACAGCACACCTGTGACAGGCCCAACTGTCGTGCTGCGATGGGTCCCCAGGGCCAAGGGTCTGGCCAGCGCCCGTGGGGAGGGCTGGGGGCGGGACGTGGGGAGGAGCAGCACCACCTGCCCTACCAAGGAATCCTGAGGTGCCCCACCCGACCTCTGTTCAGAGTCCTTTGCCCTGACTCACTGCCCCTCCCCAGCACGCCCAGCCCTTCCGCTGTGGGAGTGGAGAGATGGGCAGTTAACTGCTCTCGCCCACACCTCTGTGAGCCCTTGGCAAGTGGGGGGGCTGTGTGGATACAGCTGGGGGGGACGTGGGCAACTGCAGATTTCCGGGGAAGATGCTAGAGCTGTCATCAGCTTCTGCAAAGCCCATGCTTGCTTCTGAAGAAGCGGGCGAGGGCGCCTGCAGTGCCCGCTGAGCTGTGGTCGCGCCGGCACTCTGAGCTTAATGTGTGCCAGGCGCTGTTGCAGGGGCTTGGTGTGTATGAACTCCCCTCTGTGGGGGTTGGGGGGGTGGCAAGCAGAATCTGGAGGGGCGAAGTTTGAAGCCAGCAGCATCACAGCAGCAGGGAGCTGGAGGAAGCTGCTCTGCCTGCTCAGTCTCCTCATCTGCACGTGACAGACACTGCAGGGAGTCATGCACGGGTTAATGGGATTTGTTTTCTAGAACTGTGCCTGGCACAGAATTAAGGTTTACAAAGTGTTTAAGTAAAAGGTGGACACTTACTATCCCTGCTTCATGGATGAGGGAGCAGGTGGTGAAGCATGAGGAGGGCAGATGTAGCATGAACAAAGCAAATTCACACCTGGGAGGGGTGGCTCAAGTCCAAGGTGCTGCCGGCCCCGCCTCAGGGTGTGGTTAGGGCTGGACAGAAGGGGTAGCCAGCCGAGCCCACCCTTCCTGCCCACACTGGCTGGGCCCAGGCCTGGCTGGGGGCCGTGAGGCTAGGTGACCCTGTGAGGGCTGGGCACACAGGGCTGGCTTCCCAGCAGGAGCCTGAGGCCTGGGGTGACGATGCACTTGGGTCTCCGTGCCATGGTCCGCTGAGCAGGTGCCGGGCACAGCACAGGCGCTGGCGTACAGAGGCAAACAAAGCCGGCCTCCTGGAGCTGACGTTCTAAGGGGGGAAACAAGGTAGCACATATCGCCTGTCAGAAAAAATCTGGGAACTCAAATATCCACCAGTTAAGAGAGAAAAGATGATCTAGCTGTGCAGCGGAATAGTATTCAGCAATGAAAAGGAATGCGCGCTACCTCATGAACCACAAAAACATTCTAGGGGAAAGACTGGCCACAGAGCTCACATATCCGGTGTCATCCGTGTGCGGTGTTCAGGAAAGGCAGGCAGAGAAAGAACATTCGTCGCTGCTGAGAACTGAACAGGAGCCGTGAGATAGTCCCAGCAAAGTGCCTGCCAAAGTGCCTGCCTCGTTGCTCTGCCCACCCTCCCGGGTGCTGCCTGGGGGGGGGGGTCGGGGAGGGGAGGGGGGAGGGGGGAGGTCGCACCAGTTCCATTTAAGGTCACCTGCAGCAGGACGTGCCCATCGGCTGGGATTTAGACACATGCTTGCCACTGGCTGAAAGTGGGCGCCTGGCTGGGCAGCCGCGCACAGAAGCTGGGGACTTGGACAACTGCAAGGGAGTGTTTCTGCCACTGCACTGGTGGCCGCGAGTGTCCCTTACACCTGCTCTGCCTCACGCAGCGGCTGTAAATGGAGGTCAGGTGAAAGCTGGGGAGGTGGACACAGACAAGATGAGCATGGCCATCCCCGCTCTCCGGAGGGAAACAGGAACAGCAGAATCGGCCAGGCCAGCCACGTACAGGGGCTTGGCAGGGGGCGTCACGTAGCCAGCAGCAGGTGCTGCGGGGGTCGGGTGGTCCAGGTGATGGTGTGGCAGGTTGTGGTGCTAGATCTGAGGATGCAGAGCGCTGTTCCCCACCGCCCACTCCCGGGGCCTGTGTTCCGCTCAGCTGCCGGTGGTTGCTCCCCCTCCAAGGCCAGGGACGTGGTGTGTCTCCCGTCCACTGCTCCTGTCCCCCTGGCCTGCTCCCAGACCTTTGGAGGGCCTGGATGTGAGCCGAGCAGGCATTTCCACAAATCTACAGGCCACGTGGGTCGCCGCAGGGAGACCTGGCAAGCAGGCTCTTCAGTGGCCTCCCAGAATCAGGGGCTGGACCTGAGTTAACCTGACCCCTGACGCCCTCTCCTGGCAGCCCTGCCACCCAAGGGTGCAGCAGTGAGGTGGGCTGGGACTTGGACGTGAGGGGAGGGCACAGGGTATTCAGCGGTGAAGGTAAACTCCAAATTCTCAAATTAGTCTGACTCCCAACGCCTGTGACCTGATCTTTGTCCAGAGCCAGGCCCTTTCTGGGACTGCCTTTCCGAAGCAGGGGAGCCGGGGGCAGGTAGGAGAGATCTTTGTGATCTGAGTTTTTAAAAGTTCAGCCCAACCACCTGAGGTGGACCCGGGCGGGGACCATCCACTGAGCACTGTGGCCCCTGGCCGGTGGTGGGGTGGCTTTTCCAACAAAAAGAGCACCATCGTCAGCCTGCGAGGGGTCACCGTCTCCAGGCCATGGAGTGGGGCTGGCAGCGGTTGACCAGACGGCACAGCAGGCACCAGGCCCTGAGAAAGTGCAGCAGGGACACCCTAGGTACGCCAAGAGGGCACCCAAGTGGGGGTCGGTCTGCCAGGGGGCAGGTGGGGGCTGCCAAACAATGAAGAATGGGACATGGGCCTCCCTGGTGGCCTAGGGGTTAAGTCTCAGTGCTGTTACCGCAACAGCTCACCACAATGGCCTGAGCGCCATCCCCAGCCAGGGAGCTACCCACATGGCACAGCAGACCTCTCCTGTCTCACCCGCTGCTCCCCTCAGCAGTGTGTTTCAGTAGATCTGCCTGTTCTGCTCCCCACTGTCTCTGTTGAATCCTCTCACCACCACCCTCCCGTGCCTGCACCCAGAGGTGCAGAGGTGGCACAGCCTGGAGGGAGGTCCGCTGTGGAGCACTGTCCTGGGCCACTGGACATCCAGGCGGTCACGGGACTCATGACCACCCACCTCGCACGGGAGGAAACTGGAGGTGCAGTTCTTCTACACAAAAATAAATAAAATCTTAAAAACAAAAGCAGGACAAACTTTGGCAGAAGTGAGTCACGGTGCTTTTTTCAGCATCAGAAATAAAGGCACAGTGTACGGGAGACTTACAAAAGCTCAACTGGTCCTGATGGTGGGAGAATCCACTTGAGGCAGGACCTGCAGTAGAATTAATTTAGTGATTTCTGATTTTTTCCAGAATTCCAAAGCACGACGAAGCTATGAAGGCGTGTAGGTACAGGCCTCCTGCTAGGCGGGTACCTCCTGCTAGGTCTGGGGCGCCAGAACAAGGGGGACCATGGGAGTGGGAAGTTTATGGGTTGCTCATAGGATCGCAGGGTGGGTATTGGGGAGAGGCACCAAGCTCCCCCCACCTGGCTGGCAAAGGGGTAGGTGGGCAGAGGAGGGCATGTGGGAGGTCCCTGGTGGAGCACCGCCCTGGCCGCTTGACATCTAGGTACTCTCAGGGCCCTCACATGACCCCCCACCTCGCAGGGGAAGAGCCTGGAGGCTCCAAGGAGCTCAGTGTCCCCCAGGCCTAGCCCTCTTTCCTGGACCGCAGGCTCGCCTGCTGTGGGCCTGACGCGTCCAGGTATGGTGAGTAGGTGGAGTCTGCTCAGTGAACTGCCCCACCTGCCTATAGTGCAGTGCCACCTGGAGGGCTTGGCAGGGGGAAGGCCAGACCCCTCCTGGCCTACCACAGACAACAGGAGGCCCAGGAAGAGATGAGCTAGTTGTCTAACTTGCTTCTGGAATCAAGCAAGCCTGAATGGGCTCCAATTTTTCCCTATTCTATGGAATGTGGTCTTTTTGGCCTGAAGAGATTTCTAGGAAGGGCCAAGGGAAGGAGACCCACATCTTTTTGACCCAAGGGAAGGCCAGCATTGTCTGGAACGGTCAGGGGGTGACCCAAGGAGGCGAGGCCTCAGATCGCCTGACCCAGAGCCTGTCCAACTGCTGCTGTGTCCAGGACCATGTGTGTGGAAGGTGGAAGAGCACAAAGGGGCTTCCGGAGTCTCGAAGCAGTAAGGGAACTTAAGTGGGACTGAGCCTGGAGGCAAAATGCAGCCAGCAGCACCCTTGTCCCCCCATCTCTACGCAGGGGCACGCGGGGGTCCCTGAGGAAGAGGGCAGGATGGCAGGACGAGGTGAAAGTCCAATGCCAAAGTGATGCTGGCCAAACCCATTCCAACTTCAGGAAGGCCTCGTCTCCATACAGGATGCACCCTTACCCCAATTTTCCTGTACCCTCAAAGGCAATGCTTCAAGGGGTGGGTTACAGTCAGTCCACAGTGGGTCATTAAAAAAAACCTCCTCAGTGGGGTGTGGTCAGAATTTTTAAAAAGTGAAACAGATTAAGAAAATAGCCCTCAGCCATGGGAGGTAAATCTAAGTGTTTTTTGGTAAAATGTAATGCAAAATGTACTTAATTTGGGGGGGTACCTGGTCATGCAGGGGTTAAGTCTCAGCACTATGAAGCTATCCCCAGCCAGGGAGCTACCCACATGGCGCAACAGACTTCTTTCTTCCCGCTGCTCCCCTCAGCCGTGGATTTCAGTCGATCTGCCCGTTCTGCTCCCTACTCTGCCTCTGGTGATTCCTCTCACCTCCTGCACCTCTGGTCTACACAACAGTTCTTCTATGCATAAATAAAATAAGTATTTAAAAAAAAAAAACCTATGGGCCTCCCTGGTGGCGCAGGTGGTTGAGCGCTGCACTGTGAAGCTGTCCGCAGCCTCTGCAGCGCAGGTTCGATCCCAGCTGGCCGGGAAGAATCCCACCTGGCAAAGCAGGCTTGTCCGGCTTGCCCGCTGCTCCCGTCAGCAGTGTATTTCGTCAGTCTGCCTGTTCTGTCTCCCTCTTTGTCTCTGGTGAATCCTCTCACCCTCCCGTGCATCTGGCCTGTACCCCGGTTCTTGTATAAAAATAAATAAATCTTTAAAAAAACAAATAAAATAGGGGCCTCCCCGGTGGTGCAGCAGTTGAGCGCTGGGTTGCGAAGCTGCCCAGCAGCGCCGGTTCGATCCCCGGCTGCTCCCCAGCCACCTGATGAGGGTCCCACGTGGCGCGCAGACCTCTCCTGCCGCCTGCTGCTCCCCTCAGCAGTGTACTTCGGTCCTTCTGCCTGCTCTGCTCCCCGCTCTGGCTCTGGTGAATCCTCTCACCCTCCCGCGCTTCTGACTGTACCCAGTGCTTGTATAAATAAATAAATAAATCTTGGGCCTCCCCCGTGGCACAGCGGTTGAGCGCTGGGTTGCGAAGCTGCCCACAGCCTCTGCGGCGCCGGTTCGATCCCCGGCTGCTCCCAGGCCACTGGAGGAGGGTCCCACATGGCGCGCAGACCTCTCCTGCCTCCCACTGCTCCCCTCAGCAGTGTACTTCGTCAGTCTGCCTGCTCTGCAATCCCCTCCGACTCTGGTGAATTCTCTCACTCTCCCGTGCTTCTGACTGTACCCAGTGCTTGCATAAATAAATAAATAAATTTTTAAAAAATAAATAAATAAATCTTTAAAAAAAAAGATTAATAAAATAAATAAAAACATAAAAATAAAAAAAAAAACCTATGTTTAAAAAGCATCTGTCCATTATACAGACCACTAACTGTATCCTCTGAGCCACGCATGCCGATGTAAATAAATCAGTGTAATGTAATAATGTACACTAACGTAAATAGTAATAATAAAATTGAAACAAAAAAGGACATAAAGAAACCCAAAAGATGTTATTTCTGTAAGGAATCCACTTCTGGAACGGGCCATCTTGTGATAATGTTGGCAGAGATTAAACTGGCGGTGTCAGTAAGAAAGCAAGCCCATGCTAAAATTTATTTTAAAAAGGAAGGCCCTTTTTATTAAACATGTACATTTTATTCTTTTCAGAATCTAATAAAAAAATGAACTCGACCAACTTTAAAAAAACCCACAAATCAATTAAACAAAGAACACTACGAAAGCATCACAGGACAGGAAAGGAGGCAACAGGACTCAGCACGAGCAAGAAAACTACCTGCGGCAGAGAGAAGCGAGCGAGCAGACGCCTCTGGCCTGGGGCCGGCCTCGACACCACCCACCGACCAATGGGGCCACTGGGCACCCCCACGGCAAACCCGGCCCGGGCAGCCAGGAAGCAGCCCCCTCGCGCCTTCTGGAGCAGCAAACAGACCCGAAGCCCAGGTGATCACAGACACAGATCAGTCACTCTATTTCCAAAGCACGCGCGCGCGACAGCTGCCTCCCGGCCCTCCCGCGCTCTTCCTCGGCGGGGGACCCTGGCGGCGGGGCGGTCACAGGACGTAGGTGTTCTTCACCAGGTGCTCCTTGTCGTCCTCGGAGGTCCAGACGGCGCGCAGGGCACGCTCCTGGTTCCTTCGGGCCATCCGGATCAGGCAGACCACGGAGGCGCCCAGCAAGAGGATCAGCACCATCACGAACAGCCCCGCCAGGACCACCACTGGGGAGGAGGGAGCGTCTCAGGCGGGGGCGGGGAGGGGGGGGACGGGGGGGGGGAGCCAGAGTCAGGTGGTCCGCACGGGCTCAGGGGGAGGCCAGCAGCCCGACGCCTATGACCGCCCAGCTACCCTGTTGGGCCCGGAGAACGGACAGCGCCCACTGTACTTAATGTACTTGAGAGAGGCCATCCAGCAGGGTCCCTGAGGTCCTGAGGACAGGAGGCGCAGTGGCTATCTGCGTTGCTTCTTTTTGAGCAAAGAACCCCACCGCCTCTCAAGGCAGCCCGCGGGACTGGCAGCCCTAGGCCAAATAGTGCGCCAGGCACGAAAAGCACAGGCTTCTGGTGAGTAGGAATCATGGACCCCTGGGTGTGAACCCCCAGGATGCTCACAGGCCTCTCCCAACAGCTTCGCAGCAAGGGTACGCGGAGCTGGGAGGTCACGCTCCTCAAACGCTGCAGCGGCTGCCCCACTGTGGTCCCCCTGGTCAGTTAAGGTGTTCTGCTCCCAGGTAAGGTTCTACCTGAGGATGATGGCCTGTTGGGGCAGCTCGCGGCTCCCTCTCCCCATCCCCTCTACCAGCCGGCAGCAGGCTGCTTTCTGCCCCAGCTGGCAAGCTCTTCTGATCAAGAGCAGACACAGGCCAGGTCTGGCTCCTTCACAGCAAAACAAGGCGAAAGAGACCAAACCAGTGTGGCAGGTCCTTTGCGCAAATACTACGATCCAATGACTCAGGCTGAGCAGCAGTCACAAAAGCCAGAGGACGCCCAGCCTCCCCAGGACAGGGACACTGGCACTGCCCGTGCACAGCAAGGCCTCCCCGACCTCCTTCCTGTCGCCCGTGACCAATCTGTACACCCGTGGCAGCAAAGATGCCTCCCGGACCTAGAGGCAGACCCAGGCCTGCCTGCAGCACACCCCTGCACCCGCCGGCAGGAGGACCCCGTCCTACAGTCACCCCGCGGCCTGCAGGTGCGGCCTGGATCCCAGCCCTCTGACGGCCACGTGTGGAGGCACAGACATCCACCACATGTGCCAAACAGCCGGGCCATTTCTGTGCAGAAACAGACTTTCTACCACAGCCAAGGATGATGTGTCTGAGACAAGAACCGCAGAAACACAGCTGAATTCCGCCAAGGCTGGCAGGCAGGTGGAGGAGGGCAAGGGAGGGGCCACTTACCTTTAGAGGCTTGGGGCAGGACAGGATACAGCTGCTTGTCTGGAAGAGAACACGCAACCCCGGAGGTCAGCACACAGTCCTCCTCTCCCCCCCACCCTGAGCCACCCCTCTGGCGCCCCCACAGCCCTGGGCCTCCATGGGGAGCTCCTTCTCAGGGCCTTCTTCCAGCTCCCCCAGGGCTGGGGGCTCTGCCACCTGGACAGGAAGCCGCGCCGTTCAGCCAACAGCTGGGCCCGAGCCCACTGAGAGCCAGAGAAAGATGGCGCGCACGGCAGCACTTCCAAGCCTTCCTCCCAGGGCTGGGGAGTGGACCTGGGGCAGGCTCAGCGCCCGCGGTTCGGAGGCTAGGAGGCAGGCGGGCTCACCAAAGCAGCGCTGCATGCACTCCTCTTGGGAGAGGTAGCTGTTTTTATTGCCCCGGCACCCTCCGTAGATGAATTTATCGCAGGAGTTCTTCTCGGCATCGAAGTACCAGCGCTGGAAGGCTGCCCGGCAAGGCCCGGTGACCGCCTTGGCAGTGCAGGAGTCTGGGAGTGAGAGCCCGAGGAGGGTAGTTAGCAGGGCCCGGCGGGAGTGACAGGGAGCGCTAGCTCCCACGTCGCCAGCCCGCCAGCACGCGGAGAGCAGCTGTTTGCCCAAGACACTTGTAGGCTAGACTGACCAACTGGCCCGTGTGCCACTCTCCTCGGCACTTTCTCTTCACAGCCAGGCTGTTTTTCTGGAGGGGACTCTGCCAGGCACTGTTCTAGGCACTTTTTGCGTGTAAACTCATCTCCAAGAGATCTGTCTCAAGACCCTCACTTCGCCCTCGGGGACATGGGCAGAGCTATGGCCCCTTGTGCCCTGTCCTGCCCATGCCAAGGCCCACCCTGCGCCCCGCCACCCTGGGACATGCACAGAGCATGAGTTTTGCCACCGAGGAGAGGTCAAGAAGCCCCACTCCGTGGTTTCCTTAGTGGAAATCCTCAAGTGTCCCTCAATTCTCAGCTAAGAAAACACATTTTGCCCACATACGTTTTTCAAAAGTTGTACCTTCAGGGCCTCCCTGGTGGCGCAAGGGGTTAAGCACAGCACTATAAAGCAACCCACAGCCTCTGCAGCACAAGTTCGATCCCCGGCCGGCCAGGGAGCAACCCACATGGCGCAGCAGACCTCTCCTGTCTCGCCCGCTGCTCCCCTCAGCAGTGGATTTCAGTCAGTCTGCCTGTTCTGTTCCCCACTCTGTCTCTGGTGAATCCTCTCACCCCCTGCATCTCTGGCCTACACCCCAGGTCTTGTATGCATAAATCAATAAATCTTTAAAAATAAATAAATAAATAGATAGATAGATAGATAAATAAATAAATAAAAGTTATACCTTCATAGTTGAAAATATCGCTGGAAAGGTCATCAGAACCCTGCCTTCTGGGAACTAGAATGCAAACACCCGCATTAGGGAGGCTGGGATGGACACAGAACATGTGTCCAGCTGGCTGGGGAAGGAACTAAGGGTCCAGGAGGCAGCGTGGACACGCTGGCCCTTGAAGGGGGGCGTGGAGCCCCTCCTTAGACGGCAGCTCTGCTTATGTCCCCCGTCCCAATGGGCTCCACAGCACACCGGGATGGATGCTGGACTGGGAGGCCCTCCTGCCAGCTGAGGGGTTACTATGGGAATAAACCACAGTTATAATTTCTGGGGTGACGGGGACAACTGTCTTGTTCAGGCTGTCTGACACAGGAAGGAGGCCCCTTACTCTCCTGAAGACATTTCCCACTGAAACAAAGTGGAAACCAGGGTGACCTGCTGGTGCTCAGGGCCCCGGGGGGCCGTGGAGAGGTGCCCTTTGAGAGTCAACAGTCCACTCAGGCAAAGCAATGATCAGGGCAGTGAGGGGATTCTCAGCCCAATTAAACCGGAAGGTGACTTGGGCCTAACCCTGCATTCTGCGAGTCAGCCAACCAGCAAACTAAGACACGGTCACATGAGCACCGATGCCAGAAGCGCAGCAGCAGGGCCAAGACAGCCACCAGCGCACGCCCACTGGCCAACAGGGCCCACAGGCCTGTCCTTAAGTGGGGTGGGGCGGGCTCCTCGACAGGCCTCACCCAGCTGAGCCCAGCAACTGGCTTCGGGAAGCTGGGCCGGACACTCACCAGGCTCCTGAGGCAGAATCCTTGTGTTAAGCATAAAGGAGGGACGGGGCAGGGGCAGCGGCTGCGGCTGCGGCACGGCGGTGCAAGCTAACACAAAGCTCGGGTGCAGGGCCGCGGTGGGAAGGGAGGCGGGTGGCTGAGGGTGGAGGGTTCGGCACAGGAGGGAGCTGGCAAGGCCACCAGGGAGCAGAGGAGAAGAACAGGCCGGGACAGCTGGGGCAGGGAAGGCAGCACAGCAGGCCAGCCAGGGAGCGCCACAGAAGGCCTGGCCAGATGGCGTGAGCTCCGGCACGTGTGCAGGCAGCTCAGGCTGAGCCTCTGTTTACCATTTCTGAGTAAACAGAACCAGGAGGTAGAAGCCCTTGGACAATTTCCAAATGATAAATGACCTTTCACAGGGAACTGTCACTCCACCCTGGATCGCTCTGGGAACCTACCACTTGGGACAGAGGCGTGTGCTCCATTCCTGCTGGCGGCCAGCACATCCACGGTCTTGTCTACAGTGCACAGAGAAAGAGCAGTGAGAAGGGCACAAGCCCACCCGCGGACACAAACCCTGCCTGGGCGGCGACTTCCGTTTCTCCTTTGTGTGGGCTCCAAATCGCGCGCGGGGACCACAAGCCTGCCGGGGCTTGGAAACGAGGAACCAAGATTGCCCTGAGGGTTAGGCTGGAAGAACAGCTTGCTGGGAACCAGCGCAAAGGCAGGTGAAGTGGCTTTAAAAAGACCGAACGGCTCAGCGCCAAAGTGCTGGCAGCACAGCCGACCTGGTGAGTCCTCGCGGGGAGGGCGCCAGCAGCCCACTCCAAGTGCTGATGTCACTGGACTGGACACTCACACATGGCCAAATGGCTGCTTTTATTTAATGTACTTTAGCTCGCACACAAAGCTAAGGGGGTGAGGTGGAGGGGTTAGAGGTCCAGGAAGCCCCCTCGTCTCCCTGCTGGCCTGACAGTCCCTGTGGAGAGGCCCAGGGCCGCCTGACCTGTTGCCATTCACCATCCACACCAGTTCCCCTGTTCCGCCCTCTCCGCACCAAGCAACCTCCAGGGACTCTGGCTGAGAGGCCTGCCCATGTGGACTAAACAGAAGCCCAAGTGTCCCCTGGGTGGTTCTGATTCTCATTATAATTTAATAAACGGGCACTCTCATTCTCGACTGACATCCCACAGAGCTGGCCTGCCTAGGAGAGACCACGCCGGCGAGAGGCCCCAGGGACTGGCAGCTCCAGCCATTTAGCTCTCCTCAGACTCCCCAGACCCTCCAGAGATGTGCCGGGAAGTCACCGGGGTGCCAACAAATGACCTTTCTGGGCCCTCAAGACTGACGCCAGACTCTGGACCACCTCTCGGGAGACAGCTGTCTGCCTCCTCTAAGCAACACACAGCACATGTCTCCGCAGGGCAGCCTGCCTTCAAGCCGCTGTCCACTGCCTGTGGCCTTCAAAATTCAGCTCTCTTCCCGAGAAGACAGAGTGACCAGAACAGGCAGGTATGTTTGCTTTAGTCAAATCTTGATTAGGAAGATCAGAAAGGGAACAAATATTATTTTCCTGAATTCCTCTTCTCACGCCATATTATAGCTGACAATGGAAAATTATAATAAATGGTATTTTCCTCAGTCACCATGTGCTAAGGCTGCCAATTGTCCACCGCCCCCCAGCCCCTTCCCAAAACAGTGCAGGGTTTGCCTGTATGACGCAAACTCAATACCTAGTTCCAATGCTTGCGCAGCGCTGGGCGCACAAAGACAGAGAACAGAGTCCTGAGTGCGTGCGGGCACTGCCAACCTTGTGTGCCCGTGCTGGAGGCCTTAGACCCATGTCAGAGCCGAGGCCGTGCTGTTTCCCCTCTTCACACACAACACTTATAAGCATGTAAGCTCAATCAGGAGAGATTAAGGCCTAGACATAAGGACATAAAACCCGACAGGGATGCAGGGCTTGAGTGGCTCAGGGGTGGGGTGGGGGAGGTGCGTGGCGTGTGGCCAGCACCAGGGACAGCAGCGCATCCTGTCAGTCATACCCCAGGCCTAATACCAAGGTCAAGTTGTCAAAGGATGTAAGAAGTCGCATGCCATGGGCCTCCCCGGTGGCGCAGCGGTTGAGTGCTGGGCTGCGAAGCTGCCCGCAGCCTCTGCAGCACCGGTTCGATCCCCGGGCGCCAGCGAGGGTCCCACATGGTGCGCAGACCTCTTCTGCCCCGCCCGCTGCTCCCCTCAACAGTGTACTTCGGTCCTTCTGCCTGTTCTGTTCCCCACTCTGGCTCTGGTGAATTCGCTCACCCTTCTGCGCTTCTGACTGTACCCAGTGCTTGTATAAATAAATAAATAAATCTTTGGGGAAAAAAAAAGAAGAAGAAGAAGAAGTCGCCACACAATCCCGTGAAAGTGAGGCTGGGACAAGGACAGACACCAGGAAGTATGTTCTGTTTTAACCTGACTCATAACTTGGCTGGGTTGGTGAGTTCCTCAAGTCATTTGTCCTAGAGGTGAAAATAACTCACTTCCCAGGGAGCCAGGGGCGGCCTGTCTGAGCAGACGTGGGGACTCTCCTCCAGAAGGGACAGGCCACTTCCTCCTGCGGCGGGCATGTTTGGGGTCCGTGCTCACAAGCGGCTGCAAGGAAGTCGGGGACCAGGCGCTGTCAGCCTCCTGACCCCCGTGGCTTATTTTCCCCTCTCGGGGAAGATGAGGCAGGGCACGACCGAAACCACAAGGCCTCTGTTGCTTCTGCTTTTTAACTATCCCCTAGATTCAGCCGCAAAGAACCGGTGAGAGCCTCAGCCAGCCCATTACTTAACATGACTGCCTCAAAGTAATATACGGGCTTGGAATTTTAAAAAATGTCCCCAACCATCACCGTCTTACCTGTGACACCAGCGCATTTCTTGAGACACTCCTCCTTGGTCAAGTAATTATTGCCATTCCCGTCGCAGCCTCCGTACACAAACTGCTGGCAGGCTCCCTCGGTGACATTGTACCACCACCTAGGGATGGAGGCCCGGCATCTCCCCACTTTCTTCAAGACAAGGCAAGACTCTGAAACACAAAGCAGAGACCAGTTAGCCTGCAGGGTAGTCCTGGCAACCGAGACCAGGCCGAGACCTGTTCTTGAGAATAGGAGACCCACGGTTTTCCGGGTCCCCAAGCCGAGAACCAGAGCCTCCCGCCCTGGACGGCTCCTCTGTGAGCTGTGTCCAAACAGGAAGGCCAGCGGCACATGCGGTATTTCCATCCTCAGAGGAGAAAGAAATACTTCACCAAACAAAGATCCCAACCCACCCAGCTGAGCTGTCTTCTGATTGCATGTGATTCTGTCCCTGCTCCCATCATCCGATACATACAGATCCAGTATGAAAAACATTCCTTTCAAAGGCAAAAACAAAAAACAAATGAAAAACCCAACAGACACTTCAGGATCCTTCTGGATGCAAAGGCAGTGAGCTCTGACGGGCCAGAGCAGGCGGGGGAGAGGGCAAAGGAACGCTGTCTGCCTGCGCCTTTCTAACCTGAGAGCCTTTCTAACCTGAGCCACGCTGCTGGGGACCCTTAGGAAGAGTCTTCCTAACTAGATCCCCCAGCACCAAGCCCCAGCTCCCAAAGCACCTCAGGTCGCTCTCTGACCCCAGAGCTTGCCCCTACGGCGCCTCTGACCTGGCCTACCCCAGGACAAGGGAAATGAAACCACTTCAGGAAAGCCAGCCAGGTGCATCTGCTTGCCGGGGCGGGAAGCCTAGCGGGCTGCTCACTGCTACACAGCCTGTGCTGGCGCGTGCTGGAGGCTGGCGCCCGCACCCAGTGCTTTCTCCAAGGAAATCTGGAAACGACCTGGAAGGGAATAAACGAAGCACGTGCACCCACGTCCCCTCGTCTCCTGTCTCCTTGGCGTCGGGGCATTCCCTCTTCTGGGCCTGGCACCCGGCGCCGATCTCGGCAAACAAACGCATCCAGGCCCCGGCTTGCTGGAAAGCCGTCATTCACTGCTCTGGCAGCGCTGCTGTCGTTGAGTCCACCGTGCCAGCCGGGGCGACTGTCGCGTGGCCAGGACCTGTTTCTGCATCCCCCAAACACAGCCACGGGGTTCCACAAACATCAATGTATGGATGGAATGGCTGGGGTGAGCACAGCACATTTCCACATCAAGAACTCCCCTCCAAGTACAGCAGAAAAAGCACATAGTAAAGAAATTCTCCCTTCATTTGAAAGCAACGCTCAATTAAACAGTCAGGGAGAGAGAAGCTGAGACACGTGCTGTGAGTGAAATCACAGCGCAATGGCCAGTCAACCCAAGAAAATGCCTAGTGCTGGGGGCGGGAATGACCGCCAACTGGCACAGGGGTCCTCGCGGGATGACAAAAATGCCCTAAAATTGGAGTGGGGATAGTTCTACAGTTCTGCAAATGTACCAAAATCCACTGGATCGCATGCTTAAAAGGAGTGATTTTGACATGTGAGTGGTACTTTCATACAGCAGGTTTAAAAAACACACACAATCAAACAGGGGCACATCAACCAGAACGGCTGGGTGTGCCCCTCTGACTACGGGCCAAAGGTCACAAAACACACACAATCCATAAGCCGGGAGCGACGTGGCAGGAGAACCACCCTTTGGCCGAGGGCTCTGCCAGGCCACACCGCTGGCCAAACGGCGGAGGCAGCACTGCTATCAACAAGACGATGGGGAGCCCACGTGACTCCACTGGGGACCCCAAAGTGACAACGCTCGCCAGCAGGGAGCACACCACTTCCACGGGGGCAGAGCCAGCCTGTCCCCCGCCCTGCCAGAGCCCCAGGGCACCCCCGCTACTCTGTGCCCTTGTTTCTAGAGCAGGGTCAGGTAAAACCTCTCTGACCAAGGCCCCAAGGGAGACCTGTCCATGAACTGTCCGGTGACTAATCTCCATGACAACCTACACCTGAGGGAGGCCCAGTGCAGCTCAAGGCAACCAGGGTGAACCCACAGCAGGGTGAACAAGCGTGCCTGCCCCCAAGGGGGAGTCGGTGCCTGCAGTCAGCGGGTGCGCCAGGCGCACTCTGCACAGGTATGGGAGCCTAAGGGTGTGTAAAGGGGAAGTGAAGAAAAGCCTGCCTGGGATGGGAAGCAGCTTCCTGGTGAAGTGAACATTGCCCACAACCAGCCCTCTGCTCTGTAGGTGCAGACGCTACCCTGGCACCCGGGTGCCGATGGGATGCAGATAACCTGACCCTTGCCAATAAAGGCCAGAGGGAACTGAGAAAATGCGGGTGGCCTTGCTGCCCCAACCAGCCAAGATGTTGGTCAACAAAAGGGCCTCACACTGTGGGGCCGAAGACTAATCTGCAACCTACAAACATCCCCTTGTTTTTTTGTTCTTGCTCATATAAGGAAAAAACTTCTCGGAAAGTACATTGGGCAATAAATTACACGTGCAAGAATTCTGTAAGTAACTGGCACACAGAAATACCTGCTTAAAAACCAAACACTGTACATTTGGCCTGCCTGACCATGGGGAAGAATTTGTCATACATGAACATGCCTGACAAGCAACCCAGGACAACAATTATAGTAAGTCCTTTTGCTTTTTTTTTTAGAAATTTCTTAGGAAAGTTTTTAAATGAAGTTAATTGTGTTAAGAAGTTTCTAGGTAAAAAAAAACCCTGTTAGCTGATAACCAGAAAGCAGCTGGTCTCCGGCGGAAGGCCATGTGAATAAGAAGACTCTTTTGATGCTCAGGCTTTAGCTGACAGGAGCAGACCGACGCCTATCACCTGCCTTAGGTAATTATCTAGCTGAAATAATGAGTTTTAGTGTAAGGTTTAGTTTTTTATCTATTAACCTTGAAGGTTGCCTTCTAGCTGAGAGCACGTAGCAGCCAAAAGTCTATGGAAAAATACACTGATTGCTTCTGCTTTGCTTCCACGCATATGATGATGTCATCTCACTGCTTGCCTTAATGTATAAATAAAGACCCGCTGAGACCCTCGGGGGAGATACTAACACAAGACAGTGTGTGTGTCAATCGCACCGGCACTATCCCATCCTTCAGGAACCCCTGACATCCGGTTTGCCGAGGCTGGCTCCCGGCAAGAAAATACTGTCGAGCAGGCTGGAGGCGCACCCAAGCAGGTGGACATGCACACAACCAGGGCTCACCTGGGATGGCACGCTCATCTGCATGTAGCAGGTGGCTTGGAGTCAGGATGAGGTTTACTGTGGGATGCCCACTCCCTCCACCAGAATCTGCCAGGGGGCCTGAGGCTCGCAGCAGGCAGATCCAGACAGAGCTTCAGCAAGCCAGCACAGCTGGGTCTCCCTCTGGGACACTTACTCTCCTGATGGTACATTCTTCCTGGAGACGTACTGGGCCCTTCACGCCAGATCTCGGCTGTCTCAGACAGCTGCTCCCATCAGCTCTCAATAACTATGCGTGAACTTCAGAGTTTAAATTTCACTAAGAGCCTCATTCTCAGTTTCCTTGGGTGTGTGTGAGGGGCTGGGAGGTGGCAGTTCTCTTTTGTCCAAGGCAAATTTAGAATTGTCTCGTTGTATTAAGGGAAAGCTTGGGAAAAAAACCAAAAACAAAAAACTAGAGGGCCTCCCTGGTGGCACAGGGGTTAAAGTCCCAGCCACTGCACCAGACACTGAAGCCTGGGTTCGATCCCTGGCCAGGGAGCAACCCACATGGTGCAGCAGACCTCTCCTGTCTCGCCTGCTGCTCTCCTCAGCAGTGTATTTCAGGAGATCCACCTGTTCTGCTCCCTACTCTGTCTCAGGTGAATTCTCTCACCCCCCACACCTCTGGCCTACATGCCAGCTCTTATATGCAAAAATAAATAAAATAAATCTTTAAGGAAAAAAAAGGCATGTCTGGAAAGACAGAATGTTGACAACTGTTAAAGCTGAGTAATGGGGCCTCCCCTGGTGGCTCAGGTGGTTGATCGCAGCGCCGTGAGCTGTCCGCAGCCTCTGCAGTGCTGTTTTGATCCCGGCCAGCAGGCGAGGGTCCCACATGGCGCAGCAGACCTCTCCTGTCTTGCCTGCTGCTCCCCTCAGCAGTGGATTTCAGTCAGTCTGCCTGCTCTGTTCCCCGCTCTGTCTCTGGTGAATCCTCTCACCCTCCCGCACATCTGGCCTGTACCCTGGTTCTTGTATGTATAAATAAATAAAAAAAAATCTTAAAAAAAAAAAAAAAAAAAAGCTGAGTGATGGTGGTCCCAGGGGTGGGGGGGGGCATCATAAATCAGTATTCACTACTTCGTGTGCGTTTGGAAATCCCAATAATCAAAAGCGGGAACAGGCTAGTATTTTTTAAAGTCAAATCTGATTAACCACCTAAGTGTTCTATCAATAGCAGCAGACTAACTGGCCAAAGCTAAGTCACTGAAGATGAAATTGTGCCATCCCCTTACTGCATCAAGACATCCGTTCTCTGAGCATGTAGGCCCCCTGGTGACTGGAGAATCGTTCCTTGCTCAGAGGGTGCGGCACACAAATGCTGTAAGCATTTATCATACATATGTTTATGTTCAAGAGGTGAAAGAAGGGAAGACATGAAAATGAATTCTGTCTTTGCCTGTTTCAAAGCAGACAGTGTTCCATAAAAACAAAGACCACACAGCGACCCTCCAACTGTGTATCATTATCCCCAAATAACATCAATGATTTTCTCACTGTTCTCCAAAATGCTTGTACAAGAAATTAGAACTACTTTAGCATTTAATATGGCTTTTATGACATCATTTTCCTTAAAAAAATTTTTTTTAAATAACTGTACTTTGGTAGATCCAGATTAAGATCAGAATGAACCAAAATACAGAGCATTATTTCTTTCTGGAAACCCTATTTTATTATTTTTTTAAAAGATTTATTTATTTATGCATACAAGAGCTTGGGTACAGGCCAGAATGCGGGGGGGTGAGAGGATCCACCAGAGCCAGAGGGGACAGAACAGGCAGACTGACTGAAATCCACTGATGAGGGGAGCAGCGGGCAAGACAGGAGAGGTTTGCTGCGCCATGTAGGTTTCTCCCTGGCTGGCTGGGGAGCGAACTTGTGCTGC